CTAAAGGAGTGTAGGGTAATCAACGTTGCTTAGACCGTCAGGAAACATAATTCGGAAGCTAAGAGTGAATTGCGTGTAGAATTGAAAATATGATTGCAGGTAAAAGTAACGTTGGATACTTGAGTTGAAGGTCATATTTGGTTCAATCCGTGCATTCCGCGACTCTCGTGGTGAGTTCTCTCGTTAAGTAGTTTGGCCGACGACAATTTCTCCATTAAAGATGGATGGCGTCGTGACGGATACGGAGGTCATGAGCAAATGACGTCATTTCTCGTATGGGCAATATAAGGGATTTTCCGGTGATCTGCCGGATCTGGCGATTTGCCGGATTGCGGCGACTTCGCACGCTCAACATCAATCGACGATAGCTCAACATCCACGGTGCCAATTGACGTATCCTTTGAGTGCCTGAATTGTCAGAAGCAGTGAAAGTCTAGGATATATTTAGAAGTTTTATCTAGGGGGCAATGCGCTGCGGTGCTGACATCAAACGAAGCAACGGCCAAAATAGGATTCCGACAGATTGTGTAAGTCATTTCGGCCAACACAGCAAAACAGAACATTATTGACTTTCATCGTGGGCTTTAATCATGTGGGATTCTCCTATTATATCCATAGCGCAGAAATTGGCTCAGGATACTGCCAAAAATGGGGGTTGGAAGGGCGACCTAGATAACCTCATTCTACGCACCCGTAATGAGCCAGATTGAACGTGATTCGACGCTACGAGCATCTTCTGAAAAGAACCTACATATGCATCTGAATGTAAGGTTTATTTTTAGCTTGAACTTCAGTGCGCGAGGCTCCTCTTTCACACCTGACAAGGAAAGATGCGCACGAAAATTGAGAAACTCGACACCCTGCCCTAAAACACGTATAACATGGATGAAAAGGGATTTCTATTCCTTACGAGCATTTGAACGAACATTTTATTCCTCTTATTAGAAAACAAGGCAAAATTGCTCGGCGTATTAATAAATGGCAACCCATCCTCCATTACGTTCAAGATGTGCGTCAGTCAAGAGATGGCATCGCTGCCCCCATTTCTCATCCACCAAGACAAGCCAGCACAAACCCTGGACTTTTGGTTGGTGAAACGTGAATCAAGTCGTCAATAAATATTTTTTAACACGTCAAAAACGAGGTGGATGAATCACAATATTGGAAAAGAGCAGCTCGTCAGTACGTTGGACCGGTTTACTAAGGCGAAGCTCGAAACGGTCGTGCTTTTCGCCTTTGGTTACCGATGGCCACTTAAACATTTTAGTATGGATTTTATGGAGTGGTGTGACGGGCACCAGATGATCGTTGTGGTGTTTCCTCCTCATTCCACTCATCGGCTGCAACCCTTGATGTATCGTTATTCAGCCTCTCTCAGCAGCGTATATGTATAATCTTCTTCATTGTACAGACAAATAAAAAAGGTTAATTAAATCGTTGAAAATGAAGCTCTAGACTGTGTTTTGGAAGGCATTTCAGGAAGTAGTCGAGAAGACCTCTGTTGATGCTGGCCGCAACAGCCGAAGGCTGAGTAGCACCCTCGAAAGCCCTCAATGTGCGTTTTAAGTGATTTATATGAGAGCTTAAGTTAGAAGAGAACAGGTAGTCACAAGCACCAGCGCAGGCAGGGCGGTAAGGCTCCAAAAGATGATCTCTTCTGCTGTACAGATTGGAATGCAGACGAGGTGTTTAGCTCTGCAAAAGTGGCTCAAACTCGCTAAAGAAATACAGCTTAAGGACCCCAACAAAAAGAAGAGGCTCTGAAGAAGGAGACCTGAAAGTTTCAGCAACAGAAGAAGGCGGCGGAGCAAAAGCTTTCGCTCTACAGAAGAGGAAGCAATGAGAGGCGGAAATTGGGAGAAAACGACGGATGACGGAGGCCGTGAAGCAAAATATGGAGATAAATTGGCACTATTAACAAGAGCTGAAGATTTTGACTATGGAAAAGCCCCAGAAAATGCAGAATGAGCGACGGGTGGCCCCTGAGGGTCGCGTGAGGAGTCAGGATGCTCACGCCGCAGAAATTGTCACTCTTCCGTTCACACCAGAGCGGACCATAGCATTGCAGGTACCAAACCCACTATATAATAACGCAAACAACAAGGCAATGATAACCTCAACCCACATATCCTGTCCTCAAAGGCCCTCTTTAGCTGTTGATAGTGATCGGGAGGTAGTGGGTGCATTTCGGGGACTTGCGCGATCGGAGAGTAACAGAAGACGACCTCGATGACTGGATGACTTCAAAAAATATTGAGTGAAATCTTTGAGCATTATTAATTTCTCTTATGAGATTTTAGAATAATTCAAATAGTATTCGTGGAGTTATTCTCAGTTCTTTACTGGAATGCAAGGGAGAAAAAAACCGGCGAATCACCCGATCCGGCAGATCATCGGAAAATCCCTTATGGTTTATTTCACCATATGAGAATAAACCATACACCATAAACCATACGGGTCCGTATGGCATATGGCGTATGGTTAGAAAGCCTGACTCAGACGACCTTTCGGGGGTGGGCTAAACTCAAGTACATGGGTGATGATATCGACGGATTTAGGCGGTTGTTATCCGGCTACAAGTCGACAATCACTATTGCCCTCACTGACGCCAATCTGTACGTTTCACGGTCTGCAAGCCACCACCCTCCATAAAATAAACCATTCAGTAACAACTCTAATGTTTATGCTGTGAATGTAGCCGCGTATGCTCTGCCACCGCCGAGACCATTCGAAGCTACAAAGACCTTGTCGAGACAGCGCACAGTGACCTCCGGGCTCACCTCGAAAGTATCGACGAGAAAATAGGTGTCTTTCTCGCAGACGCCATATCGGAGACCGGCTCAGGCGCGCCAGAATTGCAAACCATGCAGGAAGAGCGATTGAGCACGCAGCGATGCCTTGAAATTTGTGACCAACTGTCGAAGCATATCGATGAATTTCAGCTGGCCACCAAACGCAGTGGAAGCTCGTCCGAAAATGAAGAGCCAGCTACGTTCCCCGAAAGGTCGTCAATGAGGGTCTGAATGGGTGCAGGAAGACCCTTGACAACACAGTCGTGAAACTGGGACAACACGAGAAGGATTTGTTCGATCGCTTGCTGGGAAAATAAAGAAAGTGCCTGCTTCTGGGGATACTTCCGAGATTGCGAGGCTGCGTGAAGAATGGGAAAACGCGCGCCAAAGCTTGAGCATTTGTTCTGAAGCAAACAAGCGCTTAAAGGAAAACATTAGCATTATTGACAACTACGCTACAGGCGACGCCATGCAGTTCATGGTTTCGACTGACGGAAAGACGATTCACGGACAAAACAAGGGACTTGGATGGAGGAGCAGGCAAGTAGGGGGTCACCTTAGTGATGAAACGGTCCGGCAGATATCACGGGACATGATCACACTTAATATCCAAAGGCCCAAGGAGGAGGAATCTCAATTGCAAGACAATGCGTATCCTGGACCTGATGTCGGTGCCAAAACAGAGGCCAGGTCCCAATTTGGGGCAAGGTACGGGCGAGGCTTCATGCTATCGCCCAAGTCTTCTGATACACCCAAATCTCCTGGATCTTATTCGGGAAAGTAAACTGACTTTTGCGGACGAGGTTATGGGGGCAGGCCGTGGCCAGCCACATCATTGTCGATTTGGACCACGCAAGGGACTATCTCTTCTTGACAGGCGGTTGTTGGTTAGGCAGCCATGCAGCGTTACTGTTCATGGCGGCGTGCCTGTATACGTGCGTCCAGTTGTTCAATCTGCTGATACGTCTTGCTCCATGTGCCCAGAGTGTTGCCGCTCGTTTGGGGTTCCTTTGTAGTATTAAGCTACCATCCTAAGCTGGTGTCAGAACAGCGGTTCTGCGGCTCGTCCGAATGAGGAAGGTGGCAACGATAGTGGGCACACAGAAGAGGTCAATTGGAGCTATAGGCACGGCTGTGTGTGTGTAAAGGCGATGTGTGTGATGCCCCCTTCCGGCTAGGAATGTGCCCCTTTTGGGCCCGCAGAAATCTCAGCTGAATGCCCCACGTGACCTGGCAGGTGACCCATGCCGCCCTTCCTGCTGCGCCGTTCCAACAGCTGGCCATCTGTCACGGGCTGTGACCGGCATGGTCGACTAGGAAGCGTTCAAGCCACCAATGAACGGTCGACCCGTCAACAGAGGCTACTGAATACGCTCTCGTCGACTATGGATGTGACTGTTACGCCGTGATCACGTGGCATCTTCCCAATGACAGATTCGTGCTCGATATATATTCTTCGTGTAGCCGAAGAGTACTCGGACCCACCCTCGGCGCCTGCTTAGCGAGCGCGACCGGGCCTACCATGCCCCACCCATCGCCTGTTACACCCCCTTCACCGGTACCGCAAAAAGGTGCCTTGACCATACAAACTATATCAATTGAATTGAAGCTATTAGCCCATAATAAATTATAAAAGAAATACTACTCTGTAGTGCTTTCAATGTTTAATTGCCGTGGACTGTTGGGTTTTTGGTCTGTCTCCGCCCATGTGTAAGAAGGCGACGAATCAGGTGGCTTTACCCTCCTTCCTCCTCCTCTTCAACCTGACCAAATGCACCTTCAATCGCATATAGCACCTCTTCATCGCCCTGTGGAAGCACATAGACATTCCTAATATATATCGGAGGTTTATGAACATATTATTAGGATTGGGGATCATTCTTTCCTTCCTTGGCCTCATGCGATGCAGCGTAGCCGCCGAGGCCTGAAATCTCTGATCCTTCAACACCAACTCTGCTCCTTGCGCTCAAACACTCTAGATATCTTTCTCAAAGTCTTCTCGAGGCTACTAGCTTCGAGATTTTTTAGCCTGTGGAGTTGTCGGCTCGTGCTCCTCGTAGGTCTAGCTTGGCGTATAGCATCAAAACCATATTTCTCTGTCTGGTTAGACCCAGTGAAAATGACGCGTGACCTTGAAGCCACGGTAGTTGAGATCTAATGTTAAGATCTCCAGCACTATACCGCCGTCGATATCTTTACTGATGATATTTATCCCTTTTGGTCCGACATCGAGCACAAGATGCCGTCACCGGCGGTAGAGTCGCTCATACTGTCGCTCATACTGCCGTTCATGGTGCCGCGCAGGATTCCGTACGCAAGGAGGATAAACGACAGGGTAATTACGAGCTCAATAAGCCACAGCAGTTGGGTGACAATGATACTGACGACGATACACGAGACCGGCTGGCCGATCCGGAGCATGCTCTGGGTGCGGAGTGACCTCGAGGCGGAGCAAGCGGTAACGCAGTCAGCGGATTTGACGGCGGTAATCCTTCGGCTACCGGGCCGAGATCTGATGGTAGTGTCGGTATACGTAGAGTAGAAGAGCGAGGTGCTATCGAGGCGGTAAGAGAACTGCATGGATTAGTGGTGGGCTTCCGTGGTGGAACTGGACGTCGTCGCGGGGACTTTAATCGCCACGATCTGCTCTGGGAGGCGATGAGGTAGCAACAAGAAGACAAGGGAAGCGCAGCCGATCATCGACCTGATGAATGACTGTGGGCTCTGCAGCCTGCCGCGAGGCACCAAGACGTGGCAGGGCCAAGACTCGGAAAGCACCATTGATCTAGTGCTTGCGTCGGCCGAACCGAACCGGCAGACGAGATGGTGACATGCAATATACACCCCATGGAGCACGGATCGGACCATACAGTTCTTGATGAGGGTGACGAACCGTATGTTCACGGAGCGTCCCCTGTCGCAGGTCGAGGTCGTCGCTCATCTTCTAGGATCTCAGCCGAATTTTCCAATGGCAGCGCCTAGGCGTACCTAAACACATACCGGTACTAGCTGTACTGGCACGTCTTTCGACGATTGCGGCATCTGCGACAAGTAGCGCATGGGTCACAGATGATCCCCTGGATGAGTCGGTCGTCGTCGAAGAAGCAGGCCCCAGGATCTCCGCGTCGAGGCATATCAGCACCGTGGAGATCTCCTGCGAGGCCTATGCCTGTACGACTACGTATCGCTGGTCAGACTCAAACGCAACAGCAACGACGGGAGCTGTGGGGCTAGGGGGGAGGTGCCTTTCGATGATGGGCGGGCACCAGGAAGACGCTGGGTTCAGGTGCTCAGGCGGCCGGGAAAGCAGGCCACCGTTTGCCTTGACGGCTACCTGAGCAAGACTTTGCCCACGACGAGGACTCGTGTCATCGGAGGTTTGCGCGAAACCGATTCGCCGGAGGATATGGGAGACGCTAATTTTTTTCCACCTTTGAAAGGGCAACCGTGCAGCACTTTGTGCTATTTGTACCATGGGAGTCTTTCATGTGCGAAGAAATGGGCGACATCAACAGCATCTGGGCGCGGGCGCGAGAGGCGCTGGCTCCGAGAATATCATGTCTCGACGACATCGTGCCGATATCGTGCGGCTGGTTCGACGATCAGCCGAAGACGCAAAACGCGATGCTAAGCAATGGGCATCCTCATCCGGAGATGCCTATCCGACGGTCGCACACGTGGAAGGGGCGGGACGGACGAGGCGGGCGCAGAATCAACAGCGACGTATCAGTCCAAACAGCATCGGAAACGCAACGCAGCTGATCGACGTCGTCCGAGGTGCACTGGACTCGAATCAGGTGACGGCCAAGTCGCCGGAGCAATGGCGATGATGCAACAGCTCTATCGGTTCCATCGATCAGCGCTTTCCTCGACGGCCGAGCTGCAGGCCGCCGTGGTACAGTACCCGAACAAGGGGCGAGACGGATAAGCATGTAGGGGCGGGTATTTTCCGGGGTCGCACTGCCACCGTAGGATCAGGTCAGGGCCACCAAGTCGCAGCAGATGAGTGCCTCGAAAGAGAGGGAGAGGATGATCCAAGGCATACAAAGTATAACCGTGGTCCGAGAAAGCGACTGCCGTGCTGCGTTGCGGAGGGTCATGGTCGGCTTAGCTGGCTTCGAGGAGGTCGATGTCGAAATGGCGATGGCCGACTTCGACGAGACCGCAGACGACGTAGAGGCGGGAATGCAGGCTTGGCGGGCAGAGAGTTGGCAACACGGCCGACGCTGAACAAAACGCAGTCGATCGCTTTCCCAATCATATGCTGCCAGCTCGATTTGATGCGACAAAACGACGGAGGCGAAGTCGGCCAACTCTGCCAGTTCGTCGGTGGCGAGGGCAGGACTGGCAAGTCGCGAATCATCGAGGCATTCGTCGAGTTGTTCAGTAGGAGGAGCCTTTCGAATCGCCTGCTGATCACGGCGACATCAGGACTGCCGCAGCGATCATCAACAGTATCACGATCCACTTCCACCTGCGGGTTCTCCAAAGACTAAGGGGCGGCCGCGAACACGGCCAGAGATCTTGTCGAGTGTGACTGCCAACCAAGCGGACCGGCTCGTCCATGGCCAGTCTCGGATGGATTGGCGGGAGAAAGACGCACTGGTCATACCATGCGCCATCTTCGTCAGAACATATTTCCATGTTATACCGGGACGCTGATCTATGAGCGGAGAATTGTTGCAACGCCGTGGTAGAGTGATGGTGAAGTCAAGAGGTTGGCGGAGGGCTGGCATGACTAGATCACCAACTGTTGTAGAGGCGAGTGGCGGGGAACGGGTTGGTCGAGGAAACTCGGGGTGTCGCTCCTAGACCCTTCCGCTGCTGCCTGGTGCTCGGCGCCAGCTCACTTTCTGGCTGCAGTGAAGACGATTTTGCTTACCAAGAGGGGTTGCAGTCCTTACAGCTCAGTACTACCAAGCAGCAAGAAGCTAGGATGCTGTCAATCGCCCAAGACGAGGACTTGCTGCACTGTTGTGAAGCCAGAATCGGCCGCAGGTACGGTAACGGGAATCCAGGCACCCATGATGAGCGGAAGGGTCTAGGAGCGACACCCCGCGTTTTCTGTACCCAGCCTTCTCCCCGAACTTCTCTTTGCGACAGCTGGTAATTTTGTCCTACAGTACCAATCATCCGCCAACCACTCACTTGAGTTCACCATTATTCCGCCATAGGATAGAGCCGCTACTAGATGTCCAAGGCACATGTTCAAAGGCTCATACCGGCGGCACAATCACAACCGCGGCCAGCCAAGTCCCTGCGAGCAGAGTCCCCCTGCCTGGCCGACCCCTGCCAGAAGTATCGCTTCCCAGAAAATGAGGCAATGACAACGACAATAACGACGACTTCGAAAGCGGTGTCGATACTCAGGCTGACAACCCGAGGGCACGACCCCATCTAAGCTTGAAAGCTCTCAGGACGACAGCCTCGCACAAACCAGCAAGCGTCAGGCAGTTGTATTCACCGGCGAACGACGATGACACCTCGCGCGAGCCCAGCTGCGTTTCCACTACAAGCGGAGACATGGGAGGCGTTACAATGACTGCCTGGCGGGGCTATAGAGCTTTCCAACCGATCAGCGGGAGCAATATTTGCCTTTACAAGTTCCATTATACGTGCTATCTCGCACTGAATGATCGCCTCTTCATTACGCCTGTTGGCCCTAACGGGGCAAGTATCTCTCGATACTGGCATGGGTGCAGAGGAGCACGCAGGCCATTGGACCATAGACCGGCCGCCACGTCTGGGAAACGACTTCATCCACTGATCCATCATCAGTCAGATTGATACCGCTTCACAAAGCCGCAGACGCTTCTGATTGGAGCACATTGTCACCTCATCGTACATATCTCGGCCCGGAGGCTTGCTGGGCGGAGCCTACGGCGGTATGGCGGCGAGCCAGTCGTGGACAGCAGTCAGTGCGGCGGGTGGAGGGCTGCCAGCTCAAAGGTCTGCACGGCGATGAATTGCGACGTGACGGCGTGGTCTAGAGCTAGCCTCTAGATGGTAGCCAGATACGCCGGACGGAGAATGGCTTGGGCTTCTGGATTTGCGTCTCGTATCACACCGTTTCCGGGCTGCCCACAGCGACTCGCATACCCGCAGGAGAACGAAAATAGGCGGAGGTGCCCCTAACCACATACATGGCGAAGTTCCATTGCGCCGACATCACAGGAACGACATCCGTGTAGGAGAAGATCACGAGATGTCCTTACGCGAGGTTTGCCTATAAAGACCATACATTCCGACTCCATGTGTCTTCGTCTCCTCATCCTACCTCTACAGTCTACACTATCCTCGTCACGTATTTCCATCCTTCTCACACTCTCCCGTCCACAGCGCCATGGCAAGTAAAAAGCAAATAGCGACAAACTCACCGGCTGGTCAGCCCGGGGCGGAGAGAGGTCAATCCGGGCCGAAATATATTCGCGAATACAATGTCGACGACTCCAGTTGTGATCCCGTTTTCGAAGGTCACATCGAATTGGAAGAACTTACCTATGTGAACGAGGCACTTAAATCCTGCCACATGCCAGCAGACAGTGGAATCGATCATGTCGGCTGTAATGAAACTGCCGCTGCGAGCACTACTTGTACATGTGGCAGCCTCTTTGCTGTGACGGACCGCAAGATCAGAGACCTTTGCTACAACGAGCACTGCGAAATTCGAAATCAGCTGGCCGACATCAGCTCTCGTCTCGGCGCCTTAGAAGCTCAACTTGCCAATACCAAACCCGTCTGTCAGAGTGCCACAGCACCAAGGATCGCAAACGGCATGCCAAACAGGACCCGCAGCAGCAGCGAGACCAGCCACCTCATGGGCCCGCAGAGCAGGCGCTGGATGACGAACCACGCGCGCGTCGCCGAAGCGGTGGAAGGCATCGGAAGACTTGCCCAGAGGGGCGAGCGGAGCCGCGAAAACAGTGAACAAAGTCAAGCTCTCACGAGTCTGGCTCGGAAATAACCAAGAGTGCCCGCCATGAGTATACGTTGAAAGGCCCAAGAGAGCATGGTGGAGGGCCGGAGGGCTCTGGAGGTCTGAAACAATCGGGGCCGATACCACGCTGGAAGGAGTACATTTTGCGCTGATGACGGACGTTCTTTTCTTGAAGTCGAGATTAACGGCGGCAGCCACCCATAACGCTGCAATGGAATGACGAGACCGAAGCCTTCGAGGGCAGGATATGCTGAGGGAAATGAATCTCCTCATCGGTTACGACGAGATGTTTGAGATGCTCTGCAACCCCTATCAGGCGTGTAGGGATTGGCGGGTTTGTCAAGTATGAGTACAACGGATCACAATAGTCTGCTAGAGCCTAGTCGTACTGTACGGTTTGCAACGAGACGCAGCATTTGTTGCAGATACGAGTGGGATACTACTTTCTGGAAATAGCGCTGGGGCAGAGATCAAGTGACAATATACATGCGCCGGTTGCCGTGAAGCCGTTTTGGGTTGGCACAGGATGCCAAGGAGGTCGCATTCGAGCGTCCAGCCGTGAACATGTTTTGCCGTTCATGGCTATTGCGTTGCGAGGTCAGTAGTCCCACCTAACCTTCGAACTAGAGGTGCCGAATCCAGTCACGACAAATAACTTGGCAAGGCAGAATGGGTACTTATGTCGCAAGGGCTGTCAGCCGCAGCGACGAGATTCACGACGTCGTCATTAGACGGAGCAACCCACCCGCATGCTACAAGTCTGAGTTCGCCTCGAGGGCCATAGATTCAGTGGAAATGGAGCAGGGAGGACATCGTTTATAAGTTGGATTACGACTCCCTCCGCTCATCCCAGAGCTTGTGCTAAGACTCATTCCGTCATACATTCGCCATCCTCTGGTTGAACAGCCCTGGACTACAAATATTCAGCCAATATGCCATTTCCGTTGCATCTCTTATGTGAACTCCTCAGTGAACTCGAAAGAAATCACACGAGGTCTTTCAGTATTCAGAAGACCCAGGACTTCGATGTGCGCAGTCTTGTTGGCTGGTTCGACAAACATGATACAGCCATCCCACGTCTAGGGTCAGAAGCCGTGGCATTCTTGTCATGCCTCTTTCCCGAACGCAGGCCGGACCGAGTTTTCGGCTTGTCAAAATTCAGCTCGAAAGGATTGTCCAACAAGCACAATGTCTTGGATCGTCCCGAATGAAGGAGCTACAGATATGGCAAACCAGGAACGGCCCGGACTTCGCAACTTGTGTTGAGCGCGTTATGGCTATAACGGACTGCGAACCAAGGATGGGTCCGAAAGTGACTCTGCAAGAACTTGACGATGTGCTCGATCGGATTGCAGCCTTCTCACCTTTCTCGTCCGCTGATCTGCGAGAAAAACTGAGCGGAAATACCGTCAACCCTGCAGCAGCTCGGACGATCTGCTCATCAGTTTGTTCCGAAGATTGAACAGCTTTGAGGCCAAATGGCTGGTTCGCATGCTATCAAAAACTACAATCCGGCCTCTGTCCCAGAAAGACTGGCGATGGGCAGATTTCATCCGTTTTGTGGAATCTCCTCCGTTTTCAGAATTCAATCCAAGTTGCCGTAAGTATCCTAGGGGACTTGAGATCCGGAATACACCCCTACAGGCCGTGGTAAATCCCTGGGAAGAGTTGAGGAAAGTCCTACAGCCGCAGGTTGAGTCATGATTGAACGGCCAGCTTATGCGAAAGCAAGGAGCATCAAGCATTGCTGCCACTTGGCTGGCTCAAGACTAATGAGCGTGGGCGGAAATACGATGGAGAATACTGTCAACTTCATGTTGACTTAAGCAAACCAGGCCTGCATCAAAATATTCTCCAAGAGTGGGAGGGACTCTACCATCGACCGCATTGGCCTTCATCGCGCGTTACGAGAAAGCCTCAACCTTGGCACGGCAGGCTGCAGGATCAAGAAACAATGCATACTGGAGGGCGAGCTGCTGGTATGGAACGACGACAGTAGGGTAATCGAGCCCTTCCACAAAATTCGTAAACACGTCAGACGATCAGGACGGCTCCTTGGGCGGCCCAAGACCCCATTCAATATGAATGAACATCTCATGATTATGTTCTACGATCTTCTGTTGCTGGACGACACGGTCTGCGCTAGAAAAAGCCATGCTAAGCGGCGACGACTACTTCGGTCTCTGGTTCGCCGGACCCTGGTCTTTCCGAGGTCGGGTTCCGCGAAGTGGTTGCATTCTCCTCAGCCAATGCTGCTGAGCGGCTCACTGAACTATTCGCACGAGCCATTACACAACGGTGGGAGGGACTGGTGCTGAAAGGTTGCAACGACCTTACTTCACCTCCGATTGCGACAAGTCATCCATCAAACTCAAGAAAGACTACATTCCAGGCCTCGGTGACTCTGCCGACTTCACTATTGTCGGTGGCAACCATAGCGCGGAGGACGAACAAGAGATTGGAATTGGCAAGCTCTGGTGGACGTCGTTTTTTATCGGATGCATGGAAAATAAAGATGAGGTCTGCCGTTATAATTCTAAGCCAAGACTTCGCATCATCGACATCATCGACAAACATGGCATCCCGAAAGACCATATGCAATATCTCAACCGACATGGATATTTCACACAAATACCCTTCATTGAGTCCACGCCAAATTTTGACGTGGTCTTGGACCCGACCGTGGACTACGCCCAAAGGCGTTATTTCAGCATCCATTTATAGTAGAACTCGTGGGATCTGGCTTCGACAAGCCCGCAAATGCACGGTACTATACTCTACGGTTTCCACGAGTGTTGAAGATACATGGCGATCGCTCGTTCACTGCTACCACTAGCTTCGACGAACTGCAGGAATGGCTCAAAAATGCTCAGAGATACCTGACAATTGCGAAGGGAAGAAAATTCTTGGCTAAGGAGGTTGCGAGGTCACAGGCACTGGCTTGGGTCATCAAGCCTTGGGACATCAAGGCGATCTCCTAGCGTCGATTCAGTTTCTTTGGACATTCAAGCCACCAGCCCAGATCAGAGGCAACAGGAAAACGGGGGGGAAGCGGTTGAGCTCCGAGCCTGATAATATTTCCGTCGATTCATCGAAGAGAAGGGTGGATTCGGACAGTCCATGGCATAGTACAGTCAAACGCGTAAAACAGGACTAGAAAATATGTGTATGCATATTGAAGACTTACGCAATGGGTGGGTAATTATCAAGATTCGGCGTTTGGCAAGAGAGCAAAAGCACTGTGGCTGCCTTGTCCAACGGCGTTCGAACCCGGTGAGGCGATTGCCTTGCTACTTGTACTGAAGCGCGCCCGCAAAGACCCCGGCCGATGCGAGAACCCGTTAAGTTACAACAAGACTCTGTCGAGTCTACTCTGCATCACCATAAATCGGTAAGATATCCTCGAAGCATCTTCTCTATGGATGAGGCCATTCGACGGTTGGAGCTCATCTCTGCCAGCAATTGGCTCGCGTGGGCCATTATGGGCACTTTGGCGGCAGTCGGGGAGGGGGACACGTCTTGATAGGTGCTAAACCCGTCCACGCTTGAAACATCCGAGATGGTCGCCAAGGACAACTTTCTTGGTTGGAAAGGTTGCGAGCCAGCCAAGGCCACAGAGTTGCATGTTGACTCAATTGTAAGCCATGCAGGGCAGAGGCACAAACAAAATAGGGGACGAATGGGGAGACGCGTCTAAGGGTGAAGAGCCTGCTGTAGGACTGCGACAGGGTGAGGATAGAGTCCGCAGCCTGGAGACAGATTTCGCGGGGTCGGACGTCGGAATCAGCCAGGACAAGGTTGGCGAGAGGGCGGAACAGGCAGAGTAGGCAGAACTGATAGTACATGCTACATGCGGGCAGTCAGCCGGATGATGCTGTCTCTTCTCCCCTCTGTGTCTCTCGGCCCCCTCCCGAGTCCTGTGAGCCGGGTTCTTGTGTCTGTGTACATACTGGATAAAGAGTACAAAGGGGGTGTCACTGCCGCCGGTTTTGGGTAGGGAGAAGAATCCTTCGTACCAATCGAGACACTCGGTATACACTGCCATGACCTCGGCTGTGTCGAATCGTCCGTTTGGGGTATGGGTTGCTGATGAGAGGAGCTTGTACACCCATTCCGTGAGCTGGAAGACTCTTGCTGGAATGAGCTGTAGATTGCGCAGTTGCGAGCCGCGTGCTTTCAGGGCAGGGTCTGCAGCCGTGTTACGGTGCGACTCTGATTGGATACAATTCCTGGGTATACCTAACTTGATGCATTCACCTGGTGTAGTTCCGCTGCCGCACTGGCCGCCAAACAGGTACTCGGCACTGCAGGCGGATTGGTCTAGAAATATTGAGTCGTCTTGTAGCTTGCAACTCGTAGACATGGTGAAGACTTGGCCCGTCGTGAGACGAAGTATGCTGTGTGCGGAATCCCATCAGTTTATGCTTCGGAGGAGTCGGGAACAGGGGCTGCAAGCGGTTTACAGACCGAATCAGGGACACGGCGCCGCGGTACGAAGTAGCCCAAACTTTGGCATATTCTCGGCCTCGGAGCCCATCAGGGCTCTTGAGGACAAGATTGACTATCCTAGCGGCAAAGGAGTCGGCAAGCGCTTGAGCTTCGGCCTCGCGCCCGCAGGTAATCTGGTAGAGCGAGAGAATCCCGATGGCCTGTATATCTGGGAGGTTGGCCGAGGGCCGGTTCTGCGGATAATGGCCTCGGCCTTGTCGAAAGTGGTTTGCTTCCGCACTTGAAGCCAGGCCCGGGCTCTCCGCTTCGTCGCTGATCTCGTGGACCACCCGGGTTGCCAGCGCGATGAGCGCGTTTACCAGGGCAGAGGAGCAGTACCGGCTCGAGCCGCTGCAATAGTCTCGGAAGAAGGGTCCTTGCACATGAGGCAGAAGGGAGGTAGTCCCAGGTGAGGAGGGCGTCGAGGATCTGCCGAACCGAAGCCACCGTACACCCGGCGCACGTCCACCTGTCGGTTTGCGCGTGTGATGCATCGTCAAAGGGCAATGACGGGAAACAGGAGCCGCCAGGGCCGGTGTCGAAGTCGCCTTGGGAGCCTCGCTCAGTGTGCTGAGGTCGCTCGAGCCCGAGGCAGAACGGTGCATGGTGGGCGACGGCAGTCGGCTCAGGCAGTGCGGGCAGACGGCTTCGTCGAGAATGGAGCTGGAAGAGCCCGCCGATGATTCCTGTTCACCTCCATCTGACGAGCCACGCCCGTTTTCACCGTTCAGGTGCGCCAGCTCCTGCAGAATGGCTTGGTGAGACTTGGTCCCCTCGACCAAGTCTTGTATAAAGGCATTGCTGACTTCGACGTCGTTGATTGAACATATTGCGCGGAGTAGTCGGTCATGCTCCTCGCTGTACCGCCGTAGACTATCGATCTCGGCCCGTAGATCGTCTTTGGACTTGCGTCGCGGGTGGTCGTATACGCGTCCTTCTCCGGCCTCGTCGCATCTTTTGCACGGTGCCTGGCCATCATCACACTAGAGAGCGAGAAACCAATCAGTGAAAGTATCCAGCTAGGCAGGATATGGGATGAGACAGACGACTGGGGGCTCTTTGGGCTTTGGCTTCGGTGGGCTATCGACTGACCTTTGCTCGTTTCTTGCGGCACCTCTGACAAGCCATTCGTATCAGCATTCGACGGGGCATTGTCTTTGCTGCCAAGTACAGTAGGGGCCCGTGGAAAGGAACCGCCTCCTTATGTAAGGTACGCCTATCGTGCCCGGGGCCAGTCGAGGTCAGACCCTGAGGTATCAAGACAACATGGCTTAGGCGTCACGGCGAGATGGTGGTCAGGGCCGCGATCGCCACGTGCTGTCCATGGCAAGGTTTAACGTGCCGGCCCCGAGGCATGTTTGTGCATACGTACATGCATATATATCTTGTATTTATGTATGTATATATGTATGTACATATGGTTGCCCTGGTCTGCATGAGCTCAGGAGAGGAACAAGGTTTGGTGTTTGGGTCACTACAGCTGCAACACAACATCGCAGACGTCATGCCGACCTCGATGGCGCGCAGGTGGGTCGCTTTCTGTCACGTCGCGCCACATTTTGTCTTGCCTTGTCTCGTCTTTGTCCCCCCGTCATGTCGTGGCGGCCCAAACTAATTGGCAGGGGTAGTTCGAGCACGATCTCACTGCAGCCGATCATTAGCCCAAGGGCGGGGGGTCTTTAGACCCCCACTTGTAAGCTTACCCCTGACTCGTATTGTGTGTGACACACCGCCACTAGCTCGAGGCAACCCCAGGTACGGATACTCAGGATACTTTATGTATCTAGTATGTATGTATGTATGTGTATTTCACCCGGAGGATTTCTCCTATAGGGCCTAGACGTAAAAGCTACTGACATTTCAATACATTAATGCGTAACACCTTAAGCCCCACGGGTCAGCATACGCTACACCAACCTCGCCGCTACTCGCTCCGTGACAGGCCTGCTTGAAGGCCAATTTCTCCAAGTGTTCAGCGTCCTACCTTCAGCAGCTGAAGCGCGGTCTGTCGAAATCCGAAGTCGAATACCTGTGTGTTAGTATTGTTGAAGGTTAGTGCCATAATCGATCCTAAGTGGATTCTCACTTCCGCTGCTTAGCCCGAAGGGCCAGACGCTGCCTGCGTCTCATCCCCAGGGTTCCGCGCCCGACAGTTCCGGCTGTACGATTCGTGTGGTCCACCGCAGGGCACGCACTTTGGCACTGTCTCCTTGCATTCTCTGTGGTGATGTTCTGCTTTCGCGCATCTGCCACATCTTTGCGGCTTCTTGCATGAAAACGCCTTGTGTCCCATCTCTTGACAGTTGAAGCACTGAATCGGTCCTACGCGGCGTTCAAAAACATTGGTGCAGGCGGACTCTCCCGCAACATCGAACCACACGCCGTCCAGAAGTCTTTGCGCGTCACTCTCTTTGGTGACATAGATCACCATTGACCCGTACGCTTTGGCTTTCTCTTTGTTGCTAAGCCAGGTGATCTTGGCAATCGTGACGTAATTCTCGGCTCCGAGCGCCTCAGCTGCGCCCGGCAGAACGTTGCCTTCGGCGTCCAGCACTGCGGTACGCTTGGTGTTGTCGACTTTGACAGGGTAAAGCTGATCTCTCAGTACCCTGGCTCCCGAAGTTACCGTCTTCTGCGCTGCTTCCTTGACCTGCTTCAACTCGGTTTGGTCTCTGCATAAAATTTTGATCCGGTCGGGGTTTCGAGCGTCTGTCACGACCGCTGCGCATTTCCAAGTCTCCTGCCTCTGACTCTTTCTCATGTCGCTCTCTATGGCCTTTCGGATGTTGCCGATCTGCGTCTGGCACCTGTTCGCTTCTTCGACTCGTGATGTGTCCACCGTACAGTAGAGACTATCGCTGACGGCTGTTCGTGCCGATTTAGCTGCTGGTACGGTGCCCCGGTTCATTGTCTGGATCGTCGGCGATGACCCTGCAGCGCTCGCATACGACATCTGCGGACTGCTCTGCAGAGAAGATGCGGCGTAGCCAGGGTCTCTAACTGCGCTCGGATGTGACGAAGCTCATCTCTCATCTCTTTCCCTTGTTGATCCATTTCCTGGATCATCTGCTGTTGCTGGATATGATCTCGTTTTGCGCATCTATCGCTCGGCTGAGCTTTTGCGTTTCTTGACGTGACTCGCTCAAGAGTTCGAGAACTTTCTGGAGCATGGCTCGGCCTTCGTTCGCGCCACTGCTGCTGCTGGCAACTTTGCGCCGCTCAGTCGCGTCACTGATGGCGACATCGTCCGAGGCAATGCGCGTTGCAAGCCTAGTTGCGCGTGTTGTCTTCTCAGCCAGATCGTCGGGCTGTCGCGCGGCTTCTCGAATTTTGGTGCTTGGCCTCACGACGCGTGTCGATCTTTTCGCGGGTGTCGACGCAGGCGACGCGCTTCGCCCCACCATGATCACGGCCTCAGCCGGCGTCTCCATGATGAGGCCCCTCAATGCCTAGCTGGCGTTCGCTTCAGGCTTCTTGTCGAGTTCGTCCGACCTGATCCTATGGTCTTTTTAGCAGCGAAATGACATCGGTTTATTCGGGCGGCTTGGTCGTGACGTCTTATGTATCTAGTCTTCTCTAGCCTAGCACGTCTTTTTGCTTTTTTGGAGATGTCCCAAACGGTAATCAATACTACTAAGTTACTAGTTATAGTAATTAAATCTCGCGATAACCTCACTTTCTGGATGCCAATTGCCTTTGCCTTATGTTACGAAAAGTTGGAGCTACTGTCTAATGATTCAGATGACACTAAGTATCTGGCTTCGCGACACCTCTATGTTATGTCAGACATGTTTGTCGATAGTGTAAGTGCGCCTCACCAATCGTGACTTACGACAGCGCCATTTCCAGAGGGGAAACGCGCATAGCTAAGTTACCGCTAGGTGTGAGGCGCCCTTGCCTAATACGGCTAGACACATGGAAGATAAATATCGCGCATAGAGCGATTAAGGGGGTCCTGGTTTAGGGCCATCCTGCACATGGAGATCGTTGGTCAGCAGCGTCCTGCATCTTTTGCTGCAGGTCATCAATCCTACCACCTGTTCGCGTGGGGCTTAAGGTGTTACGCATTAATGTATTGAAATGTCAGTAGCTTTTACGTCTAGGCCCTATAGGAGAAATCCTCCGGGTGAAATACACATACATACAAACCACCTGTTCTCGGATGGCTGCCGCCACAGCCCAGAAAGGATTAGTTAACCATGAAATTGCACTGCCGGCCGAATCGCGCTTCTGCTTCACCCGACATTCTCGAGATGGTTGCAATATGTACACAGCAATGACCTGACGTCTTCGTTCTACGAGCTGCTATGCCGCAGCCACAGTGTGCTTCCACCTCTCTTAGCACTTTTTCTGCCAGATTTTTGCGTTGTACCAGGCACTACGCCCTCTTCTTGAGATGGCTGCGTTTAGAGGCATATGGAGAAACCCGAAGGTGGGCGTAGTGGAGGGTCTCGTGGCAGCAGCTCGGTTGGAGCGCGATGAAGCGGGATAGTGCAGAAGTACTTTAAAGTAGAGCTAGAGAGAAGAGGAGTGAAGGCGAGGGTGGGAGATGTGGGGTCTCGGAGACGTATGCGAGAGAATGGTCAGGGGCCACAACTTGCGTCACCAAACCGCGTCCTTTTTGGGCGCATTTCAGCGACACTACTTCCAGGTACATGGGCACAAACCGCGATGATGACGTTCGAGGTGCGGCAGGGCTATTTACCTACCCCAACCTCCAGAATTGCCGCTTTTGGCGGCTCCAACACTGTCTGTTGATCTGAAACGTGCTTGTGAACTACGCCCAGAAGAAGGTTAAGACATTTTTCGTTTCTTCTGCGACATAGGCTTTTCCGGCTCTCCGCCCGCCGAGCCAAGAATATAGCGTCTAGATTGGGCAAAAGCAGGCTCAGGTAAGTCTGGTGGGCAACGGTCGTGGACATGCGCGAGTAGTTCATACTCCTGTGGAGCTAATGAGCGCCGAAGTGCTCCTTTATTGTCCTGACTGGCTTACTATGTAACATAGTGTACACTACAGTATTATTTCCGTTTGAGCTGGTCTTTTACCAGGAGGAGGCAGAATTCAGCCGGGCAGGGAGGGCTTTGCACAAACTTCATGCATGTTTCGAGAGACGGCGCACGTCTGGATGGCGTCATCTTGTCCTCTTAGTAGAAGCGATTTTGACCAATGAGAACTGGAGCTTAGAACATCAATAACTCTGGGCTGCGCGTATGATTGGTCAAGTGACGCAAGCTGCATCAGAGGCTGTGCACCTGATGGCCGTTAGGACCTGCGGGACGGAACAGAGTGAGTCAGTCAGTCACAGATCGGAAGAGACAGGGTCACACAACAAGGGGCACGGTTGGTGTGGATGACTGAACAACGATCGGGAAGAAGATCCCTGTGTATCGGACAACGAAAGACTCTTGATTCTCTATCTAAGTGATGGTGAAAAGTTGGCTTCTTATACTTGGAATTTTGGGCTGAGTGGCGATGTCGCCACCTAGGCAGCATGTAACGGGCTAGGCCCTGCTGGACAAGGCAGTGCCTTGTCGGTCTAAGCACTGTTGCTCCAGTAACGGCTTAGTCTATTTTGTTGGAGGATTTCTGTCCTTCTATTTTCCTTTCCTTCTTCTTTCCTCAGCTCGAATGTAAAACGCACGAGGACTACATAGCTGTAATTTACACTATTAGAACCCATCACACAGCATAGATGACGATGTCACCTAGAAGGTTCGAATCCATCACTAATATGGCATTACGAACTGCTTGCTGCCTTTTAGGCAGCACCGTGAATGAGCGTCTTGATCTTGACAGGGCGGTAGAAACCTTTCGCCAGAACGCAAGTACGGTACGGTCAAAGCCTTGAGATGTACCTACGGCAAGCAACTGCCAACTGGTAAGTTAATTTTCTCCTCGATGCGTGATACTGTAATTTCGCATCTCGAATTTTTGTTATTTGAAGAGTTCAAAGAGCATGAGAGGGGAGTATCTGCAGATTATGGAAGGGCCGGAAAAAATTACACGATGTGTATTTCGCGCAGCATCGAAGACTGTGAAGCGTAGACTGGTACACCAGATTCCTAAATACGCTACAACTTGGCGACGCGTGTAAGCCAGGATATCACAAGTATTGCGGCTGCGAAAAATGCAGCGGCTGTACAATGTTCGTTCAACCGCTTGGCAGTGGCTTATTCGATGCTCCACACGCCGGAGCGGGCAACCCAGGGCAGCTCAGGGCAGCTCAGGACAGGCTCAGGCGGCTCCAGGCAGCTCAGGGCAGATCAGGGTAGCTCAGCCCCTGCTCAGGGTAGCTCAGTCCCTGCTCAGGTTCGGCACGTACTTACTCAAGGTGGATCAGGTGGTGCTAATGGAAATACAATAGAGTGTGAACTTTCAAGGGTAGACCATGATTGCTTTGTCGCGCGGCTGGAATAGATCTGAGCGTGTATCCTGAAGCTTCGGGAGGATTCTCGCGGCCAGCCCTTCATGGCAGACTGGTTGCTCGCTAGCTTGCTGGGGAAAAGTAAGATAGCTGCGTGCCTCCCTAGGTAACTGTTAAAGGCACCACGATAGCCCAATTGACCTCCATCATGCCGTAAGTAATGAGCAGGCAAACATTCGAGGAGCAAATTGACGTTTTCAAGAATGCTCGTTCCTTAGTTACGTTGTGTTCTAGTCACATTGACGATCGATGCACTTCCCGCGACTGAGAGCCGATACGATGCCGCCCACGTGGTTGTCCTTGACAATTGGTTTGTTGCAAAGGACGCTGGACGCTCGATCATGCACGCCTTTTATCTAGGTGTGGATTTTTAGGTGGCCCGACGGCCGTTCAAGCGAAAGACAGAATTAATGTTTAACGACGATTACGCCAATACACATTGGAAGAGGTAGGAGCCAAGTACACAAGTTGTTATGAAGATCTAGAAAGGTGCGGCCCAACGGTCCTATTTATGCCGTTGGGTAACTCCATGGGCACCAAATTAGCCATACACGTGAGGTCACTATAGGTCCTGATACATGGCCTTATAATGATCTTTCAGGTGGTCCTTGATAACACCTAATAGCCTAACACTCCGACATTCCTCGTAAGAACGATTGGAACACTTCCACCGCAAAAGTTCCTCTATCACCACCGCGCGAAAATGGACGTCAACTAGAAGGCTGAAGCTCGAGGAACGTAAGTTCTCCTTGTCTCATACTAAAAAGAAAGGATATTCTCCTGATTAGGGAAGTCTGGTTGAGAACAAGGTGACTGCTTTAGCCACACACATAGATTTCGCGCGATGCAGGTTGACCGTGGAGATACCAAGCGATACATTCGATTTGCTACCTTGCAGACCAACAACTTCGATTGGTCAAAGGCATAGCTTAGGACACTGTTCCGTGTATTCGTAGAGCATGGTTCCGCAGATGCTCCATATGGTCCAGTGGCAAATCGCAGATCGAACATCTAATCTCATCGCCCTCGCGTAAATTCGACAAGTGCTTGCGTCGGAAGTGCTTGGACAGGTCTCCAGGAGTGTAAAACTCGCGAATGAGAACCTCCACGGCCCCATCATCTGATGTCAAATCAAGGGCCTTGCCGACACAGATGAAGCATCTTCGAGGCCTGTCCGTGACTGTCTTAATGAAGGTGGACATCAGAGCCGTGAGTTGAGGGCTGTTGATAGGCGGTTCGTTCATGAGAGTAGGCCTAGTTGAGTCGACCGACGCTCGAGCGCCGCGGATCGTCTGCCCTTCCTCGACCATACAATAAGCTACGATGGCGGCGATAGCATTGTCTCTCCGTCGATATTGACCTTCGAGCGTGTTGCCAAGTGGAGCGGCGAGGGCCTCAACCAATCGCTTTTGAGCCGGTCGCTGAGGACAAATGGGAGTGTTCACAGTCGCTTGTTTGACAAACCCAATACCTTGCAATTGCCCCTCAATGTCGTCCACCGCCTGTCTGGCAGTCCATTCATCTCGAATCTTCTGCTTAAGCACCCTCTTCAATCTTTGCTTCTCGTTCCTCAGTCGACGGCGGAGTTCCATGTGCTTCTTTGAACCTGGGCGATGATGCCGAAGGTCTTGCTCTAGTCGCTTGATGATAGGATCAGTAGACACGGATGCTATTTGTTCAGCTGTGAGATCCGTGGGTCTCCGCTTGCTGATAGAGTGGCCGACGCTGCAGGCCTGCCTTATGAGCGCCTGCTGTGGTTTTTGTCGCCGGAGAATACCCCAAGTATCCGCGCAAACCTCCCGTCCCAGGTAGTGCTTCTGAAAGGGATTCGAATTGGCGTGATGCCTTGCCTTGAGGAACGAAAGGACTTTATGCCCCCGGATTTTTTGTCCCCCCGGATTCGCGCCCCTGATTCGCCAGCTTTTGTCCGCTTCTCGTTGGTTGGCTTTTTCTCCCGGCCTGCTTTCCGGTTGGCTTGAAAATTGCCTCTTTCGTCTTGTTTCGTCTTAAAATGGTTGCTTTCCGGTTGGCCTAAAGGTTTGCCCTCTTTCGTCTTGTCCCTTTGCCCTTTGTGCGAATCCCGCCTTCCTGTTGGGTGTGAAAAGCCGTTGCCGTTCCCGCTCAAATTCCCCAATTCCGCTTTCCGGTTGGCCTCCGATTGGCCTGGCAGTTACGTCCATTGCCTTAAGTCTCTTGCTTATACGTTGGCCGTTTCCCGCGTCCGACGTCATTCATGCAATTCATGCCTGTCCAGGGCTTCTCTGTTTCTGCGCGAATTCAATTCGAAGTCGTCGCCGAGCCAGCACAGCGCCTCCCGGACGGTTCTGTCGCTCAGTTCCTCTAGCCTCGCTTGTGCGGCCGTCATCTCCCGGGGGACCCGGTTTCCCACCAGGTCCCTCTCTCGCACCTTCGACACGAGCATGATGCCGTCCAGCGTCGGGCACCGCGACAGCTGCACGTACAGGCTATACGGGTCGCACTGCGAGGGGACGGCACGTCCGCCGACGTTTATCGTCCTCGTCCCTCGCAGCTCGAGCGCGACGCGCTCGAGCGTCCCCCCCTGCACCTTGTAATCCGTGCATGCGAAGGCGGCGGCGCACGGCAGGCCCTTGCGGCTGACGTCGTTCTGCTGCCACGGTCGCTTCCGGTGACACTGGATCCTGACGCTCATGGGCGTCAGGAGGATGGTGCCAGGCGGCATCCCGACGAAGCGGAAGTCCTTGGTCGTCTCCGACCCCAGTATGATCGCCGCCGGCGGCCGAAGTGGATCACCATGTCGGCCGAGCCGATGCCCGGGTGCGCCTTGTCGACGATGACCTCCGCCGCCGTGTAGCCGGCGCCGTTCACCAGCTTTAGCCCCTGGTGGGTGTTGTGGTTCGACGACCGGCATCCCCGGCACGAACATGAAGACGGCCGGCACCGGGATCGCGCTGTCGTCGCCCTGGTTCAACATCATGATGGCCTCTTCCTCGGTCGGCAGGCCGTCCTTCCATTGTGCTCGGAGGAAGATGCGCACCGTCGACCGCTGCTGGATCTGGAACGCCAGGCTCGCCTCCATGTTGAGGTTCCACCGGTTCCTGTTGAGCGGCGTCACCACCGTGATACCCGTCTCCCACGGGATCCGCCTGCCTTCCGGTGGCACCTCGAGTTGAGAGATCCAGGTCCGTGTGGTCCTGCACGCCCCGTCGGATCCGCTTCAGCAGCCGCCGCAGCTCCGGGTCGCCGGCGGCGCGCATCTGCTCGTCCAGAATGACGACGGTCGTGAACCCCTTCCACAGCGCGTGCGCCTTGTCGTGCTGGTGCCGCTGCTCGGCACTGAACGAGTTGTCCTCGTCCCACGAGACGGCCGCGCTCGGCAACAGGATCGACCTCTCCTGGACGGGGCGGAACTGGTGGAAGTCCCCGCAGAAGAGGACGATGGGGATCCCCCCGAAGTCCCGCTTCGATCCCCGCAGCTGGCAGAGCCGCTCGTTGACGGCGTGCAGCGTCCGCGCGCCGAGCATGCTCACCTCGTCGATGACGAGCACGTCCTATCCTGCCAGTCCATCCTGGACTGGCCGTTAACGAACCGCTCCGCCTGCCTCGGCAACCGCACCCCGTCGACGTCCCTCGCCGTGTTCGCGCCCGGCGCTTGGTCCTGGTGAAGCCGCAGGCGGGTGGATGGTGATGCCATTGACCCGCGCCGCGGCGGTCCCCGACGTCGCCGTTATCAGCAGGCGGCGAGATGCCCTTCGCGGCGAAAAGGCCCACGAGTGCTCCGATGACGCGAGACTTGCCGGTGCCGCCCTCGCCGCCGACGAATTGGCAGAGCTGGCTGACGTCGCCTCCGTCTCCTTGCCGCATCGAGTCCAGGTGGCGGCATAGTATGGAGAAGGCGATCGCCTGTTTCTTGTTCAGCGTCAAGCGTGTCGTCAAGCCTTTCCCGGCCTCGAGGAAGGAGGTCGACGGGCCGAGGCGGACTTCCATTCCAGCCCCCGCGTTACCTGCCGTCTCCTCGGCTTCCGCTCGCGTCATCTGCACGTCTTCCTCCCCGAAGCCGGTCAGCACGCTCCTCTCCGCTGCACCACGATCGGTGCCGTGGGCCGGGGCCATGCTTTGTATGCCCTGGATCATCTTCACCCTCTCCCTAGAGGCGCATGTCTGCTGCGACTTGATGGCCTTGACCTGGTCCTGCGGCGGCACCGCAGCCCCGGAAAACACCTGCCCCGGCATGTCGATGTGCCTCCCGTCCCGTTCCCTCACGATGGCGGCCTGAAGCTCGGCGGTCGAGACCAGCGCTGATTGCTGGAAGCGGCACAGCTGCTGTATCATTCCCGAAAGCTCGCGCGATCCGCCGTGATCTGGCTCGCTCCGGCCGCGCTTCGGACGACGTCGATTAGTCGCGTTGCGTTTCCGACGTTGTCGGACTGGTACGCCGAGGCCGCGTCGTGGTCCCCCGGGTGTTGGCCCCCCTCCTCCCCCGCGCCGAGAGCGCCGCCGGGATCCCCGTCACCGCCCGAGGCCGCCCACTGCTTGGCGTCTCGCCTTGCGTCCTCGGCGGACCGCCGGAGCAGTTGAACGTTATCGACGAGGCAGAGAGTTCTCGGCGGCAGCTGCTCTCGCGCCCGCCTCCATATATCATTGATGTCGCCTCGCTCTTCGCCGAGAAAGGCCTCCCACGGCACAAACAGGGCAGCAAGATGCTGCACGGCTGCTCTGCGACGGCACAGTAAGCCCCCCCGCGTCGCGACCCCTCTTCGCCCCGCCGTCTTGCCGAACTTACCTGCGATGGCCCGATTCCTCGTCGTCCTGCTCGAAATCCTTGCTTAGGTAGCCGTCAAGGCAGACGACGGCGTGCTTTCCCGGCCGCCTTAACACCTGCACCCAGTCCCTACCGGCCTCCCAGCCGCTCTCGAACGGCACCTCTCCCAGGCACCGGAGCACCCTTCCTTGCCGACGCGTTGGAGCCTAACGAGCGAGACATAGTCATATAGGCACAAGCCTCGTAGGACGTGTCCGCGATGATGGTACGCCTCGGCGAAGCTGATCCGTTCGCCTGCTTCATCCACGACGACCGACTCGTCCACGGACACGTCTGCGACCGCGGTGCCGCTCTCCTGCCGAAGGTGTCGCCACCGCCTGGAGACGTGCCAGTAGAGCACCGACACGTTCAGGTACGCCCAGGCGCTGCTGCCCGTGAACTCGCTCAGGTATCCCAGGAGATGGGCGACGACCTCGACTTGTGACAGAGCCCGCTCCGTGAATACCCGATTCGCCACTCTCATCAGAAACTGCCGCGTCTTGTTTTTAGTTCCATCGCCGTCGCCGACGACGCCACCACGGGCGTCATCCCCGGCACCCGGCTGGCCGCCGGCCGAGAGAACGGGCAGCAGTTCCGCCGCGGCGGCGACGCGCTTCCACGTCGGGTCCTCCACCTTGGTCGCGTAGTTCGTGACGTAGTAGACGAGCGCCATGGTCTTCCGTTGCGTCGCTATGAAGGAAATGTCATGGTTGTGGCGGAGCCACGGCGATGGCCTTGTTCCACCGGTTCACCATGGGGTGTGTCCTGCGGATCCGCAGTACACCGTCCGATGAGAAGGCAGTCTCCTCGACCAGCTTCCATGGCGCCTTGAAGCGACAGAGGTCGCCCTTTCGCCCCTTGTTGCCCAGGGAGTACTTGACGCATGTCGGGCTATGGGTGTGGATCTGCGTCGCGCCGGCGCAGAAATTGGCTTCCTCTTCGAATGAGGCCGAGAACTGCTCGGCACTGTCCAGCAGGGATGATATATCAGACGTCGCCGAACGCTCCGCCTGGACGGCGCAGAACCCTTCCTGGTCTAAGTCCTAGTTTCCGCGTCAGCCTGCGTCCTCTTGGCCTATGACTACGACGCCCTGCCGTTACCTCGCTAAAGACACTATCGACGTAGCGGACGATTCGCTCGCGGTAGGCCGCCTGTTCCTCCCCGTCTGAGTCGGCAAGCATCGAGCTCAGGCGCGTGTTTCCGTCTAGCCAGAGCAGCCCGTGGACATGAAGAGATCCTCGCTCGTTGGTTTCCACGGCGCCATAGTACTGGCTGATGCGGCCGAAGACCGACTCCCCCCCCATGTTGACGTAATGCTCAAAGAACAGCGTCATCTCCCGGTGGAAGAAGATGGCTGAGCTCATCGGGTCGGAGACGGATAGCCGCACCCGTTTGAATGACTTATCGAGGCTCCGCAGAAACTCCTCGGCCGCTTCGGTCGCGCGCGCGGTGCGCTGCCAGTCGGAGCTTCACCGGTTTCGTGATGTCGTTTGGGTTGATCGTGAACCAGATCGCGGGCACGCCGTAACGGACGATGAGCGCCAAGATCCTATGCCGCATCCCGAGACGGAGCTCTCTGGACATGGGCTGACGATAGCCATACAACGAAAGGCTCCTGAGGAGCTCCTTTACGGCGTCGTCGGTCGTCTTGCCTGTGCTCTCCAGCTCGGCTCTAGCTGCCGCCAATCCGTCTGCGGTCAGCGACCGTACGATGCGCTCCACCTTGCGGAAGTTCTTCCTCGTCACGCTCAGCATGCTGACGCGACGGTTCCTCGACCGCACGCCCATGTTGAAGACGAGGAACGCGAAGATGTGGTGCGTCGCGAACCGGCCGCCGTGGCGTCGCAACACCGTGTCGGCCCACGTCCGAAGGCTCATGTTCCGAGACGACAAGAGGTCCCGCGTCCCGGCCTCTTCCGCCTCGCGCGTGTTGGCGGTGCCTCTGCCCAACTGTACGGTTGCCTCTTCGACCGGTCGCGGCCCTCCGACGCCAAATGGCAACAGCGTGGGAAAGGTCTTTGCGAAAAAGGAGGCTTCGAACGAGTCGGCGAATTCATCCCCGCGGCGAATGCGTATGTGCGGCTCAGAACCATCGGCGTGCCCTAGCTGCCCCCTTGCCGAGGTTTGCACCCACGTCCTCGGGCCCGTGCCGCCGTCGCCTGCGCCTTCGCGGACGACATCGCACGCGAACCGCAATTTGTCCACGTCGGCCACGTCGGGCGGCCCGTCCAACGCAAATATTCCGGATGAGGTCACCTCGTTGATCGTCTTCGCATCTTGATTAGGCTCGCCGCCGCTCTGGCCACGCGCCTCGTCTACCTCGTTTGACTCTGGCTCGTCGTCCTCGCGAATCGTCGTGCTTCCCCCTTGGTTGAGCAGAGAGAGGATTTCTTCGATCTCTACCGCCCCCTCGTCGTCCATGGCCCGCTCCGTGGGCGGCACGACGTGCGCCGTCCGCGTCTTCTCCCACGCCGACGCCTCGTTCCGCTCGAGGCGCCCGTACACCAACGGCGGCACCCCGTCGGCCGAGTCTCCCCAGCTCTCCATCTCCGCCGCGTCGATCTCGATCCCGGCGTAGTGTGGGTTGTTCCTCTTCAACCAGATGAGGGCCCTCTCGACCACTCGCCGCCTCACCGACAGGAGGCTCGACATGTCATGGTGTCGGCCTTACCGCCCCTGCCACGAGACGTGGATCTCGTCCATCACCCGGACGAGCGGATGCGGCAGCACGTTCGTTGCCAGCTCTTGCACGTTGTTCGGGAACACCGTGATGTGGCCCTTGACGTGCTTGGGGTACGTTAGCGTCTGCTTCTGGCCGCCTGAGACGTTGTACCTTGTGACGAACCCATAACATGAGTTCAGCGCGATCAGCTTCTCCTCCACCGGCGTTAGGCCCTTGAGCTCGTCGGGGAAGACGTGCTCGCAACCGAGGCGGCCATGGAGCAGCGCCGCCGGCGACAGCACCCCGCGCGCCAGGTGTCGAGAACACTCCGCGCAGAGCGGGACGGGCTCGCCCTCGCGGAAGCAGCCTCGGCACGCAAACGGCGAGCTCCCACCCTTGGGAATGGGACTCGACAGCCACCGGTCCCATGCCGTCTCCCTCAGCTCTTTTCTTGTGCTCTTCCGGTAGCATAGCATGCACCTCTGTATCGGCAGCGTGTCCACGTCGTGGAACGCCCGATAGAAACGTCGTACCGTCGACACCTTCCTCTCATGCGGTACTGGTATGCACCAGGTTTGCTCGTTGGATAGCCTCTCCTTTACGGCGAATTCCTCCTCAAGATAACGTAAGACGCTGTCTAGGTCTTCCACCTGTAGCTCACTTCTCCTCTGCCTCTGACGGCCGCGTCGACTACGTTTTGTTGGGGGCTGGTCTCGGTCGGGCTCGCGGATCCTCTTTCTCTGTTCCACGGGCTCCGAAGATCTCGCCGCCGCCTCGACTCGCCTCGGCCGATCCTCCTCTCCTACCGCTGCCTGGCGTGGTGGACGTGGTGGCAACCGTCCGGATGACTGCGTATCTCCTGCTCCATCTCCCGGCTCTTTGGGCTGGATTGCCTGCACGGGGGGCTCCCTGACGGCTGTGGAGGATAACCCGAGTGTCGTTGCCGGCCGATCCTGTCCTGCCTGGCGTGACGGCCGTGGTGATAACCGTCCGGATGACTGCAGACCTCCTGCTCTGTCTTCCATCGCTTTCGCTCGGATTGACTGGACGAGGGGCCCCCTAACGACTCTATGCGACCCACCCTCGTCTGAGGAGGGCCCTTGTCCAGCCGTCTTCCTGATCTCTCTGGGCTGGATGGGTTGCGGCGAGTGCTGGCTTACATTCTCTAGCCGAAATCTTGTTAAACATCGCGCTTGCCCTCCATTTGAAGAGGCACCATTGGCGCGCGTCGTATTTTCTCGCGGCCGACTGCCTAGCCGGCTTCCCTGAGGCATCGCTCTTTCGAGTGCTTCTGCCTGTTCTCTTCGTGAGGCCTCCTCGGACACCGGCGCCTGCTTCGCCTCGATAGGCCGTAACCTGCGTGCCGGGCCCGCTCGACCTTCGTGGCCCAGCACCCGCTTCGGTCCCCCGTCCGTTGCACTTCGGCTCGCGTCCGCGGTACTACTCGTTGTAGCGGCGACCGCTGCCCCGACGCACGACCCGCCCTCGCCAAAGGGGATGTGCCCGGCCGCGTCCTGATCTCTTTGGGCTGGATGGGTTGCGGCGAGTGCTGACAGCTCTCCCAGCGGATATCTCATCCTCTTTCTACTTGTCGGTCTCCCTCCCGTGTTTCCCCGGCGCCAGTTGTCCGCTCAACAAGACCCTTCAGAGTCAGCTGCATGCCACCGCTAGGTTGCCTGGCCGAACGGTCTCGGGGCCATCTCCGGCCACAACGGAAGATCCCCTGACGCCTAGGCCTTCGTTTCGCCTGACCAAGACCCCTGGGGCGGATGGTGCTTGTAGAGCAACCCCTTCTCCCTCCAACACTGCGCCAACGGACGGCACAAAACCCCCCATGGCCGGCTCAGCACTTACCGGCCCTAATCTGACAGCGTCCGCTTCTATGATTAGAGGCATATCCCGCACGTTTGTCGATGCTGAGCGTCGCGCTCGCCCTCCCTTTGAGGAGGCACCATTGACATGCGTCGTCCTTCTCCGCGGCCGGCCGCCTCGCCGACTTCCTTGGGCAACGCTCTTTTGAGCGCCTCTGCCTGCTCTCTTCGTGAGGCCTCGTCGGCCGCGGCGGCCGGCTTGGCCTCAATAGGCCGGAACCTGGGTGCCGCGTTTGCTTGACCTTTGTGGCCCGACGCCCGCTTCGGCCCTTCGTCCATTGCGCTCGATCTCGCCGCCGCAATCCTCCTCGTCGCGGCAGCGGCCGCTGCTGCTGCCCCTGTTTCGCACTCTCCTGCCACCGACCTTACCTCGCGGCTACGATTCTCCCCCATGATGGTGCTGTCTTATCGGCAGGGCTCTGCAAACGAACGATAGATTGGGAAGCCTTCGCCCGGGATATGCCCCGAAATTGTCTCGCTCCCTGGCAATGGCGTTCTGCCGTGTTGGCATTCTTCCTACTAACGGTTATATCCTTCCTTGTTGATATCCCCTTTCTGCATTAGACCTCTCCTCTCTCGGACCTGCCGGGCTTCCTTTGGAACCTATCGACAGGCCTATCTGCCGACGGCCTAGTTTTCGGCATCCTATGCCGGTAGCCCTGCCGGACACCTTAATCCGCGTCGCCCTTGGTGCCCGATCAGTACCCAGCTCCGCAACACCACGACGCATCTCTTTGACGTCTGCTTACTTACAGCGGCAAGGCTCCTCGCTCTTCCCGGCGAATCCATACCACTATTGATCTACTATAAGTGCGTTTACGCTCGACTTCTTCCCTACTCCTTTCTTGACGCCGAGAACCCGTCCTTTTAGTGCGTGCGACTGGCCTATCGACCTGCGCAGATACACTATGTCTTCCTCTCTACTTCCTACCGATATGCCCGCACCGCACCTTCGAAAGCCGCTCGATAGCCAAAGGGGCGCTGGCGGTGAGATGTCTATGATGTCTTTTGTCCAGCCGGACTGTCCTGCTAGATTTTCCCACCAGGACGACCACCGCATTAGGGGTCTTAACGCCGAGGCCATGGCCCGCGTCTTCCTGCCTCCGCCCGCCTGGCTGCTCGCGACGGAATATGCGCCCCTCCGATCGGATGCCGCTGATTCCCCGACATCCGTCTTTTTTAGCCTCAACCTCTCCATCTACGGCCAGCCTATTGATCCCTCCGACTGGACCGAAGAGTGGTTTTTCATGCATGCCCGCGTCCACCCCTACGCGCTCGCATGGGAGGTTGAGCAACGCGACGGCCTGGAGTCTGGCACGGGCCGCACCCTTCTCTATACGATGCCCGCCCTTGCCGTCCGCGATCAGGGCTACCAGCCGTAAGCCGTGCCCTGACCCTTCGCGAGTGCCGACGGAACGGTATATGGCTAAGATGGGCCTGAAGCGTTCTCCTAGGCTCTTTGCCTCTATGGGCGACTTCCCTGCATCCCGCCTATTGTTTCCTTTACCGGCCTTGTCGTCGGCACCGGCCACTCCTCGCTGCGGCGGGACCTACTGCCGGTCTAGACGCCGCCCAACTTAACTGTTGCGGCTTTGTCCGCCTTTCTACCTATGTCGCTCCTGGGATGCCCAATAAGGTCCCCTTCAGGGCTTCCACCCGTTCAGGTCTTCGTTATCTTCCCTATTCGCGCTAACCCTGGGCCGTCTTGGGCAGGACTCTCAATTTCAGCCTAACGTCCCCTTTACCTGCACAGGCAAGGTCGCTGGCCTGCTCCGCCATGACGTTATGCTCTACCCCCCGGGCTCTTACCGGGACAACGTCTTTATCGTCGTCCCAGATTCCTGGACTTTTCTCGACAAGGCCGCCGCCGCCGTCACCACGATGGCACCGCTTCTCTCTACGCCACAGAGGCAACAAGCTTCCTCCGCTTCCGCGGCCTTCCAGGACATGCGCGCTGCCTCTTTGTCTTTGATCACCCTGGCTCCCGCCCAGTCCTCCACCTTTGGCTTCGGCTTCGCCCTCGACCGGCCACCTTACGCCGCCCGGGAAACGATATTGCCCTGAGCCTGCCGATACGGCGACGAGGCGACCGTGTCTGCTGCATAAGGCCCCGGTGATCTCGTCTTCCCCTAAGCCCGCCTCCTCTGCCACCCAGTCGTTCTCTGTTTCGGCTGCCTCCGCCGCTCATGAGCCGGACAACCCTAAACCGGGTCCTGACCTACGGGACTCTTCCCTCGATTCCATTGTCGCCCATGGCTTGGGCTCGCCGGCCCGTCCCCTTCGAAACCGCCACCTATATAAGAAAGCTACGGAAATGGAATAGCGTACGCTGCTATAACTTCTTAAATGGGAAGTGTTTTTCGTCCAGCCTGACTGCCCGTTGGTCGCCGTTACCTTTCTGCCTCTGTACATCTGCCCCTTGTGTAGACTTTCGTTCCTCAAGGCTCTTTGCGCAACCCCTGTTGGGTTGCCTCTCCCGTGAGGAACGAAAGGACTTCATTAGCGCGCGGGGAAAAAAGGCCCCAGACTGCTTCACCCCCACATCCTCCGCCTCTGATTGGCTGATTTATTTCCTCTTTCGGAATAAAAGATCCCGTGTGATTGGTCGCCGACCCTTCCGTCCCTCCCTCATCATTGGTCGCTGCCGCCTTCTCTTGCCCCTCTCATGCCTTGCCCTGTTTCCCCCCCGTTTATACTCCTGTTTACCCCTTGCCAATGCCAATGCCAACCTTTTTCCTTTCGTCCGCCGGTTTTCTTATTGTGTCTAAAACTTGCGTCTTTTGTCTTTGCCCTTTTCGTTCATGCCTTTCTAGCGGGTTCTTCCTTCAAGTCTAAGTCGCCCCTCGTTGATCGCTGCTGCCCAGTGCCCTTGTCTTCTTGCCCGCCGGCGCCTCCGTCTTCTCCCCTCGTCACCTCACCTGACAACTCTCCTTGACTCTTCAGCGTCGCCATCCGACCGACGCAAAGCTTCCTCGACAGTCCTCTCGCTTAGCACCTCCAGCCTGGCCTGCGCGGCGGTCATCTCTTCGGGGACTCGGTTGCCCCAAGTCTCTCCCGCACCTTGGACACGAGCGTGATGCCGTCTAGCGTTCGACAGCGCGATAGCTGCACATATAAGCTGTACGGGTCGCATTGCGAGGCACGGCCCTTCCATCGACTTTCGTCGTCCGTGTCCCCGCAGCTCCAGGGCCACGCGCTCTGGCGTTCTGCCCTGCACCTTGTAGTCCGTGCAGGCGAAGGCTGCTGCGCACGGCAATCCCTTCCGGCTGACGTCGTTCTGCTGCCACGGCCGCTTTCGTTGGCAGTGTATCCTGACGCTCATCGGCGTTAACAAGATCGTGCCCGGCGGCATCCCGACGAAGTGGAGGTCCTTTGTCGTCGCCGATTCCAGTAATATCCCCGCCGGCGGCCCGAAGTGGATCGTCATGTCGGACGAGATTCGATGCCCTGGGGACGCCTTGTCGACAATGACCTCCACCGCCGAGTAGCCGGCGCCGTTCACCAACTTCAGCCCCTGATGGGTGTTGTGGTTCACGACGACCGGCATCCCGGCCACGAACATGAAGACGGCCGGCACGGGGATCGCGCTATCGTCGCCTTGATTGAGTACCATGATCGCTTCTTCCTCGGTCGGCAGGCCCTCCTTCCACTTGTGCTCGGAGATGAAGATGCGCATCGTCGACCGCTGCTGGACCCGGAACGCCAAGCTTGCCTCCATGTTTAGGTTCCACCGATTCCTGTTCAGCGGCGTCACCACGGTGATGCCAGTCTCCCAAGGGATCCGCCTGCCCTCGCGGTAGCACCTGAGTTGAGGAGGTCCAGATCCGTGCGGTCCTGCACACCCTGCTGGATCCGCTTCAGCAGCCCCTGCAATTCCGGATCACCGGCGGCGCGCATTTGCTCGTTCAACATGACGACCGTCGTGAATCTCTTCCACAGCGCGTGCGCTTTGTCGTGCTGGTGCCGCTGCTCGGCCTTGAACGAGTTGTCTACGTCCCACGAGATGGCCGCGCTCGGCAGGACGATCGACCTCTCTTGGACCGGCCGGAACTGCTGAAAGTCTCCGCAGAAGAGGACGATGGGGATCCCCGAAATCTTTCTGCGATCCGCGAAGCCGACAGAGTCGCTCGTTTATGGCGTGCAGCGTCCGCGCTCGAGCATGCTCACCTCGTCGATGACAAGCACGTCCTTCTCCTGCCAGTCCATCCGAGACTGGCCGTGGATGAACCGCTCCGCCCGTTTTGTCAGCCGCACCCCGTCAAGGTCCTTGGCTGTGTTCGCGCCGCCCGCCCTTGGTCTTTAGTGAACCCGCAGGCGGGTGGATCGTGATGCCGTTGATCTGCGCCGCGGCAGTCCCTGACGTCGCCGTGATCAGCAGAGGATTCGAAAGGCTCTTCCCACTGAACAGCTCGACGAGTGCCCCAATGATCCGCGACTTGCCGGTGCCCCCTCGCCGCCGACGAACTGGCAGAGCTGGCCGGCATCGCCCTATTCGTTTGTCGCATCAAATCGAGCTGGCGGCATATTATTAGGAAAGCGATCGACTGCCTCTTGTTCAGCGTTAGCCGTGTTGACAACTCCTTGCCCGCCGCGAAGAAGGAGGTCGATGGGCCAAGCTGGACGCGCATTCCCGCTTCTGCGTCGCTAGCCGTCTCGTCGGAGTCGGCTGTCGTCATTTCGACGTCGTCCTCCCGAAGCCGGTCATCACCCTCCGCAACGCAGCTCGGCGATCGCTTTCCCGGACTGCGACTGTGGTTTGTACGCCTTGGATCATTCTCTCCCTTTCCTCGACGCACTTATCTGCTGCGACTTGATAGCCTTGACCTGATCCTGCGGCGGTAGTGCGGCCCCGGAAAATACCCGCCCTGGCATGCTTATGCACCTCAACCCTTGTTCGGGAATCGCGATGGCCTCGAGCTCGGCCGTTGAGCAGAGCGCCGATTGCTGGAATCGACAGAGCTGCCGCATCATTGCCATGAGCTCCGGCGACTTGGCCGTCACCTGATTCGTGCCCACTGCGCCTCGGACGACGTCGATCAGGCGCGTTGCGTCTCCGATGTTGTTGGACCGATACGTCGCTGCAAATTCTGCGCCCGCCTCGCCTGTCTCGCCCTCCTCGACGTGGGCGACCGTGGAATCGCCATCGCCGGATGAGGCCGCCCATTGCTTGGCGTCGCGCTTTGCGTCTTCGGCTGATCGTCGAAGCAGCTGCACGTTGTCGACGAGACATGATATTCTCGGGGCCAGCGCCTCTCGCGCCCGCTCCCAGATGCTATTGATCTCACCTGTTTCTTCGCACAGAAAGGACTCCCACGGCACAAATAGCGCAAGATGCTGCACGGCTGCCCTTTAAGGGGAAGGGGGGGGAGGTTAGCCACTCTGATGATGCCTGCCGGCAGGGCGGTTGCTATACACACCTCCGGTGGCACGACTCCTCGTCGTCGTTGTGGCCGAAGTCCTTGCTCAGGTAGCCATCGAGGCAGACGGTAGCATGCTTGCCCGGCCGCCTGAGCACCTGGACCCAGCGTCTCCTGGCGCCCATCCATCCTCGAAGGGCACCTCCCCCCAGGCCGCACAGCTCTCATCCTTACTGGTGCGTTTTAGTCTAACGAGCGATATGTAGTCGTATAAGCATAGCCCTCGCAGGAGCTCTCCCCGGTGCTGGTACGCCTCAACGTGGGAGATCCTCAGGCCTGCTTCTTCGACAACGACCGACTCATCCAGAGTATCATCTATGGCCGCCGCGCCACTTGCTCGTCGGAGATACGGCCACCGTCGAAAGACTTCCCAGTACAGCAGAGATGTGTTCAGGTACGCCCAGGCGCTGCTGTTGGTGAACTCGGCCGGATATCCAAGAAGATGAGCGACGACCTCGACCTGAGATAGCGGACGCTCCGTGAACACACGATTCGCCACCCTCATCAAGAACTGTCGCGTCCTGTTCCCCTTGGCGGCGTCATCGCCAACAGCACCTCCACCGTCGTCCTGTCCTCCGTTGGCCGTGCCGTCACCCGTTGAGGCGGCCAGGAGATCGGCCGCGGCCGCCACACGCTTCCACACCGGGTCCTCCACCTTCGTCGCGTAGTTCGTGACATAATACATAAGGGCCATGGTCTTGCGCTGCGTCGCAATGAAGGAAATGTCGTGGTTGTGCCGGAGCCCAACAGCGATAGCCTTGTTCCATCGATTGACCATGCTGTGAGTCCTCCGGATCTGCAACACCCCGTCTGCCGTGATGGCGGTCTTGTCGACCAACCTCCATGGAGACTTAAACCGGCATAGATTCCTTTCCGCGCTCCTTTGCCCAAGGAATACTTGACACAGGTCGGGCTATGCGTGTGAACCTGTGTAGCGCCGGCACAGAAGTTGGCCTCCTCGTCAAATGCGGCCGAAAACTGCTCGGTGTTGTCCAGCAGGGAGGAAATATCGGACGTCACAGATCGCTCCGCTTGCACGGCGCAGAACCCTTCCTGATCCAGATCCTATCTTGCACGTCAGCCTGGCCCCGTTTGTCCATCGGACGAGCAATTCAGGTTCTCAGTGACACGTCTTAGCTATTCTTACCTCGGAGAAGACACTATCGACGTATCGTATGATTCGCTCGCGATACGCCGCCTGATCCTCCCCGTGGATGTCGGCAAGCATCGAGCTGAGATGCGCGTTTCCGTGCAACCAGAGCAAGCCGTGAACATGAAGCGCCCCTCGTTCGTTGGTCTCCACAGCGCCATAGTACTTGCCGATGCGCCCGAATACCGACTCTTCTCCGACCTTCACGTAATGATCGAAGAACAGCTTCATCTCCCGGTGGAAGAATACGGCGGCGCTCATCGGATCGGACATGGCCAGCCTTGTCCGCTTGTACGCACTCCCAAGGCCTTCTAGGAACTCCTCGGCCGCGCCGGGATCGCGTGTCCGATATGCCGCCAGTCGCAGCTTCACCGGGTTCGTAATGTCGTTTGGGTTGATGGTGAACCAGATGGCCGGAACGCCGTAGCCAACGATGAGCGACTGGATTTTCCGCCGCATATTGAGCCGAACCTCTCTCGACATGGGTTGCCGGTGGCCGTACAGCGAGAGGCTCCTGAGAAGCTCCTTCACGCCCTCATCGGTCGTCTTGCCCGAGCTCTCCAACTCGACCCTCGCCGCCGCTAACCTTTGCGCGGTCATCGAGCGGGCAACGCGCTCGACCTTGCCGAAGTCCTTCCTCGCCACACTCAGCATGCTGACGCGGCGGTTCCTCGACCGCACCCCCATGTTGAAGACGAGAAATGCAAATATGTGGTGCAACGCAAACCGGCCACCATGGCGCCGGAGCACGATGTCGGCCCAAATCCGGAGGTTCAAGCTTCGGGAGGATACGATGTCTCCGCTGCCGCCCCTGCCTCAGCAGCTCTACCGGTGCCTCGCAAGTTGGTAGGGCCTTCCCGCCTCGGCTATGGCCTCTTCGGCCAGCCTTGGTCCCCAACGCCAAATGGGAACAGGGTCGGGAACGTTCTGGCGAAGAAGGACGTCTCAAAGGAGTCGGCAAACTCATCCCCGCGAGACTCGAATGTATGGCTCACTGCCATCGTCGCCACGCCCTCGACCCCACCGAGGATCCGACCCACGTTCTCGGGCCCGCGCGGCCGTCGTCGGCACCTGCGCCAACAGCGTCACAGGCAAACCGCAGCTTCTCGACATCCGCCACGTCTGGCGGTCCGTCCAGCAAACATGCCGGAAGACGTCACCTCGTTGATTGGTCGAACGTTCTGATCGGGGCTAGCACCAACTCCATCACGACCCGCGCCTTCTTCGTTGGGCCCGTGCCCTTCAGCCTCGCCTCCCGTTTCCTGCCTTTGGTTGAGCAGAGCGAAGAGTTCCTCGATCTCCACCGACCCCTCGTCGTCCATGGCGCGCTCCGTGGGCGGCACAACGTGCGCCGTCCGCGTTTTCTCCCATGCGGACGGCTCGTTCCGCTCCATGCGATCATACACCAAGGCCGGCACCCCGTCTATCGGGTCTCCCAACTCTCCATCTCCGCCACGTCGATCTCGATCTCGGCGTAGTGGGGGTTGCTCCTCTTCAGCCAAACAAGAGCCCTCTCGACGACCCGCCGCCTCACCGACAAGAGACTCGACAGGTCGCTCGGTGCCGGCTTCTCCACGCCCTGCCACGAAACGTGGATCTCGTCCAGTGCTTGCAAAAGGGGGTGCGGGAGCACCTTGGTCGCCAGCTCCTGCACGTTGTTGGGAAACACTGTGATGTGGCCCTTGACGTGCCTCGGATACCTCACGGCCTGCCTCTGCCCGCCCGGAATGCTATATCTCGTGACAAACCCATAGCAGGAGTTGAGCGAGACGAGCTTCTCTTCGACCAGCGTGAGTCCCTTGAGCTCGTCAGGGAACATGTGCTCACAGCCAAGGCGAGTGTGAAGATGGACCGCCGGCGACAGACTCCGCGCGCCAGGCATCGGGCACACTCCGCACACACCGACACGGGCTCGCCTTCGGGAAAGCAGCTCCGGCATGAAAATGGTGAGCGGCCGCCCTCTGGCACGCAGCTTGACAGCCATTGATCCCATCTGATCTCCCTCAGCTCTTTTCTCGTACGCTTGCGGTAGCTATCATGCAGGTCCGTATCGGCAACGTGCTCGCATCGTGGAACGCCTGATAAAAATCCCGCACCGTCGACACCTTCCTGTCGTGCGGTATTGGCGTACACCACGTCTGATCGTTAGACAGCCTCTCCTTCATGGCGAAGTCTTCCTCCAAAAAACGCAGCACACTCGCCAGGTCTTCGGCCCGCAGCTCCCGACTCCTCTGCCTTCCGATTCCACTCCGAATCTGTTTTCTCGGGCGCTCGTCCGGACCAGGAAGACGTTTTCTCTTCTCCCGCCTCCGGGGCCGCCTCCGGGGCCGCCTCCGATCCATGATTTCTTCTCTCCGTGGCTGATTCGCTTCTTCGCAAGCCGTCGGATGCGGCAGCTTTGGCGACGACTGCCCGACTACGTGCGCATCCCTGACACGCCATCCGGCCCTTTGCACTGGACAGGCACCGGGCCGTGCTGGCGAACGTTTTCCACGCCGAACCTTGACCTCAGTCCTTGCCCTTTCCAGCACTCTCCTCGTTCTTGCTGCCGATCAAACTGCACGGGCTCCCCAGCCGCCACCCGCGATGAGCCGCCCACCTCCCTTTGCTGCAGCCTCCGCCCGCTCAGCGAAGCGTCCGCTGGCTCTGCCGCGGCGTCGCCCACCCCCACAGGAGACGGCCCCGGATGCTGCGCCGTACCTGCTGCGTTGGAGACACCCCTGCGGCCTGGTACTCCTTTACCCGCCAACTCCGTCCCCGACGGCGCTTGGGCAAACCAGACGCAATCGCTGCTGCTAATTGCCCGTTTTCTCTTAAGTTGTCGAATACCGGTTCCCTAGGCTGGATGGATCGAAGCTTCGGTACCTCCTTCGAATGAACACTCGGGACATCGCCCGCCGCCGCCGTAACACGTTGCTCCTCATCTTCAGGATCTCCTCCTGAGGCAGAAAGTGCCGATGAGGGCGGACGATCAGAGTCCGCTACCCCATATCTCCACGTTCCCTAGGCAACAGGGGCCTCGGAAGCTGACCCGGTGACTGATGTTGCGCGGAACTTCCGCTGCTAACCATATTATGGAACTTCCGTGCTCTGTTTGACCGCAAACCGCCTCGCGGCGGTCTTCTCGGCAACGACCTCGCAATTGCTTCTGCGTGCTGTCTCCATGCGGTGTCTTCAACCACAGGTTTCCTAGGCTGAATCGGCCGGAACGTTGATGCCGCATTCGCCCGTGATTCGTATCTTCGTAACCGTCCCAGGCTCTCCCCCCGTGCTCTGCGGCCCCTCTCAGAAGCTGCCACCACATCTACACCGGCTCCTGTCGCACCATCTCCGAGCCCCGAACCCGACCGCTCACGTTCTCACCCTCTTCTCCATCCCCGACTGACAACGAACAGGCTTCAGGGTGAGCAACCGCCTCGCTTAACTTCACTGCAGGACTGTCCGCCATGCTGCTGCCTCCTCGACGTCGACTGCCGTAAATTGGCAACAGGCTATAAAGCTTTGGCTCGGAGCACCTCCACTTGGACAGTCTCGCTTGTTGACGACGCTACTTCTCCCGAATGGGAAGCTCCTAACCATCACTTCCCTCATGGCCGTGGCGTTTCTTCCTTATAGCTTCCTATAAAATGCTTCCCTATGGTACCGAGGCGATGCAATACTACCCTCTATATTCCCCGTTACCATGCCTATCTATGTGCGTCCACCGTCCCGGCCTCGCCTGGTCTCCACGTGCGACCTGCTACCCGGCTTTGCCAAAAGCGACCCTTCCATCGCCGTGCTCTCTTTGCGCACTCCAGCGAATCCTGGCCACTGCCGACCTCCGGCACATGGAGATGGCCGCGACAACCGCCTGCCGCACACTTCAAACCATACTCTTCAGCCCTTCCAACACCATCCTACCAACCTTGCGCATCAGTTCACCATCAATACCCGCCAATCCGCCTCGTCGAGCAACAGCCACAAGGCTGCCGGCGATAACATGTCCATGACGTCCCTCATGCAGCCGGACTACCCTTCTAGATTTGCTCCCTCGCCAGCACCAATGTCGCATCAACGGCCTTAATGCTAAAGCGATAGCCAGGACCCCCCTGCCTGTCCTCTTGTAGTCGCTAGCCACCGGAGTCTCGACTTGCAAACCCTCTTGGAAAGTTCTCGTGACCAACTCGCATCCTCCTCCTCAGGTCGACCCATATATCCGACTTCACCGTGTCCCAATAGTAGACTCGACACGGTCGGCACCCGCCTCGCTCAGCCGCACGCAATGCCCATCCAACTACCGACGACCGTCAAAAAGGGAGTCCTGCAATACTACCATAACCTCTTTCTTTCCTTCACTCTCATTCGTTATTGCCCCCTTTGCTATCTACTCCATGCAACGATGACACCGAAGGGGACTACTGGACTTTCTTTCTCCGCAGTCTTACCCACACTAACCTTACCGTTCGCCGACCTCCAACTTCTCGCAACATAGCCATCACCCCTACTCAACTTCCAACCCCCGGCTCCCTACTTCACTCACGACCACAGAACCAGATGGTCGAGACTGCTCGAGAACCTCGCCAGCTCATTCCCGCATACCCCCGCTTCTGATCTATCACCTAGGTAGCATTCACTGACTCTCAAGTCTCCCCGACCCGAGCCACGAGCCCTCTTTCGAGCAGCAAGAAAACCTGCTTTATAGGATGCCTACCTCTACTCTGCCTAACCCTCCTTTACACTTCCACGGTGACCACATCTGCCATGTTCTCACGATGTCGGCCTCCCAGCTCAACGTCGATACCTCGTCCTCCCCGCGGCAACCTCTTGACAGCCAGAAAAATGCTGGCGCCGACATGTCCATGATGGCCTTTGTCCAGCCCGGCTGCCCGTCTAGGTTCGCCTACCAGAATGAGCATCGTGTCAAAGGGCTCAACGCAGAAACCCTAGCGAGGGTCTTCCTTCCAACGCCCTCATGGCTGTCGACTCCAGAGTATGCAGCAATCCGGTCAGATCCTGACAATCCATCGACCTGCATCTTCTTGAGCCTTAATATTTCCATATACAACCAACAGATAATCCTCGGAATGGACCGAGCAGTGGTTCTTTATGGTCGGCCGTGTTCATCCCTTTGCCCTGACGTGGGAAATCGAGCGACGTGATAGCTTCGAGTCGGAGGATGACAACATTACAGAATACACCATCCCGGCTCTCATCGTCCGCGACCACAGCTACCAGCCGTAGGTGTATGCTCCAGACCTCCGTCACCACTACCATCTCTGACGATGGCCACAGAGTCATCCTCGCACCCTCGGCTCGGCGGATGCCTTCCCAGCGATACAACCCATTGTCTCCTTCACGGGACCTGTCATCGGTTCCGGCCGCGACCTTCTGCATGGAAACTCGGCTGCGGCCCTTGACGACACCAGCTGAGCTGTTGCGGCTTTGTCCAGCTCTCGACCTTTATCTGTCCTGGGATTCCGGGCAAACACCCTTCAAGGGCTTTCATCCCTTTCAACTTTTCGTCATCTTCCCATTCACGCCAATCCTTGGACCTCCCTATGCAAGAAGATGACCGAGAGGCGCGATAGCCAGTTCCAGCCGAACGCTCTCCTCACCTGCACGGGCAAAATCGCCGGCTTACTCGATCACCAGATCATGACACATGCCCCGGCCTTCGAGCAAGACTATATCTTCATCGTCGTCCCCGATACATGGACTTTCCTTGACAGGGCCATGTCCAACCAGGCTTCTGCGACACAGCTACTGCCGACGACACCCAAGGGCTCAGTCGGCAACCCCTCGGACTATAGCGATGCGTTGGCCAGGTTTACCTCTACCAAAAAACGCAATGCCGCCCCAAGCGGCGCCTCCCCCACGCCGCCTGCATCTAGGTCAGTCGATCCCCTTATGATGACATCAAAGCGGTCATTGCCCGATCCCGACCAAACCCCAACCAAGAGACCGCGACTTTCTCCAGAAATTTCCACCATAGTCGCCGCCTGTGATAGTCGAGGCCCCGCCAAATCCGACACTTCCTCCTTCTGTCCCACGAAGACCCCGGAGACTCAGAGACGGACACCGAGCCAGTCAATCACCCAGCCACATCCGCCTCTGGCCCTATCAGACCTCCGGCGTCAATCTCTTCCCGACCGCACCGCGCCCGACATCCGCCCAAGAATATTCTGTAAAGCAACGAACGAAACAACACAACATGACAAGGAACATGTTTCATCATCCTCAAACTCAAGTGCGAAAGGCCCTAATGGGATATTTCCTTCTCCTCTTGCTCTCCTTTTCACAAAGACAATCCAGTCAAAACTTCTCCAATATACTCCTTATTCTGTTTATATCCACCACTTATAGCACCTGTAAATCCTCAGAGCCTTCCACTCGCCCACACATGCATTACCCACCCACAACTCTCTTCACCCCTGCCGCCTCTCCACGCCCTTTGCGCCTTTGCAAGCAAAATCTCCCTTGCAGCGGCCTAGGCTGCCTCTCTGACGCTCTGTCTCGATTTCACTCACGATAATGCTCTACGTCTCTCGCCGGATCTCCATCTCATATCTCTTATCTCACTCTTCTTCCTGTCTTCCTCTCACTTCCCCTGTCTCCTATCTCCTGTCGCCAACTCTCTCCTCTCCCCGACTTTCTCCTGTCGCCATCGCCAACTTTCGTTCCGAAAGGCCTCTTTGCGCGAGCCGCGGCTGGCGAGCCTTCCCCTCGTCTAGAGCAAGATTTCGCAGCGACTCGCTGATATCGGCTGAAGCTGGAGTAAGCAACAAGGCTATCGTGATTGGAGGACTTGACGAACCACTTCGATCGAACTCATTGGCCGCATTATAACGCAAGTTGTAGGGGATGGTGGGGTATTCCAACCCCAATATTTCGCCAACCCTTCTGATCCATTGTGCAATCATCTGGTAAGAAAGAGGCTTGTCCTGGGATAGCTCATAGCCGGTAAAGGTTTTCATAGCCCGTCGGAATATATATGTGTCTTTTAGATCGTCCTTGAGCGGCAGAGGTAGCTCCGCTCCTCAGGGTGGATATCAAGATTGGCAAGCTGTGCGGGTGAATTGAGACTTGTTGCTCGGAACGCGCGATGGCGGAAAAGAATGCCTAGCAGGAAGATGTGAGGATTGAGTAGCAAGGAAGGGTCGGCTAAGGTCTCTGGAAGAGGAAATGTTTTCCTAGATTCGCGTCAGCGCCATATCCTACGAGCAGATGAAGCACGGCGTTTCTGGCGTCCTTACGCATCTTTGACACCGAGGTACGTTTTCGTGAAGGCTAAGGTGAAGCGAATCAAAATATTATGCGGTCCACCTTCTGGGTCTTTCACCAGTGCGAGCCGGATGTCTCCAAACCGGAGACGCAGGATGGATGTGGGGCGAGCTCCAGCGGGTGCAAGAAGAAGGAGAAAGAGAACAGCAAGGATCCGAAGTTCCCCAAGCCTGAACGATTTTTTTGTCGTGCTAATTGTCGTTTCGATTTGCTCCTTGAGATCTTCGATCGTCATGCATCGATTCGCTCGCCTCTGGTCGCTCAAGTCATGTTTTTTGGAGAGGTCTCGGAGAACCTGCAGGGTTACCTTGTGACCTATTATTCGGAGGGATCGGGCTGTACCTTGTGCATACGCCGATTTAGTTTCGGCTCGAGTTTGTCTCCAGTGGCTCTCTCGAAGACGAGTCGGAAGACTTTCCAGTATGTGCTCAAAGAGCTGCTCTTCCTCGTTCCTCGCCTTTTCCTGCCATCCTTACCGACCTTCTGGTTGAGGGACCAGTCAAAAAAGTTATACAAAAGCCGCAGGAGCTGGACTCGAGACAGACTCCAAACATTTTTGGGGTCACAACCCAGCACCTCGCAGTACCTGAGGGTAGGACCATTACATGTTAGAGGCTGGGAGTCATAAGGGACATGATGTCGTTGGTGACGTACTGGCGCCATTGTGCGTCGCAGGCATCGAGGAGCAGTAGACTACCGTCGCTATAGTCTTGAGCTTCGTAGGCGGTCTCGTTGAATTTCTCAACGGCTTCCCGGTAGTACTCAGGTGGATGAACGTTGCCACCGAAGAGCTGGACTTGGTCTTCAACGTCAGCGTCGACGAATCCGTCTGCGTCATCGAAGTTCAAGTCCTCTACATCCGTTGCCTCCGCATACGTATCCGAGTGAAGGGCTCAACTTTGTCAAAGAGACCACCATCGTCAAATTCGTTCTCGGGGAGTAAGACGCGTCCGAGTCGTAAGAGATGGCGGAATGGCGTGCTCGGCGCGTCATGGTTGACAATGGATCGTATAAGTCAGCGGGATGCGGCTTTCCGTGAGCTGGCAAGAGGAAAGAGTTTCCACAGTAATGCTTGGTTGTGTAATAGGTAAGATGCTACCAAAATTTGAGGCGGAGTAAGAGCTTCTTAAGTATGACCTATGCGACGCCACCGTTCTGAGCGCTTTGTGGCTCCTTCTTTTGAGGCTAGAAAGAGGTGTCGGAAAGGCACACAGCTTAAACGGGCCGCGGAGGCGTCCCGACGTGGCTCTGCGGGCTGAGCATGATGGGTGACATGCCAAGTACATCGGAGATACTTGGAGGGATGAGCCCGGCGATACATTTGTCCGTTCTCGCTCTGGATTCCTGGCAAATTGGCCGCCACCTTTGGTGGCAGAGACCGTCCAAACGGGTGGTAAATCCGCCGTCTCATAGTTTATTAGAGTATCTTTTTATTTTTTATATAGTATTTCTATATTAATTCTTCCTTAGTTAAATATAGCTTATAGCCTTTATATATATTACTAATAATCTTTTAGTATACTATTATATCGTTTATACTATACTTATACTTTTTTATATTTATAAACTCTATAGTTTAGGTATATATATTCGTTATAATCTTCTTTATTATATTTAACTTATTATATAAGTCTTTAAAAGATTAAGGGTTTAGATACCTTAAAGTAAGTAGCGTTATACTATTCCTTTATTTTAGTATATTTATAGATTTTATATATCTTTAAAAGATATCTTATTAATAAACCGTAATTATTATAGTAAAATAGGAATATAAGGGTATATTCTTATAAGTAAAAAGTAGTTTATAGCCCTTAATCTTAAAGGCGCCTATAACTTAATATATATAAAAAAGGGATATAAATAGATAATAGCCTTTAAAACGAAATTTAGACTATTTAAATATCTAGTAATACTATTTAGACTTATAAATATACTAGCTACCTTTTAATAGATAATTAATAATATCCTATATAAATACTTAGATATCTTTATAGTAGTATACCTAGATAATATATTAATCTTCTTAGATACCTTAGAAGAATATAAGGAATACGTTTATAAGGTACTCCGCGTACTTTAAAATATAAAGTTACTAGTTAAACTAAAGAAAAGTAAGTTTTATATATAGAAAGTAGACTTCCTTAAATATACGACCTTACTAAGAGAGATATAAATATAATAAGATAAGATTAACTTAGTTAAAGAATAGCTAACGCTAAAGAACGTTAAGGACGTATAAAGTTTCCTAGGATTTATAAATTACTATTAACGATTTATTAAAGATTTTAGAAAGATTATAGTACTACTATATAACTTAATAAAGAAGGAAAAAGGATTTATATAAGATAATAAAGCAAATAAAGCTTTTAAATATATTAAGGCTATAATTAAGTAAGAACTAGTCTTAACTACCTTTAATCTAAAACGATAAATCGAACTTAAAACTAATATATTAGACTTTACTCTAAGAGTATAAATCGGATAAAAAGATAATAAAGAAAGACTACGACCGATTATATTTTATTTAAAGAAGCTATATAGCGTAGAACTTAATTACCCTATCTACGATAAAGAATTCCTTATAATTATTTAAGCTTTTAAGGAATTTCGATATTACTTTCTTAGAAGTAAGTATAAAGTTAAGGTCTATCTAGATTATAAGAATATCTTATACTTTATAATAATATAATAGTTAAACGGATAATAGATCTAATAGGCCGAATATCTATTAGAATATAACTACGAAATAATTTATAGAAATTTCTAGTAATATAACTAAGTAGCATACTACTTAAGTATGCTTAGAGTATTTACTAGTAAATTAATATATACTAGTAATCTAAGCTAAAACTCTTAAACTTAAAAGTAAGATTTACGCTATCGATCTTATAGTCTTAGTTTAATATATAAGATAGTATCCTTCTTTAAGATATAAAGATTAATAATAGTATTAACCTATAAAAAAGTATAAAGATTAGTTATATAAGCTTAAAGTAGCTTTAAAGATATCTTATACTCTTAAAAATAAGAATTCTTTTAATAGAATTCGTTTTAATAAAGAGGCTATAATACTATATAAGGAAGATTAAGATTAAAGTAAGAGATTTTATACTTACTTATAGCTTATAGGTATTATTTAATAAAAGATTTTTATAGACTTTCTTTAAATATAAATATAAAGCTAATAAAGGAGAGATAAGTATAGTAATATAATTAATATTACTTTACTAAGTAATTAGAAAGTTAAAGGAAGTAAAGAAGTTAAAGGAAGGAAGTAAAGGAGATAAAGGAAGTAAAGGAGATAAAGGAAGTAAAGGAAATAAAGGAAAGTAACTTTTATTAGGAAGAATAAGTTTAAAGCTATAAGAAAAAGTAAAAAGGCTATATAGTAATAGAAGTAATAGTCGCCTCCTTTATAAAGAGAACTAGATATAAGGAGAATATTTAACTATAATAATAAGACTTTAAATATAAAAAGGATAGTTAAGGTAAAGAATAAGTAATATCTATAGGATCTTATTATTTAATTTAATACTACTTTTAGCTATATAACCTAAATATATTTTATAAGTACCTTATATTAAGATAAGTATAAACGATTAATATAATAAAACTAAATAGGTAATATCTATAGGTAGCCCGAATATACCTATATATATTTTAGGTACCTATTTTAAATTTACCTACCTACTAAGTATTTATAGTAGCCCTAAAATAGCCCGTAGATAGGTATAGGTAGCCTATAAGTAAATACCTATAGGTATTTTTAAGTCTAAACTACGTAAAAGCGGGCTATAAAGTAGAGCAATATATATATAAGGATTATTGATATGTTAATTATTCGAACATTCGATAGAGAAGGGAAATGTTTGCTTAGATCTACATCCGTTTCGGGGAACTAGGGAGGTGCAAGTAGCCTAGCCTTTCTTCGATCAATCAAGCCACCTCCCTCTAGGACTCAGCCAAAGACATTTACTCCGACAAAACCTATTCGCAATAGGGATGCTCGCCTTGGACCTGCGCAGAGACCGTCGACACGGAAGGCTGGCCGGAAACGCCGCCTAGCTTGGCCTCGGCCTTCACCTGCGGCTGGCTGGTGCCGACTTGCGTGGCCCCGGCCTTCGCCTTCGGCTGGCTGGTGCCGGCTTGGTTGGTCTCGGTCTTCACCTGCGGCTGGTTGGTGCTGTCTTGACTCGTGACTGAAACGCCTCGCATGGGCATGAGCACATTGGGGTCACGTGGCCCGGACACGCCGACCCGGATGGAAATCTGGCTCGTCATTGCCTCGCGCTCATCGTGAGACAGAGGCTGCCCAAGGATAACCGCGACGCGCTTGGGAGCGGCCCCGGAACAGACCTGACAGCCCTTTTCGTAAATGGCCTGGGGTGGAACACTGTTGACCTTGACGCGGGACGTGAATCCTTCAACTTGCTCGGCCGGGGCGGCAAAGACGCCACCGCTAATCTGGCCACCATGCAAGGTGGCGGTGACGTAGAGCGGCTGGCAGTAGAATTTGAGATCCGCCATCTCGGCGGCGGATTTGGACGATGCGTTGAGATCCTTATCGTCAGAGGAGCGAGAGCTGGTCATGATGAGCTTGGGCATCGTTTGGAATTCGACCGTCGTGTTGGCGATCTCGGGCTTCACGGGAGTCGCCACAGCGGCATTTAGAGCATCGCACTGCTTAGCCGGCTCATATTGGGCCTCCGCCGCAGTCTGGTTGGTAGGAGGCGGCATTTGCGCGTCCTTGTTCCTCCACTGCCACTCATCCATCAAGGCTGTGAAATCGGACTTTTCCGCCTCCCAGGCTTTGGTATATCGCCCAGCGTCGTAAAAAGTGTCGACCCACCATTTGGCTAAGTTGGGGGTCAGGCTGGCCGGAAGCCCCTTCTCCCAAGCGTCCACCTTGCACTGGATGCAGCATTTGCGAGCCTCGTGGAGACGCTTGCTATTCTCCCACTGCTTAAACCAGTTCCTGGCGGCGCCCGCATCCGTCTTGGACACGGTCTTGGCCGAGGCGACGAGGATGGCGTTCTCGTGCTGCTCGATGGTGCATGGCTTGGTCGATGACTTGTCCCCGTTAAGACTTCCGCACATCTCGTCGACCGTCTCGACGTCCTGCTTGGCGAGGTTGCCGTCCTTGACGGCCTGGTCGACGGGCTTGATCTGGGCCGAGACGCCCTGCAGGGCGGCAAGGGCACCTAGCATGGCCACGGATGCCTTGTTGATCATGATGACTGTCTAGTCCTGGAGCGGGACGATCTTGTTTGGTGATGGTGTGATGTGGGTGAAGGGATGAAACGAAGGACACTGATAGCGAGGGAAGTCAGGGATGGTGTGAAGTTACAATGAATGATGAAGAAACCGAGATATATATCCCGTAGCGAAAGGAATGGGTGCCACCGACTAATGCCAGCGAGAGGCGATGAAAAACAGGTAATCCTTCGTCCTCGGTGGGCCATATTATGCGTGTCGGCTCCGCAGGCCTAATGATAAACTACTCTTGGATCATTCATGCGTCCAAGGGAAGCATGTCATGGCCTCACAATACTTGGTAGGGCCCGACACTTGTAATTCCCGGCACACTCCACTTCTTGTGTGTCTGTGTCATGTTTCGGCCACACGCGAGGTCGTTTACCTCGCTGGACACGCTTGGGGGCTGTCCCTGCGTGACACCATGACATAGCCTAGGAGGGCAGAAGCCAAGGCATAACACCCGAAGCACACACCACCCACGCAAGGTCGCCAAGGTTTTCGAGGTATCTTTTTTCAATAACTGAGACGACTTGAACGGTTCCCCTGATGCACGGCAACTTGGCTGCGGAACAGCCCATGAGGGTTCGCGTTGAAGACCCCTGTTTCACCCCGTATTTCATGTGTCATGCTGCTCGCTCTGGGAACTCGTCCTTGGCCAGTTCAACTCTCTTGCTAGGTTATCCTGAGCGAATCTCGGCGGCGATACGAAATAAGCCTAGGAGTAGTTTTCAAAGACGACTACCTACCTACCTGACTGACTTGACCGGTCCCGCTTCGAATGCGAGCCCCTCAACTTGGCAAGCGGCTGAAGAAGCATCTTGTTGGGTAACCGTATCTGATACCGAGGCGACGTGGACTGGCCAGGCGGAAGCTGAAAAAGCTTGCTGTGGTATATAAATGGAGACAAGCATTGGACTAGGCAGAGATGTCTAGGCCGCTCCGCTGCATGGGTCACCCACGCCTGCCCTCGTGTCCTTGCGCCGCCTTCCTTGAAATTGAGCTCCATGGAGGAGGCACCGAAGCTTCATTTAGCGCGGTTCTGGCTGGGACATGCGGGATTCCGCATTGAAGGATCACGCCATTGCCCACGTGGAGTTCAAGCTGGGTGCGGAGCAGCCCGGTTAACCCTCCTTGATTGAGGGTTGCGCATGATTTCCCTCGTGGCAAGGGCCTCGTCGCTACTGTTCAAAACGCCCCTGAACAGCATGCGCTCGTTTTGCCCCGCGGCAGACAGACAGTGGCTTCAAGGCGACGATCAAGGCTGTCAACCGTAGCAATGCGGCGTCATGTTGACCTGGACGCGATTAGGTATCGTTCTCGTGGCAGCGGGCTGAGTCAATCAATGGCCGGCCGCTTCGTTGATGAATAATACTAATAGTTTTCCAGCCCAATCTAAAGCGTGCGGTGGGGGGCTAGGCTAGGTGGATTTACCATGTCTGGACCGTTATTAGTTGAACCAAGAACCTCGTATCAATGTACGTAGCTGGTTGCTTGACTGGCAATGCGGCGGCATTGCACGTCGTTTGGAACCTGAAATTGCATAGACATGCATGATCCCCTACATGAACAACGTCGTCAGCCCAGCGTACCAACTCCGCCCCGAGTTGCTCATGTCCCGCCAAACCAAGCATTTTCTTGTTGCCCGTGCGGCTGGCAGCAGCCTCCGGCTAACGCTCGTGTGCAGGCATTTCACCCCAGGTGATGAGCATCAGACACTATCTTCGCCTCCCATTAGTCCCTTCCGTTTTCCCTCGTTTCTCACTGCCCTACAACCGGGTTCCCCCTGCCTTCTCGTGCCTGCTCGTCTGTGGCTGTGCCCGTCTTTTGCCTGCGCTTCCTGTTCGTGGATCAGGCGCCGGTCCTTATTCGCCATGTTACGCACGCGCTCATCCCTTTGCTACTTTCACCCTCGCCGTTTACCAGAGCTCAGTCGCCTCCCGCCCGCTTTTACGAGTCATTGGTATGCTTGCATTCGCCTTCATAAAGCAGGCGAGTAAACAAACAAGCAAGAACAACCCACTAGGATTGCAAATACCCCCTGTGGGGACATGCGTTGCTATGATGACATCAAAGTCGGAGTACCTACCTTGACACTGATATTTGACCACAGTTGAAGTAGATACATTTCTTCCCTATCTGGCTGGTATTTAACTACAAGTAGGTGCCTCTGTTCTCAAGCACTTTCCGTTAAAGCGTACAAGCTGCTTGTCAGCTATTGTCTTTACAATCAAGGTTAATAGATATGTACATAATCCGGGATCAGATACCCCCCTAACAGAAATTTTGTAGCTTGACGCGCTACAATGGTTAACAGCTACTTTTTTTTAGATATAGCCAATCACCGTCTCATATTCGAGGTTGTGCTTGCAAGGATCTTTGTAATCCTAGTGGGTTGAACTCTAAGTTATCAATGCTCAAGAAAAGTCTATACATACGCAGGTTTGAGTTGGCCTCTCCGGGCCTGGTTTAGTGGAGAGAGGCCGCCAGAGCTGAATACTAATTAGTACGTACTGGTGGATACTGTAGGGCCCGCGGATCGGCTTCTATTTCAGTCCGTCTTGGCACGTACTACATTACGTACCCACCACTCACCCATTTGCCTTATTGTAAGGCTGGCAGCTGAAATGCCAAGATCAACAAGGCCACGCACGGTGAGCCCATCGGGAGATGAACATGACAAGGTCGGTGGCGTCAATCTCGCATCCGGTCATGTCAAAGAGTGCTGGTAGCGCGCCTTGACAGCCCAGCCTCCCGGGCCGTCATCGAGGGCCGTCATCGAGGGCCGTCAATCATGGACCGTCAATCATGGACCACGTGGTGGCGTCATGCCACAGGAACACAGGAATGCAAGGGGAAAACGTGGCAGGCCATAAGCCACTGCCAGCCGTCGTACATGTAGGTAGTTACTGCACTGCACTGTACTGGACTCCGTACATACGCTCGGCAAGACGCGCGACGGGGCGGCTCACGTGACCGGCCTGGCCCCCCTCCCAAAGCGGGCGTTCAGCGGGAAAAGCCTTGGAGCCAGCCGATGCCGGTCGCCGCTGAACACGGGGGACTAACTAAAGCATCTCACCGCATAGTTATCACCTGTGCCGTCGGATGAGGCAAACACACAAGAAACCACTTGGCCGTCTCACAGTCAACGCGTGACTCTCTTGTGCAGCGTCTTCCAGCGTCGTCCAACACGTAGGCCGGGCGATTACGTGTGTGTGTATGCCATGATGCCACCGCCATTGCCGCCGTAGTGCTCCTCCGTAAGTCCGTATCTCCCTCGCTCCCTCGCTCCCTCGCTCCCTCGCTCCCTCGCCCTCCTGTCTCTCCCTTCCCCCACCTCTGACAATTCAGCGGGAAGAAATCTAAAACCTCGCGCAACCGCCTCATCGCCCCTCCTCTCTGCTGGACCCGCAAACTGAGAATCAGAGGTTGATCCGTGCCGAGTCGTCATTACCCAACTAGTCACTTGACTCGCTCGTCCGTCATCGCAGCTCTCCTCCTCTCCGCTCCCTCCTCCCGCCTCGACACACCCGACACCCTCCCCCCTCCCGCCCAGAAGCTCCACCAAACCTCCAAACACGAGCGCTTCCAGGTTCCCACGCATCGAATCCCCGACGACGCTGCGTGTACATGTCGCATCGCTCTCCCCTGCGGCTCGGTCCGGAGACAACCACGCACCTCGGCACCCCGCCACAATGATCTCGGACGAGGGCCAGAACGGCTCCGCCCTCGGCGGCGGCGGCCCCCCTCGCACCAAGATCTGCGTCTACTGCGGAGCCAGTGCCGGCAGCAGCCCGGCTCACATGGAAATGGCCCGGCAATTGGCCCGAGCCATGGCTGCCAACAACATTGACCTAGGTGAGTCACCTCATGTGACTCTTCTACCGCCCACCCCCCAAGCGGGCTGACACCTCTTCAACCAGTCTACGGGGGCGGCACCGTCGGCCTCATGGGCGAGGTGGCCAAGACGCTCTGCGAGCTCTCCGGGCCCGACTCGGTCCACGGCATCATCCCCGAGGCCCTCGTCAAGTACGAGCGCGACGGCACCTACCAGACCCTCAACGCCGACAACCAGATCGTCCCCGACCAGGCAAAGTACGGCCGCACCACCGTCGTCGCCGACATGCACACGCGCAAGAAGCTCATGGCCGAGGAGGTCTTTGCCGGCGCGCCCGGCTCCGGCTTCATCGCCCTCAGCGGCGGCTACGGCACCATGGAGGAGATTTTCGAGACCATCACCTGGAACCAGCTCGGCATCCATAGCAGGGGCATCTGCCTCCTCAACGTCGACGGATACTGGGACGGCATCGTCCAGTGGATCGACAAGGCCGTCGAGCAGGGCTTCGTCAAGCAGGCTAACAAGGACATTGTCGTCACTGCCACCACCGCCGACGACGCCGTTAGCGCCCTGCGCGACTACAAGGTGTCCGAGGCCATTTTTAAGCTCCATTGGGGGGCCCAGTAGCCGCGTGCGTGCCGAGCTGAGGTGGGAATCGACATGGGCGGGCATCATTTCGAGATGCACACCGTGGTACAGGATGGACGTAGACATGACAGCATTTCTCCCCTTCTTTCTCTTCCCCTGCGGCGTTTCTCGGCGGCGTCTTCGAGGTGGGTTTATATAAAAGGTACGAAACGTCTAGATCTATAGAGACGCAATGAGAATACGCAGCCGCCAATCTTCCACCTGCAGCTCGGGCACCTTGTCTGGTTAGGGAGTCTTTTTTCATTCATCGGGTTCAGGTCTGGGCCCACGGGCGCTGCATTGCAGGGCAGCTTGTATTGTACACGTAGTCTGCGGTAGCAGCAGCAGCCGTTTGTGACGCTCAGCTTGCCTGCTGTTATTCTGTCCCCCCTTTCCCCACAGTGCATGGGGCTCTTCAGCTGTCCACGTCCATACCCTCGCCCTCGTCATCGCCGCCGCCACCGCTGGCTCGGGCCTCGCCCAGCTTCTCGATCCACTGCTTGACTTCAAACTCCTCGTACAGCTTGAACGACTCGATGCCCTTCTTGGGGGTCGTCTCGACGCCTACCAGGCCGACCGACGTGTTCTCCACCGTCAACTCCTTGTCCTGCACCAAGCTCTCGCGCAAGGCCTGGAGGCCGTGCTTGACAAGCTCCTCGCGCGTGCAGTCGGCAAAGGCGTCGATGTTGCGCTCGAGGTACGTCCGCGCCATCTGGGAGCGCGCGCCGATGGCAAAGGCTGTCATCTCTTCCGTCATGCCCGACGGCTGGAACTCGAACAGGTGGGGGCCGCGCTCGTCAACGCCGGCAATGAGCAGGCCGACGCCGTACGGCCGCTTGCCGTAGACCTGGGTGTTGATCTGGGCCTTTTCGCCAATCATGTCGACGAGGGATCGAATGGGCATGGCGCGGCCGTACGTCAGGCGGTGGCCGAGACACTGCTGCTTCATAAAGTTGGAGAGGACGCGGGCGTCCGACGTGAGGCCGGCGATGGCGATGCCGGCGTGCTCGTCGACGGAGAAGAGCTTCTTCTGGTACGAGGAGAGCTCCTCGGCGTTTCTCTGGGGCCGCGTGTCAGCAATGCCGCGAGCTCAGGGCGGTTGGGGAGGTCGGGCGTGCCTTGACAGCGCAGAGGACGGCATGCGTCTTGCTGGCGATGCCGACGACGACGGAGCCTTGCTTTACGGCCTCTGCGGCATATTCGATCTGAAATATCCGGCCCTGGGGCGAGCTGGGCGCGGCGAGTGTTAGCTTTCCAGCGGCCAGCTCCACGCAGGGAACGAGGGCAGGTACAATGTGACGGAGTCGTTGTCGTAGTTGTTTCTGAACATGATGGCTGTGTGGCTACGAGGTCGAACCTCCGATCGCTAGACGGCAGTGATCGGGAAGTGGAAGGGGATGAGGTGTTGCGAGATGGCGTCGATGGTTGAGTGGAACTGGCGAGCAGGCAGCCCCAAGCTTCGTCGTCGTCAAGGTACAGCAGCTGTCGCCGGAGCTGCCCTGCTAGCAGCGGCACGGCGGCACCTCCGCTCCGGGGGTACCTTGAATGATGACTATGCCAGGTGGCTTATGCCGTAGATGCTCCGCTCCACCGCCTGCTTGAAAGGAGCACTGACTGCTTCAAAGTAGTTACATAGGTAAATAATTAGGTACCCCATACGGCACCCTGAGCAGCGTTGCTTCGATGGGACCGACATCGCCGTCGTTGGATGGGCCAGATTCATGAGATGGCACTGGAACACAGCAAACAGAGACTGGAGCGTATGATACACAATGAACACCCTGATGAACAAATTGCCGTTTTCAAGCTGGCATGTTCCCCGCTGCTACTGCTGCTGCTGCTGCTGCTGCTGCTGCATCACCAACGCGATTGGCGGGGCAGAGGAAGACCACAGGGTGGGAAAAGAGAACCCTGACGGTGTGACTACTTAACCTCTGACTCCAACCCATCGTCCGCTGCCTCTGCCGTCTTTTCCCCCATCCCTCTTCGCTCCGGCCTGACTCGTGAAATATTGCCCACCTTGCAAAGATCCCATGACCTGAATTGGACCATCGTCCTCGGGAAATCTAGATCGCGTCTTGCTGCCACCTCGAGCGACTCACACACCGCCCACACCGCGGGCACAGCCATCCTCGTTATGGCGGCCAAGGAGCGGAAAGACGTCAGCTACTTCGGCGCCGGGCCGGCCCTGCTTCCCACCGACGTGCTCGACCAGGCGGCCCAGGCCCTGCTCAACTTCAACGGCACCGGCCTCGGCATCGCCGAGCACTCACACCGCTCCGCCCTCGCCGCAAACATCATCAACGAGGCCAAGGCCGACCTCGCCTCCTACCTCGACGTCCCTGACGACTACGAGGTCCTGCTCATGCAGGGCGGCGGCAGCGGCCAGTTCTCCGCCACCGCCCTCAATCTCGTTGGCTCCTGGGTCCTGCGCAAGCGTTGTGAGGTCTTTGGCGACGCCGAGGCGTCGGACCTGGATCGTCCGGACCTCACGCAGAAGCTGCGCAGCCGCGTCGATGCCGACCTCAAGCTCGACTACATCGTTACCGGCAGCTGGTCGCAAAAGGCCGCCGCAGAGGCCGCCAGGCTGCTGGGCCCCGAGCACGTCAACATTGTGAGCGATGCCCGCAAGCACAACGACGGCAAGTTTGGCCTCATCCCCGACGAGAGCACCTGGTCCCTGTCCCAGGACGCCGCCATGGTCTACTACTGTGACAACGAGACGGTTGATGGCGTCGAGTTCCCCAACTTTCCCAAGTCGCTGGCTCCGGGCTCGGACGGCAGCGGCCCCATTGTCGTCGCCGACATGTCGTCCAACATTCTCTCGCGCAGAGTCCCCGTCCGCAACTTTTCCGTCATCTTCTTCGGTGCCCAGAAGAACCTGGGGTCTACTGGCATCACCGTCGTCGTCGTCAAGAAGAGCCTGTTGCCCCAGCCCTCGTCCGCCCTGATGAGGGCACTGGCTCTGCCGCAGCCGCCGGTCGTCTTGCAGTACGAGACGATCGCCAAGAACAACAGCCTGTACAACACCCTCAGCATCTTTGAGTGAGTCAGCCCGTTCTTGCCACGCTCTGGAGTGGCGAATAATAGTTGTTGCTGATTGCGTCAGCGTCTACGTGGCCGGCCTGGTCCTCAAGAAGCTGCTCGCTACCTACCCAGACAAGGTCGATGGGCAAGAGAGCGTGTCCAATGAAAAGGCCAAGCTCATCTACGACGCCCTCAACGCCAACCCTGACGCGTACCGAGTGGTGCCCGACAAGTCGGTGCGCTCGCGGATGAACATTTGCTTCCGCGTCACAAGAGGCGGCGACACGGACGCGGCCGAGAAAGCGTTCCTAGCCGAGGCGGACAAGCTTGGGCTGACGGGGCTCAAGGGCCACCGCAGCGTGGGGGGCATCCGGGCGAGCAACTACAACTCGATCTCGCGGGACGAGGCCGAGAAGCTGGCCAAGTTTATCGAGTCGTTTGCCAGGGCGTGAAGCGGCGCGGGCTTCACCATGGTGCCTGTGAGGGCTAGTTAGCTTTATGAATGATTAAGAGAGCATGGATGAAGGAATTTTTCAGAGTAGTTTCCATCTTTGAATCGAGACTCGTGTATATAAATAGGTCACATCAATGCCGCAACGTGAGAGGGCGATGGCGGCGAACAAAGGGCCCCGGCCGGTACAGGGTAGCAGCCTAGTCAAGGCCAGTCGCACGCCTCGTTGCCTTCGATCCTAAGCTGCGCCTGGATTTTCTCCTCCGCCATCAGGACGCCAACGAGGGATTCACCCCCACGCGACGCGCAATCCAAGCCCATCGTCGGGCGCTGAATGAAACCCACACAAGTCTCCCATCTCCCGCCCCCACCCCGGTCGGATGCTCCGGCGCGGCTTCAGGCCCGAGCGACTGGCCCGCCTCCGCGTCGCCCAGAGCTCGAATCCCCGTCTCGTCTGGCGCAAGCCTCTGCGCGCCTTGGCCCCCAGCAGCCGGCCGACGGCGCGCGGCGCAGCATCCCTCGCTCCCAGCAGCCGTTGCCCAGGCCTTGGCAACGATGATGGAGGTGCTGCCTCGAGCAGCTTCCCTGCCACGGGCGACACCATCTACGCGCTGTCGACGGGCCGGGGACGAGCCGGAATCGCCGCCATCCGCATCTCAGGGCCGTCATGCTTAGATGTACCGACACGATTACGTTGGCATTTCTTTTTCCACACAGTTAACTCCGCTGCGGTCCCGGCGCTGACATCAGATTCCGATTCAAGGTGTACAGGGCGCTGTGTCCGGCCAAGGCGCTGCCCAGGCCACGATACGCGGCTGTGCGCACGCTGTTTGAGCCGCAGCCGGCACGCGAGCCCGTCGTGCTCGACTCGCAGGCCCTGGTGCTCTACTTCCCGGCCCCGCGGACCGTCACGGGCGAAGACGTTCTCGAGCTGCACGTCCATGGGGGGCCCGCCACCGTCAAGGCTGTGTTGGCCGCCATCCCCCGGTCTCGCTCCAGCCACGCCAGCATCCGCTACGCCGAGCCGGGCGAGTTCACCAAGCGCGCCTTTATCCATGACCGCCTCGACCTGGCCCAGATCGAGGCGCTGGGTGACACCCTCGCCGCCGAGACGGAGCACCAGCGACGTGCCGCCGTCAGGGGCAGCTCCGGCGCCTTGGGCCGCACCTACGAGGCGTGGCGTCAGCAGCTCCTGCTGGCCCGCGGGGAGATTGAGGCGCTCATTGACTTTTCCGAGGACCAGCACTTTGACGAGTCGCCGTCGCACCTCCTGGCCAACGTGACGAGGCAGGTCGCCGACATGGTGCACGCCATCGGCATGCACGAGCTGGCCGGCCAGCGAAGCGAGCTGCTGCGCAACGGCATCCGCATTGCCCTGCTGGGCCCGCCCAACGTAGGCAAGAGCTCTCTCATGAACCTCGTCGTTGGCCGCGAGGCGTCGATTGTGTCGGGCGAGGCCGGCACCACCCGAGACATTGTCGAGGCTAGCCTCGACGTGCGCGGGTACCTGTGCGCCTTTGCCGACACGGCTGGCTTCCGATCCACGGCCTCGGGTGACGACGGCGCGGCCATTGGCGCCGTCGAGGCCGAGGGCATCCGGAGGGCAAGGTGCAAGGCTCAAGAGTCGGACGTGGTCGTGGCTCTCGCGTCGGTCGAGACCGGTGCGCAAGGGCCGTTTCTACACTACGACCTGGAGACGCTCGACCTTGCCGCCGAGGCCGATGCCCGTCTGGTTGTGGTCAACAAGCGAGACTCCGTCGACGATGCCACGCTGACTGCGCTGTTGGCCGGGTTCCGCGAAACCCTCTGCCAACGGAGCCCAGCGTTGGCCGCCACGGAGCCCGTAGCCATCTCCTGCCAGCAAGGCGAATCTCGGGTGCTCGGCAGCGCGGACCCGGGCGGTATCCAGGGCCTCGTCGACTCGCTGGCGGCGGCCTTTTCGCGCATGACGGACATGCCGGCGCACCTGCAGGACCTCGTCGGGGTGACGGAGCGGCAGCGGCAACTCCTGGCCCAGTGCCGGGACCACCTCGAGGCTTTCATGGCCGAGGCGGGCCCGGACGAGGACGGCCTCGAGCCGGACGTGGTGCTGGCGGCCGAGTACCTGCGCTACGCGGCCGGCTGCCTGGCGCGCATCACGGGCAGGGGCGAGGCCGGGGACGTCGAGGAGGTGCTCGGCGTCGTCTTTGAGAAGTAAGTTGAGCGTGAAGACGGCGTTTGCGTCTGCCCTGAGACGAGGTGAAAAAACAAGGGCGAGTCGTTGGTCTAACCGTCTTGATAGGTTTTGCGTGGGCAAGTGACGACTCAAGGCTCACGGCCAGGTTGTACGATATTTCCTCGGGAGCATGGACGCTGCTTCAAGTGTGAGGAAGAAAGAAATTGATTCTGCAATGGCTCTTAAAAGACCAATTCTAAAATGCCACGGCGGAGAGAGCCTCGCATGCTGTTGGCGTCTCCATGCCTGGCCCTGACGAAAGTGAATGCAAACTACTCCCCTGCCCAGTCTTCTGTTTCCTCGGTGAGAGGCAATGTCTCTTTGTGTTTATCCCAACTCCAGGTTATGCATGATGCTGTTGCCGTCCCCCCTTCTTGATGTATGTGGTCCGTCCGCATGCTATTATGCCTTTTTTGATCCCCCCGCTGCGTCCCCAAGAGACTTGTCTATGCCCAGATGCCTTCCAAGATGAGACGCCGTCTATCAAACAGAATGAAAAAAAAAAGAAAGAGGGGAGAAAACCCCCGACCGGGACCGTGAAATGCGTCTTGTGCTGCTGAATCCGATGCCGATGAAAGCAAGTTGACGAAGTGTATTTTTTGTGAGGCTGTCTTTCGATTATGGTGAATGGCGAATGAAGAAGGAGAAGGGAAAAGACAAGGCGACGTGTTCGTCGGCCGGCAGCGCGAAGCCGTTACCGCTTGTCCTCGCCGTCGCCGCCGTCGTTGCCGCCGCCGCCGCCGCCGCGGACGACGTTGTATCCCGAGCGGCCGTAGTCGACGGGGGCAGCCGAAGAGGAGGAGGAGGAGGAGGAGGAGGAAGCAGCCATTTCTTCTTTCTTGTTTGGGAGCTTGGTTTTCTTTTTCCCTTTGGGGGGGTGTTGCAAGGTGTGAGGGCCGAAGAGTTGGATGCTTGAGCGAGGTGCGTGTGTGTGTGTGTATTGCTGGAGTGGGTGGATGGAAAGGGGGGCTGGAGAGAGAGCAAGGCTTGATGAATCGACGCTTGACTTGGGGGATGGAGCGAGAAAAGGACGAGAACGTGGCGAGAAGCCATCGACCCTTTTATAAGCTGCGCACGCACGCAGACACACACACTCTCGCTCCTCGCCGCAACGCGCAGCCATCGTCATCAGCATCAGCAGCATCATCATCATCAAGGCAACGACCCAAGCCACTCGGCAGCCGAGAATAGGAACCACGCTGCCCTCCCCTGCTGCTGCTGCTGCCACCAGCACCACCAGCACCCACGCAACCCCTAACTCGGCCGTCCGTCCGAAGAAAAGAAAACGGGCTCACCCCCCCTCCCCTGGCCCCGTGTCCCGGTAGCCTCGGGGTGCGGCATAGGGCTGAGCTGAAGGCCTCAGCAGCAGCAGGAACAGGAGGCGCGTCGCAGGGGTGGATGGATGGATGGATGGATGGATGGATGGATGGATGGATGGATGGGCGAGAGTGGATGGGATGGGCGAGGCAAGGCGAGCCATCTCTCGCTCTCCCTCTCCTTGTTGATGAGCAAAAGGGCCTGGCCCCCTACAGTACTGCTGTAATTATGTGCCCATACCATGTACGTGTACGTGTACGTTGTATCATGTACAGTTGGTACGAAAAGCAAGTGCCTTGGCTGCTGCCGCCTACCGCTCCTTGCAAGTACTGCGCGCCTACTGTCCCGAGTATGTAAGAATGCACTGTACAGTCTCAGCCCCGGCCTCGGCGACAGAGCTGCTGCCCCTGGCCCAGCGCCGGGCTATCTCAGAGTCAGACGGGCAAGCGAAAGAAAAAAGGAGCCAAAAAGACGAGACGAGGCAGAAAAGGCAGCATCCAAAAGAAAAGAAAAAAACCCCCCGGACCAACCGTTTGCCCATGCACACACCTCCCCCCTCCCATGTCCCAGTTCTTGTGTTCTCGTCACCCTCTTTTCGCCGACCACTCGCATCCTCCATCCTCCGGCTCCCCCCCCCTGGCCGCCTTACAGTGCTCTTCTTCTTCACCATTCTAGAAGGAAGCGCTTAGGACGGGGTAGGGGGGGGGGGCGGGGGGCGGAAACAAAGGAAGCAGAAACGTGTCGGTCCCGGCGTTCCGGACGCGGAAACCCTCCCCGTCATTCCTCTTTTCCTTCACACACACAGCCCGCCACGCGAGCTGGACCCCTGGCCCGACGTCATGCTACCCTCCCCTTTTTTCCGCCTCCCCCCTCGACACCTCGACAGGGCGTGTTTATTGGCCCCCGGTCGACGGGCAGGGCCAACCACGGGCGAGACCGAGGGCCCCGTCGTGTGTCCGTCGTGGTGCGGGCTGCTGCTGCTGGCTGGTGTGTGTAGTGTGCCTTGCTGCTGGCGCCGCCGCCGCAGTGTATGTATGTATGTATGTATGTATGTATGTATGTATGTATGTATGTTAATACTGTATGTATGTATGTAGGTATGTAAGGTATGTATGTGTGTATATATGTGTGTATATATATGTATGTCTGTATGTGTGTCTGTATGTGTGTGTATGTGACCAAAATAGACACACACACACACACACACACTTACACACACACTTCGCCCTCGCCCTTTTTACACTCCTCTTCATAGCAAGGGCTACCAAGCCGGGGCCCCTTGATCCTGTCGACTGCCTGTCGTCGTCGACTGCCTGTCTGCAGCCGTCAGGTCAGCCCTAGCCGAGGGCTTGAACAAAAAGCCAGCGTCAGCACACAACGGACACAGACACAAAACATGGCACCGGCCGGCAGGGCCCAGACCCCGACAAGGCCTGCCGAATCCGTACCTACCTCCGACCTTTGCCTGGCCGCTGAGCCGCTGCAGCCACGAGCCTGTTCGTGCGTCCAGGCAGGCAGGCAGGCAGGCGATGACTCGACGGCCCCGGCCTGCAGTCCCCATTGGCTCGCCTTGTTGGTTCATCGTGAGCACACACAGTAGTGCCAATGACTCTATTTTCTCTCCAAAACAAAAACAAAAAATCCTCCGGACCCTGCCTCCTGGCCTGGCATGGCCTGCCCTGGCCTGGGGCCCGGCAATCATCGTTCCGCCTGCTCGGCCGAATCTTACTCCACGCTCACAGCTCGTCTCGTCCGTCTCGTCCGTCTCGTCCGTCTCGTCCGTCCCCGGCCACTTCCTCCATGGCCATCAGCTTGACCACCAGGCTCGTCCACCCCGTAAAGTGCTGCGTCCGCTGTCCCGCCCCCGTCTCGGGGTTGTACTGCTCCCACGCGAACCCCGTCTCCGCCCAGCTCCTGTAGACCGTCTCCACCAGGTTCCTGCGCAGCTTCGTGTACAGCCCGCGCGCCTTGTCTCGAAAAGGGCCGTCTCTCGTGGCGATGCTCTGCAGGGCGGGAGAAGAAAAAACTGTTAGATCCGCCAACACGAAGCATTCAGGGGTAGCGAAACATCAAAAGGAAAATACTCTGCAACGGAAAGCAACCGATTGGGGGCTGGACACGGGGAGATCAGCCTTACGTGAAGCTGCGTCACGGCCATGTAGTTCATCGGCATCCACACCGGACCCCTCCAATAGTTTTCGTCGGTGCCGTAAAACTCGTCCCGTTGACTCAGGCTGCGGATGCCATGCGCGCTCCAGAGCTGGCTCTCGTCACCCAGCAGCTCCAGAACCCTGCCCAGCTTCGGGTCCTCCGGCTTCATCAGCCCGACCAGGAACGGGAACAGCGACACATAACCCTTGTGGCAGACCAGCTTATGCTCCTCAAACTCGTCAATCGTCGCGTCGCAATAGCACCCTTCCTTGTCCGACCAATGAAGGTCGTCGAGGTTGTGCTCAATCGCATCCAGCTTCTGCCTGAGCTCCGCCGCCTCCTCGGACATGCCGAGCGCGTCCGCCGTCCTCATGAGCGACTTGGTCATCAGCCCGACCCACGACATGAGGTCCACGTGCAGCTCGCCCGGATGCGGCGGCTGCGGACGGGGATAGTCATCCAGCCCGCTCGTTAGGCAGTGTCTTTCCGTCCGGCCTCGCCACCGGTACGCCTCCTTGGTCGAGTACGCCTCGCGGTCGTACGACTTGATATCTCCCTTTTGTGTCTTGCGGAACCAGTCGTACTGCCGTCGGAGCAGCGGATACAGCCGCCGCACATAGTCCTCGCCCAGCTCCACGTTGTCGAGGTGTGCCGTGTACAGCGTCTCGCCCGGCCCGAGCTTCTCCCTCGTCGCCGGCTGGCTGCCGTTGGCCTTGCGCAGCCGCCCCATGACGTCCTCGACGACGAGGAAAAGCGTCGGCGGGTTGGCGTAGTGCGGGTACTGCACCTGGAACTCCTCGGGCACCTTGCTCCGCGCCTCGGCCCCCAGGATCTGCTCTCTCGGGATCCAGCCCTCGTCGTCCATTGTCTTGTACCAGCTCTGGATAATCTCGAGCGTCATGTCCAGGTCCCAGTCGGCAATGGGCAACAGGTGGAAGCCCTCGTCCCACAGGAACCCGCGCGGGAAAAACGGCCTCGACGGGACGCTGGTCAAGAGCTCGTACGGCCCCTCAAGCTTCTGCTCCTTGCGCGCCCTGGCCTCGGCTGCATCCACCCAAAAGTTCTCGTTTTCCTCGTCGTACTCGTTCGCATATGACCGGTCGATGAGCTGCTCGCCGTAAAAGTAGCCTACGCCCCCGAGGAGGTTGGAGAACATGCTCTTGCCAAACGCCTTGTACTGGCCGGCCTTGAACGGCGCCTTGATATCGAAGACGCGCGAGAAGCGCTCGGCAAAGGATGCAGAGGTCCCCTTGATCTCTCGGCTGACGTCGTCGACCGTCAGTTCTTTGCCTGCTGACGCCGACGAGAAGATGACGTCAAACTCAAAGGGCCCCTCAAACGTCTTTTGCACAATGTGGACATTGCCCTTGCCCGGACTGTGGTCGATTCGGTAGACTTGCCAAGGCGGCGGCGCATCGTCGATGCCATACGTCTCTTGGACGTAAGCCGACGCCTTTTGCATCTGTTGGTAGAGAAGGGCCTTGCCCTGCCAGAGGAGGTCGTCGGCGATTTGTTGGCTGCCGACCAGCGTCGTGTCGCCTCGGCGCCTCGCCGACAGCTCATGGTCGCTCGTCGGATGGCGGCCGTCTCCCTTGGTCACGACAATCTTGTAGTCTCCCAAGGGCTTCGAGCTGCCCTTGAAGGCGACATCGCCCTCGAAGCCCAGGTCGGTGCCCTCGCCCACGGCCTCAAGCTCGCCGCCGCCCTCCTGTGCAATGTAGTAGTAGACGGTCGTCTTCAGGTTTTCCGGCGCGTCGTCTCGGGGTCTGCCCTTGACCCTGACAGCCCAGCTGCCGCCGTGACTGCCGCCCGGGACCTTGACAAAGGACGTGGTGATGTCGATGTTGTTGCCCTTGTCGTGAATAGATTGCACGCCGCCAGTCCGGGCATCGTATTCGTCCCAGCCGTAGCCGTGCATGTCCCCCCCTTGCTCGCAGGTGTATCGGAGCCCTAGCCACGACGTCGGACTCAGCATTGCCTATGGTGCAGAGGGCCGACATAACTCACCGTCCTTGACGTCAGTGTATTGCTCCATCCTCGCCCACATGAGGGCCGTCGACAAGCTCTTGGGCACTCTGGGCCGCACGCCAAAGTACAGGTTCGGCTTGTAGGGCCCCCAGAACAGGCTCTGGTTGTTGAGGCGGCTGATTTCGCTCGTCAAGACCGACGCATCTCCCGCGGCAGAGACGCAGAGAGCCAGCGCTGCGGCTGCCGCGAGCAATGGGGCGAGTCTGGCCATTGCGCGGGACTTGGCGGTTCGGGCTTCAGGCCTCAGGCTATCATGAGCTCGGTAGATGTCGAAGCAGAAGCAGGGCCAAGAGAGGGTGGCGACGAAGTTGAGACCGAACGCAGCTTTGGCGGATGCAGGTACCGGACGTGTCGAAGCCACGTTATCTCCTTGACTAGCCCAAGTGACGACGCGAGGGGAGCTCCCCCCAGACGGTGCCGGATGAGGGAGCTTGGGGTGGTGCAGCAACAGGTCACAGCGAATCACAGGGGACTCCCCCCACCACAGCACGCTCTCTCCCCCACAGCACCCCTGCTGTGGCGTGCAGCAGCGGCAGCCATCATCACAAGTAACCACCGTCTACCTTCTGTCGATGCAGTTCGGCTTTTTTTTCTCCCACCAACCACCACCAGATCAACCTCAACACCAGACACCGAACACACCCCCAACGCCCTCCCCTGCGACCCAAACAACCCGAAAAGGAGGAACCAAAGCAATAGAAGACAGCGAGCGGACTAAATGAGCGACCCACGTCGCAGTCGCCGCCCCGGCAGCTACCAGCGATGGGACGACGCCGACCCCCGTCGCGACAGACAAGCACGAGACCGAGACGGCGAAAGAGGGGCCCGCGACCCCAGAGATCGCAGAGGCTACCGGTCGCGGTCGCGCGAGCGCCGTGGCCCCGCAAATCGCTCCAGGTCCCCCGTCGACACGCGGCCGCATCGAGATCGTCGTGGTGACGGGGGCCGCCGCGAGGGGGAGAGGGAGCGAGACGCGTACCGGGCCAGAGAGCAGCAGCGGGACCGCCACGACGATAGGGACCGCCATAGCGATAGGGACCGTCGTGACAGGCGACGGGACGACGCCGACCGAGACAAGGACGCCGACCCTCGCCGCCGCCGCCGCTCCGCATCCCCTCGAAAAGCCAGCAGCCCTCAGCCTCAGCCTCCCCCATCCGCCCTCCCCTCTCGCGCCCGCCCTCAAGACGCCAACGACACCAGAGTCGGCACCTCCCCAAACAACAGCCACCACCACCTACACCGCAGCCCGTCCCCTCGATCCAGCCACCGTCAAACCCCCCCCGCAGCCACGCATCACGACCCAGGTCGCAAAAGCGCCCTAACCCAGCAGCAAGACGACGACGACGACGACGACGACGATGATGACATCGAGGTCGATCCGGGCCTCGGCGCCATGCAAGCTATGATGGGAATTGGTGGCTTCGGCTCCACAAAGGGCAAGAAGATTGCCGGCAACGACGTCGGCGCCGTCCGCAAGGAGAAGAAGACGGAATACCGGCAGTACATGAATCGCCAGGGGGGGTTCAACCGCCCACTGAGTCCGTCCAGGTAATGGGCGTCGGGGAGAGGAGCTTTTTGAGGGGCCAACCAGAGCCGCAGACATGCACCCCTTGACAACCGTGTACATATATCCAAGCACAGCCACTTCATCAAGCTCGTTGATGCCGTCAAAGATTTGCTAGGCAGAACGTGACCCATCGCTCGCGGAACGCGAGCTGCACATACACTTAGACAGAACTAAAGCCAACGGTTTTCAGCAATGAACAAAGGTATAAGCTCTGTCTCTGTCGCGCGCAGGGTCGCAAGTAAATCACCGCCCCCCGCAGGGCCCGTCTCCTCGATCCAGATCCGCCAAACAGATTCCCGCGCCCTGCCCGTGCTATGTAGTTGCTAGACATTACGTACTGCACACAAGTCTCGCTCGTGCCCGCCGCTCCAAACGCTCGAGCGACGAGCAAGCCTATTTCTCTTGACCCTTGACCTCGGGCTGCTCGCCTGCTGCACTCTCCGGGTCCTCGTCTGCAGCTGCCGCCTCCTCCTCGCCCCTCCTCTCTTCCTCCGAGTGAGCTGTGTCTGTGGTTGGCGTGCGGACTTCCTCTCCGACTGCTCCGCTCTCTACAGTCTCCTCCAGCTGGCTGGCCGTCGCCTTCTCTCTCCGCCTCCGTCGCAGCCGTCGCTCTTCCTCGGCAGTCTGCCTCCTTGCCTTGCGCAGGCTCTCTCTCTTGTCGGGGTCGTCGCCGTCTCCCTCGTCTCCTCTCCGCATGCCTTGTAACAGGGCGGCCGCCCTGTCTGCCACGTCGTCCTCGCCTTCTCGGGGAGACGTGAGCGCGGGGCTAGTCGAGCTCCCCTCCTCATCAATCGTCGTCTCCTTGCTCGGCGAGACCACCTCGATTTCGGCAATCTCGTCGATGTCAGGGGCCTTCTGGCCCGACGCCACGCGCACTTGGTGCCGGTCCTTGAGACGCGCGCGCCGCCGCCTGTCTCTCTGATCCCGAGCCTGTGGCGCGGCCGCTCGCAGCTTCTCAAGCAGCGAGTCCATGGCCCCAGTGTTGGTGTGAGTGGACGGGCCATCCGTCAGGACGCTGCTGGCCTTGGGTTGCGCGTGCTTCCGTCGCATGGACGCCTCGTTGCGTTTCCTCATCTCCTCCAGCTGGACGTTCTTCTCCCGCGACTTCTTCCATTCCGTCACAAAGGTGGCCAGCTTGGCGAAAAAGTCCCTCCTGGCGTTCTCGTCCGCGGGGTCCTCGCCGTAAAACACCATGATGTCCTTGTAGCTCTTCATCATCTCGTCCAGGTAGAGCTCCATCTGCTCTGCCTTTCTTCTCGCATCCTTCATGCACCTTTGCACCACCTGGCTCACGCGATCCTGCGGGTGGAATCTTTTGGGGTCGCTCAGGTTGCCAGAGTCCAGGGACATCTGCACGTTCCTGATGTTGTCCACGTATTTCTTCGCGTCGGCCTGGAGCTGCTCGATGTTAATCTTCTGAGCAGTCACAACCCCGTTGATGTCGTTGCCGAAGCCTTCCCACTCGGGGTACTGGTTTCGCACAATCCGTTCAACCATGTCGGCCAGCGTCGACTCGTTCTTGTCGTCCTTGACCATGCCCAGCCTGGCCAGAGAGCTGAGCTTGAAGCCTCGGGCCTGCTTGTTCGCGTCGTTCATGTAGTTACCAATGTCTAGAATAAGCCCGAGGACGTTCATCAGCGACACCGAGTCCCTAAGACTCTCCGACACCGTCACCACCTGGCGGATCTTCTCGCTCAGCTCGTCGTACTCAGGTTCGAAGCTCTTCGTTAGCGCCAGGGCCCTCATTCTGCTCTTCCAGTAATGGTGAAGCTCAAACGCCGTGTAAAGGTATATCTGATCCTGGCGCGTCAGCTCCGCAGGGTCCATTTCCCTGGCTTGATGGCTGGCATCTGGCCCAGTCAAGTCCCTGCTGTACGGCGCCATCTGCTTTGCCGTGTTATCGGGGATATTGCACATGTCGTCCTTTTGCAAGAAATCCATAACCACGGCATTGTCCAAAACGTCCTTGTCGCAGTGAATGACCATCTGGACAATCTTGTCGACCGAGTGCTGAGAGAACTTGGCCAACGCAATTTCTAGACAAAGTCAGTTGAGCGATGCTCCGCACGAGGGGGCTGCTGAGGAGCTTACCGTATGCCTTTCGGAGATCAGCAGATATGATTTGCTTCTTGTCGTCCTTCTTGGAGCCACCAGTCCCGAGTCGTTTGATCTCCTTGGCCATGAACAGCTTTTCCACTTCGTCCAAGATGCCTTTTCTGTTGAGCTCATTGTACTTCTCCTCTCTTTCTTCCGCCGTCGGCGCATGTGCGGCCCAGTGACTGGTCTCAGGGGTATCGACCTTGTCCCAGTGCAACGCCTTGAGCTTCTTCTTGGGCCGCACAACGGGCAAGCCGATGCCGGGCGATGCACTGAAGGTGGGCGTTTCCGGCAAGAAGTTTCCAGACAAGTTGCCGGGCATCGGCGGCGGCGGTGGGGGAGGCGGAGGGCCGCCTGAGGCCTTGCCCGGCAGTGGGGGTGGCGGAGGCGGAGGCGGGGGTGGAGGAGCACCGCCCATGCCAGGTGGAAGGGGAGGTGGAGGCGGCGGAGGAGGCGGCGGCGGGGGACCGCTGGCAGTCGGTTCGCTGACTTCGATCTTGGGAGTCTCATTCTCTGCGGGTGTAATAGGTGTCGATGACGACTCCATGCTTGGGTGGGACGTTCCCGTCGTGACGCCATCGCCTTCCTCGGAATCGCTGCCCTCGTACCTCTTGATCTTCGAGCCAATCTCATTGACCAGTCCGGCCTGCTGCTTGGGATCGATGATTGGTCGTTTCATCTTGACGATTCGCGGGCGCTCATACACGACGCCTTCGTCGCCTTCCGTCTCGTCGCCCTCTTCGATGGTCTCGTCACCCGAGCCTTCCGTCTGCTCGAGTCGCGGCCTCCGCGAGGTCCTCGTCTGACGGCTGATGCTGCCAAGTACACTGTTTGTAAAGTCCCGAGGAGGGGTGCCTGGGCCGCTGCTCGAATCCGCGTTCTCGCCGTCCATCTCTTCCCGAAGAGCGCGCAACCGATCGGAAGGTCCGTTTCTGTCCCCCCAGGCCCTGCCCTCGAGCTTGTACTGCGTCTTCTGACGCTCGAGCTGCATCTGGAGACGCTCCAGGAGGTGCTCCCTGTCGAGGATGCCCTTCATCTGCACCTCGTTGGCAACCCCCGCCTTGACGCTGCCCTTGACGGCGTTGGACGCGGCGATATCCTGGGCATCCCGGAGCATGAGATACAGCTCTCTCGTCTCGAGCTCGTTCCTCTGCGCCTCTTTAGCCCTGAGGGCCTGAAGGCTGTCCAGCTCCGCCTTGAGCCCGTCGGCTTGCCGTTTCTGCGCCTCGATGAAGCGCGCCTGCTCATCGATTTGCCGTTGCATCTTGGCCACGAGCCCATCCGCCCCGAGCTCCAGCCGGGCCCGCATCTCGTCGCGCTCGGCCATGGCGGCCTCTGCGATTTGCCGCGACTCGAGAGCCTCATCCTGCGCCTGTCGGGCTTCCGAGTCGGTGTGCAGCTTGTCCAACAGACTCTGGACGGTGAAGTTGAGGCTTTGCTTGAGGTCCATGTTGGGCAGGCGCCGATCCATGGCCACGTAGCTGAGCATGGAGTCGACGAGCTGGAACATTCGCAGGCGCTCTTCGCCGTCGCCGGCGCGGATGAGCATGAGATGCTGGAGTGCGGAAATGAAGTAGTCCTGAGCCTTGCTGCCCTGGATGCGCTGTTGAATGGCGTCGGCAATCTGCACGGGGTCATTCAGGTCCTTCATTTCACCCTCGATGCTATCCTTGATGCTGCTGTTTTCCCTCTCCAGCATGTCCTCATAGTCGATGACTTCGTTGGTGCGATAGCGCTCAATCTGCTTGTCGAGGAGCTCGTACTGGAACCCCTCCATCTTGGTTAGGATGCGCTTGATGCCGCATGCTGTGAACTGGGCCCGAATATGGACCCTCAGCTGGACGTCCCGCTCAGGCGAGTCGATGATCATGTTGATGAGCATGAGGGTTGTGACGGCGTATTCCATGAGCAGGTTCTCCATGCCAATGCCGCCGGTTCGGAGCTCCTCGCTGGCGCCAACCAGGCTGCCCATCTTGCCGCGGCCGTCGACGGTGACTTCCACCAGGCGCATCCAAGCGTCGAATCTGCCGTTCTCTCCAGACTGGGCTTTGACCTCGTCCAGAGCCTGTATCACCTTGAGATGACCCTCGCCGTTCTCGCCCCACGTGCACAAAAAGGTCAGAATCTCGCTGACGAGCTTCCGCGTGGTGAGCCGCGACGAGATGAGGCAGGTCGCCAGCGCCAAAAGAACCTTTTGCTGCATCAGGGCATCGTCGGCGCCAAACTTGTTGTTCATGAGCGCCTTGAGGCACTTGACAATGTCGTACTCGCGGTCCAGCTTCTTCTCCGCCTTGAGATTGTCCTGGGGCGGGCCCAGGGCCGTCTTGCGGTTGAGCTTGAGCAGCAGAGTCACGAGGGCGACCTGGCCCTGGCACTCGACGAAGCGCTTGACCCAGCCTATCTGCTGCGTCCGGAGATTGACCTCTAGGCTGCCCATGCCCTTGGAGTCGAGCTTGTCTTCCATGACCCTCCGGACATACCATTCCGGCGTGCCCTCCTCGTCCGAGTACGTGGTGACGTCGGGCGCTGCGTATTGGTTCGAGCGGGCTGTCTGCCGGCGCTTCTGCTCCCCTTGCCATTCGGTGAGGCGGTCCTGGTGTAGCAGAGTCCACTTCTTCTGGGGCGGGTAGGCCATCATCTGCCGTCTCGCTTGTTCGGGGAGGTTGTGCCAGCCTCGTTTCTGCATGAGCTGCAAAAACATTTGCTCGACCACGTGGTCGTCGTCTGGCTTGGGGAAGTAGAAGCCATCGTGGGCATTGGGCGCGGGCCCGGGGAACCTGGTCATTCGACTCGACTCTCGAGGCGACAAGTGGGAACCATAAGAGCTCTGCGACGATGCAGTAGGCATGGCTGCTTGTGATGAGCGTGACATTCTCGCCTGGTCATGGCTTTGATTACCTGAGAGGGAGTAGATGCTTTGACCATCGGCGGAAGCTCGGCCGTTGGGGGCCATGTACGAGTCGTAGCGCGAGCCGTTGGAGGTGCTGGCCATGCTGCCGCGTGAGGCGCCCCAGTGCTGAATCTGGGCCTGCCGCCCCGTCGAAGCCATGGTGACGTTGGAGGGGCCCAGCATGGACCGTGTTGCCGAGGCGTGAGAGCCTGCGGGGGAAGGCGAGTTGTCAAAGGAAGGATACTGGTGAAAATCGCCGCCGCCCTTGTTAAGATGATGCGGCAGGGGTTCTCGGCGCACGGGCATCTGGTCGGGCTTTGGCAAGTACTCGACGGGGATCGGAGATCGAGAGCCGGCCGGAACGCTGTCATAGGGGATTGACGTTATCACTCCCGCCATGGTGTTGATTCCGGCGTCAGGCGAGGCGGGCGCGTCCATGGACACGTTGGACGAGTCTCGCTTGTGGCGCGAAGAGCGTGAGCTCACGGTGCTGATGGCATCGAGGTTGTCGGTGTCCGCCGTCCGCCGGTCTTTGTTCTTGTTTCGGGAAAAGATGGAGCGGCCGCCCGAGGACTGCCTCGACTTGTCGGCGGCCGACATTGTGAGCGGGGGCCAACAGGGGATGGCTATATCAAAGAGGAGAAGGCGACAAAGGGCTGGCTCGAGGCCGCTGGCATATTGGACAAAGGGCGTGCCAGTCGAGGCCGGATTATGGACAGCCGGGGAAGATCTGCTCGGGTCGAGGTGCCGAGTCGAAGCTGGAGGATGTGGCCAGATGTAGCCGTGGCCACGCGCCAAGGGCCGTGGGCGAGGTGCTCAACGGTGTGGGAAATGGGGCTGGGCGTGGCAGGTTGACGACGATGGGGCTCGCAGGAAGTGGCCGGGGAACCGAGGCCACCCGCTGACGCGCCGAAGACAGCTGCCGACGGGGCGGCGCGGGGAGAGGCTGGCTGGATGGAGACGGGTTGGACGAAATTGACGGGCGACCGAGGCTTCGGAGGATGCGATGCAGGGAGGGGCGATTGATGTGTTGGGTGGCCACAATGACGACGGCGAGGCCCGCCTGGCTTTCGAGAGAAGGAGCAAAAGATGCGGAGCGCCTGCGCATGAGGCCCCTGACGAGACGACCGGGGTGGCTCGACAAGGGGGTTGCTCTCTTGGCTGGTGTAGGAGGATGGGGAGTTTCTGTACAGTATGGAGGTTCGGCAGATCGCACATTGAGCGAGACGGGCCAGTGGGAAACGGCCGAGGTGGCTGGCGACTGATTGGGCAAGGTATCCACCTAGGCGTAGCCAGGTATTTGTTAAACTTTGGCACCGGCAACAGCAGTGGGCCTGGCTTTCAGCAGCACTTACGATTTGATAACGGGATATCTGCGTAGAATGGCACACCAGTTCGGCGCCTACTGGCTACAGGGGGGAATGGGGAGGGGGCCTCATTGGCCCCTGGCCCAAGGCTGCTTCTCCCTTTGCACCCGGTCTTTGGTTGGTACGATAAGACGAGTGCTTATGATTAACTTATAATTAAATATCGCTCGCAAGGGGACTGGGATGGGGTTATGGATGGCGGGCGCGAGAAGGCTGCTATCCGCACTGAACAGTGCCCTGCGCTCATAAAGAACCGAAAGCACGAAGCATCATTTCTGCGCCAGCCGACTCGTCCGTCGGCGACAAACCGCCTTTGACGCCTAGGTACGCATGTGCGATACGGCATGTAATTAAGCGACAGGCGGTTCCGTCCGGATCCGAAGCCCTGGGACCAACAGCAGCCGGCGATCAAACGTCGCTGGACCCTCGTGGCCAAGGGGCCCAGGGGGGACTTGTCGCAGATGACGCTGCTGCGTCACACGGCAAGGCGTGGATCGCGATGAGATGCAGATGCCTGAAAGAGCGCACATGACACGAGCCATTTTGTTCCGAGGGCCGACTTGATGCTGCTGCTACCTGGAAATCGCTGGGCAACTTGATTCTCAGAGTTGGTCCGGAAGTTAACAGCACGACAGCACTTGGTAAACATCCAGAATAATTACCTACTACCCAGGTCCTCGGACTCCGCACTTGGTTAAAATACCAGGGCCAGTACTTACCGAGATGAAGCTGGAAATGCCCGGTCGTCTCGTGCCTCGCATCAAGGCATCTCGCTCTGCCTTGCAGGAGCAGCCCCATCTGCCAAGCTCGATGCGAGGCGGTGCTGCTTCGCCCGTGCCGTGTGCCTGGGTCCTTTGCATCAATGGAATCAGCAGCTTGAACCGTCCCGGAACCTTGCAACTACTGCGCCTTACCGCAAGCAGTCTCCGACTTACACGCCGAGAGCAGTACACCCGCTGTAGGCTCCCTCCGTACCGTACTAAACCCATCCGTCTCGTCTCCCTTTCTCTCATCAGCGCCCAGCTGTGATCAATCAAGTAGCAGCCGGCCGCCGTCACTCAGTTCCCGGCTCAGGCTTCCTCGACTGAGTCGACCGAGGATGAGTGGCTTCCTTGTCGCCGCCGTCGCCAGCTGACAAATAAAATACCCGCACTTTCTGCCGAGTCGCGCACACCCACCACCCAGCAGCGTCCGCCCGCCCCCAAGGCATCCGGAGCCTTTCGCAGTTTCGAGGACAAAGGGCGGCGTTGCTCGTCCTCCCTCGCATCCGCCCCGTCGCTGGGAAGAGCGCTCTGTTCCTCTGCTGTCCGCTCACGTCGCTGTGTCTTATAAACCATGGCGTCCACACTGTCTCTCGCCAAGGTGCTTTCCCCCCATCCCCTCACGAGGGAGCCATCGCTCGCACAGCTGGCTGACGTGTGTGTCCTAGACCCTCTTCGTCCCCGCCGTCGTCTCCCTCGTCATCTTCCTCCTCCTCACCTTTGCCCTCGTGCCCATCTGGCGCCGCTACCGCAACCGCTATGCCCAGTACCTGCCCCTTGACTCCATCTCGGAGCGCACCTCGTCGCTGCGCCATCGCATCATGGGCCGCTTCGCCACCTTCGGCCCCTTGGCCACCTTCATCGGCGGCAGGAATGTCGCCTTTGCCCCCAACTCGGTCCTCGACGACGAGGCCGACGGCGAGGAGCTCGACGACGTGGACGAGGAGATATGGCGCGCCATCGAGAGGCACGTCCCGGCGGTCCAGCCCGACAACACGCGGCGGCTGAGTCGCGAGTATGCCTTGTCGGTGTATCGATGTCATGTGCTGGTGGCTGACGCTGCAGTAGTTTAGAAGAAGGGTTCATGGACGACAGCGACGACGAGCCGGTTCCAGGCCGGCCCTGATCCCGACTTTGCTGGTGTGAACAAAAGAAAAAAAACGAAAACCAAGTTTCCATAATCCGTCATCTCTTACATTTCCGCCCTCTAAAAAGTGTCCTCTCCATCCCGGACAATCCTCGTCGCGTCACAGGCACTGGGTAGGCGCGAGCATACTGACCGGCGCCGATTTATTTCTCCGCGTCCATGGCTTTTGATGCCCTCTTTTCGCAAGAAGCGGTCAATGTTTCCGTGGGTCGCGCCCATATGTCGTCGAGCCTTTGTCTCGCTGCGTCTAGGGTGAGATTGATCGACGAGGCCGCCCCCTCTGCTACGAGTCAGTGGCACTGCATCTCACAGCTACTTTTTATGTACCATAACTTTACCCTTTATTCAAGTGCGTACGTGTTACCCGGCCAATCTCTGGTCTACGTATGCTGCCTATTGCGCTGACTTGAATTCGCTGTTGGATCCGACATATAAACTCAGTCTCGCCTCGTGCCACCCATTGGAACCCTTCAGATCCTCAAAACGTGGCAGGCGAACGATTCTGTCAGCAACGCCATATCCCGTTACTCGGGCAGTCCAAAGTTCGCCCATTTGACAGCCCACCAGGTCTTGTGCTGCTCGTCCAGCTTCTTCTCAGCTCGGACAACCGTGTGCCCGTGAAACCTGCGGATAGCCTCGTGGGCAAAGTCCATGGCCGACTTTTCGCGATGCATCTTCCTCGTTTCCGCCTTGCGCAGCCGGTCGGCCGTCTTCTTAATCGTCGCGTGGAGCTTCAGGCCCTTTCGCGATTCGCAAAACTCGTAGTTCCAGGGCATGACGGCCGCTTTCACGTCGGTGAAGGCTACGACCGGAGGAAACTTGGTTGGGGCTGTCAGATGCTCACATGCATGGCGCATGGGGACGCAACAGTCGGGGCAGTACTTGGGGACGCCCGTGTCCGTGAGCCAGTGGAAAAGGCACTCGTGGCCAAAGGCCTGACCACATGGCAAAAACGCCAGCCTCTCGATCTTGTTCCCGTGACCCCTGGGCTTCCCAAGGACGTAGCCGCATATGTGGCAAGGGTACTTGTCCGGCTTCCTGTCGCTTCCCAGCAAAGTCGAGCCGGCTGAGAAGGACGAGTTGAACTTGCGCTTACCGACAGGGGGTGCTGGCGTAATGGCGTCTGGATCTCCAACCTGGGTGTCGGCCGATCTCCATGCGCTGCTCCGTCGTCTATACCCGGGAGTAGTCTGGCCCAGCAGAGAAGAAGGGCCCGATCTTGCGGGCGTGGAGGCAACTGGACCTCCAACCTGGGTGTCAGCAGATTTCGCTGCGCTGCTCCGTCTTCTATCCCCGGGCGCAGTCTGGCTCGGCGAAGTGGGAGGCTCCGGTGGTGCGGGCGTGGTGGCAACTGGGTCTCCAACCTCGGAGTTGGCAGATTTCACTGCGCTGTCCTGTTTTGTATCCTGAGGCGCAGTCGAGGTCAGCAAACCGGTGAGTTCCGGTAATGTCGGTGGGCTCCGGGCGACCTGCGATGAAGACGCATGACAATCTTCCGAGCCTCTCTCAAGCAAGGGTGTTGGGGATGGCTGCGAGCGGGAAGAAGGGGGAGTATGGGCAGAATGGGCAGAATGGGCAGAATCCCGGCGGGCGGGGACGGAAACTCTCTCTTGTGAAGAGTCAGACTCGATGCGAGCGGTGCCTCTGCTGGCCCATACAATAGGATGTTGCGCCAGAGGGTCGGGATGTTGCCCCAGAGGGTTGACCAGAGGCTCGGCCGGCTGCGCCTGTGTCTTCTTTTGAAGCTTGCGGGCCTTGCGCTCGATGCGTTGCCGGCGAAGCTCGGCGCTGAAGCGCTTCAAAAGATGCCGAGGAGGAGGCACTCGAGAAAGATCGATGTTCGGAACAGACCGCATGATGGAGGCTGACCGAGGCCACTGTCTTCGTTCATAGCGGAGGGCTTTGCGTGGAGAGTTACGAGTGTAAGATGAATACCTGAGCGAAAGATGCGTTCCAAGGTCTTGGGAGCAAAGAGCGTGGTGAGCCGAGAGAGCGATGCTGATCGCAAAGGCCGCGAAGTTGGTCGGCGATGGTGGGAGTGGAAGAGCCAGGGTTGGACCAGAGGCGGGAGGAGTCTTGACGTGTGCTTGCTTCTCGCACCTCGAGCCTACCTCATGTGGGCGGACGGGCTCAGCAGGAGCCCAGTGGTCCCCCCAACACCCCCTCCGGCGGTTGCTCTCTGTATTCCTTGCTTGAAAACAGCTGCGGGTTGTTCGCCCAGGCAGCAAGTACTGTGGCTGTTGCTGGTAGGCGGTTACCTGATTAGGCAAGGTCAACTGGCCTACATCTTTTCTCGGATAGGCAGTCGGCTCCTAGGCGTTTCCCTTTCCTAAAATGTCGAGGCGCAAAGTACCAGTTACCCCCCACACCAACGCTCACTCACACTAACATATCTGTACCTGCTCACACGTCAACGCCGACGACGAATCGCCCGTTCGAGGCGCCTTCCAAGATGCGATTCCGAACAGAGCTCAAGAACATCCGCACCTTTGCCAGTGAGCCTTTCTTTACTCTTGGGCTTGCCCTGAAGCTCACATTTGTGGCCAGAGCTCACCGCGGCGCTCTCCTCGCTCGAGAAGATTGCGTGGGTGCGCCTCAGCGATGACACGGCGCGCTTCACCGTCATCCCCGACATGGGATCTCAAGTCTGGGCGTACGTCTCTCCTCGTCACTCGGCGCTTGCATCATGAGTCGTAACCGCCGCCTTCTGCCTGCAGGTCGCTCGCCATGGACTTCATCTTCGACAACTACCACATTCAGTCGGCCGAGGCTTCCAACACAATCAACCTCGAGTTGCCTCTTCAGCCGCTCCAGCGCGCCCTCAAGTCCGCCCTCAATAGCATCTCCGCCTCGCTCCGCCTCACCAAAAAAGACGGCCTGCCCATCCTTTCCATGACCATCACCACCACCACTTCGAGCGGCTCCGCTGCCGCCGCCAAGCCCTCTGCCGACGACCCATTTGGCGACGACGACTTTTTCCAGCCAGAGCACCTTGAGACGTCGTTGAGAAGAGAGCACGAAAAGATCATCACCCAGGATATTCCCGTCCGCGTCCTCCATCCGGAAACCGTCGAGACCATCATGCAGCCCAAGGTTCGCGAGCCGGATGTCCATATTCAGCTTCCTCCGTTGCTTCAGCTCAAGGCCATCTCGGACCGCTTCACCAAGCTGGCCCTCGCCTCCTCCAACGCCAACAAGTCGCCAAAACTCGAGCTCAGCGCCAACATGCACGGCAGCCTGCGCCTGCGCATCGCAACCGACACCACCGACATCTGCAGCGTCTGGTCAGACCTCGAGAACCCGGAACTCGACCCCGCCCAGCTCGACAGGCCCGTCGAGCAGCACCCCAGCACCAAGTTTCGCGACGGCGGGCCTGAGCGCTGGGCCACGGTCCACGTCGACGGTAAGGACTGGAGCCGAGTGCTGAGCGTCGGCCGCCTCGAGGGCAGGGTCATTGCTTGCTTTGCAGATGGCCACGCCCTCATCCTCTACGTTTACGTCCCCCATTACGACGATGCATCGGCCGAAGACTCGGTCGTCACGGTAAGACCTGTCTCGAGCCACCCATGCTCTCCGGCTTGACTGACATTTATTAGTACTATGTTCAGTCCTACAGCGTATGATCTCTCTGTCAATTTGGTTTTGAGCGTCGGGCAAGCCTACGAAAGATGTATTTCGGGCTGTCATCTTTTGGGTTTATGTCATGGCCCGATTTTACACGGAATGAAGAATTTGTCCGTCAAAAGCACCACATATATCTTGCAAGAGTCGTGCCTGTACAAAAGGCGTTTATGCACCAACGGAAGCCGGCTTCTGTCTCGCCGTCATTCCCCCCCGTTACGCCGCGACCGAGTTCGTCGTTGAGGTATCATTCGCCCAAGCCCAAATCTCTAAGGTAGTTGGCCAGCCGCTCTCCCTTCCCCGGCGGCCCAACGCCTCGCCTCGTGATTCCCCTTTAGCTTGGTACTACTTGGGTAGGTAGGCAGAAGCAGGCAGCCAGGCGGGTAGGTAGTTGGAAGCCGGGCAATGCACGTGCTGTTGGCCAAAAGCCTCGTCTTGGGCAACTTCTATCATACCTAGGTAATGTATATACAGCACCAACTGCAACTCGGTGTGCCGTTGATTTTTCCGACTTCTTCCATTCCTGCTCGTGACCAGCTTGCCCCTTGCCGCAGTCCAAGGGACCTTGCTCCGCATCACTTGGCCATGACGTCAACGTACCGGCCACTTTTGCGCGCCTTCTTCTGCCCTGCCTTGCGCGGCGCAGCAGCGCCAAGCAGGTCGTCGATGCTGCTGGCGTTGCTCATGCTGGTGGCCGGTCTGCTGGGCGGCCCGCTGGGCGGTCCGGTCGCTAGCGCCGAGTTGGAAGCCGAGCGGCTCATAGGCGGGGCCGCCGCGAGGCCCATGTTCTCCTGGGACGCCTTTGGCGCGAGGCTCGGCATCGACCGTAGCGGTCCCGCCAAAGGAGGCGCGCTAGAGCGATCCAAGGCCGGCGGCGAGGTGGAAGACAATGGGGGCGGTGTGCCGCTGACGGAGCGAGGAGCAGCTCTCGGAGGCGGGGGCGTCGCCTTCTTGACCTCTGTATTCTCCGCGCCGACCTTCTTGTTGATCCAGCGCTTGAGCTCAGGGTCGTAGACGAAACTGCTCGCCTCGCCGAGCTTGGCACGGACCGGCTTGCCAGGAGAAGAAGACTCGCCCATGTTGGCCTCTGCCTTTTTGCTGCCGCCGAACCAGCCGGAGAAGCCCCAGCCCTTCTTGGTCGACTGCTGGGCAGCGGCTCGCTTGGCTGTCGGGTAGTCTGTCAGCGAACAGTTGCCTTGATTTCAACGGACGAGGCCATATCTCACCGTCCTCTTCCGCTGCCTTGCGGAACATTTCCTCGTTTTCGCGATCCTTGTCGGTCTTCGTCTTTGTCCCATGCTTCAGAGCTGGTATGTCATCGTCGTCATCGTGCATGAAGCCTTTCTTGGGTTTCGGAGCGTCATCACCACCCTCAGCAGACGGCTCCGGATCAGGCTGGTATGATGGTGGCTCATAGCCGTAAGGCTGATATGAAGGGGGCTCGTAGCCTCCGGTGGCGCCCTCATCTTTTCTTTCTTGGTCATCGTGGACCGCCGCCGTCATCTGCGGAGGCTCGTAGCCATAAGTGGGAGGCTGGTAACCTTGGTCAGGCGAATACATATTTGCTTCGTTACCTCCACTTTGTGTGGCAATGCTGGGAGACTCCTGATGTTTGAGTGGCTGGTAGCCTCTTGGGGTCGACAGCTGTGGCGCTGATGAGTGCGCATAGCCGTTTGAGGCCACCAGAGGGGAATCTAATTGGCTAGGCTGATACCCAGGCCCGGCCGCAGGATATCCCGCAGGAGCGTAGTCACCGCTGTTAAGGACCGGTGAGTGGCTGATTCCTCGGTGAACAGGTTCGTAAGCGTTGCGGGAGTACTCGTTCGAGTTTCGACCAGAGGACGCCGATGCCGGGGCATATTGAGACATGGGTGTAAAAGGCTTTTCCAGGGCGGCAGGTTGCATGGGCGTCGGTGCATATCTGGACGATGTTCCAGGAGCAAGGGGAGGAGCTGAGTTGACTGTGTACCCAGGCGATCCTCCGCCGTACGCCTCAAAGTTGGAGACGGACGGCGAGCGGCTCAAGTTGGGCGTGGTGGCAACTCGGGCAAATGGGCCATGGTCTGCCTCACCAGCGGCCCCGTTGCCACCATTATCGCCCTCGTCGCCCGCTACAAACTTGTTGAATCGATTCCACATGCTATCGGAAACCTTATTCATACTCGGCTTAGATATCCACGAGGATGATGCGTCCTTGGGAGCCTGCTTCAGTCTTGTCATGAAGTCGTCGACCGCTGCCTCCAGGATAGCATGGTGGTAGGGAGACCGCCGTGTCTGCGAAACCATGGCCGAGGCGATGGCGTCGCAGTACTGCAAAGCTTTGTCCCGATAGCCGTACTCGGCAAGGGTAACGGCATGCTGGAATTTGTATGCCGCGAGGTGAGGAGCTCCCGCGGCCGCAGCCGCGCCACCCGCCAGAGACAACCCGTACTCGTAAATCTCGCTCAGCTGCAGCGCTTCCGTTTCTTTGGCGAACTGTTCCGACTGCTGGCGGTGATCAGATCCAAGCAGCACAAAGTCGGCCTTCTGTTCATCCAAGCCACCAAACACCGAGAGGCCCCTGCTGAAGATGAAGCAGACTTGCGCGGCTTCGGCTCTTCCGTAGCTCGAGAGCAGCTTGCCAAGGGCGTTTAGGCCTCGGACATCATCGGAGCTGCGGTTGTTGAGAATGAGCGTCAGTGTCTCCCGCCACTTATCCAAGCCATCGGCCGCGTCTCTTGCCGGCTCCTGGGTGGATTGCTTGGAAACTAGCTGCAGACCGACCCGAGCGTGAATCGGCACGAGCTCGTCGACACAATCGTCAAAGTTGCCCGACAGCACCTCGTACAGAGCGGCAATCGACTCGTTATTGTGGCCGGGGTAGTTGACTTCCTTGCGCACAAACTCTTGCGCTACTTGTTTGTAGAGGTCGGGTGAGATGGTATGGGATATGAGCATGGCGTGGCCCCAGAGACGCTTGTCCACCGCAGACCACACAGCAGTCTCACGATTGCCTCTGAGCAGATCAAGCCGAATCTGCTCCACAGCTGCAGGATCAGCACTGTCTGCCATCATAGAAGTGACCGGGCCGGCCTGGCCAGCTCCGGCGGGAGCAGCAGGAGTTAACGCGGCGTTGCCGGCGGTCGAGCTTGCTGTCTCTGGAGAGAGAACATCTCTGACGGCTTTCTCAACCTCAGAGTTGCCCTCCAAAGTCCCGTCAAACTCGACGAAGATGCGGAGTAGCTTCCACAGCAGAAGGCGCTCGAGGCCTCGTTTCGCCTCAAGCGAGAGCTGAGAGTGAAGCGAGATGTCAGGGAGGTCTTTCTCCTGTGCGTCGATGCCTGCCGCCAGCCAAGCCAGGGCCTCCTTTTTCTTAGACTTGCCCTTCAGCGGTCCCGGGAATCTGGCCAGCTGATCTGCAAGAGGGTCAACATCCTTAATGTTCTGCACCTTCATTTCGCCGGCCGTTCGCAGTATTGTCGGAGCCGTTTGATTCATGGTGTATCGAGGCACGCTCTTTGGGAACGATGTGACAATGGTTCCCCCGACCCCCCAGGCCAGGAGAGGCGCCCCTTTCCATCGTTGCAAGGGATCGTGTTCCCTTCCATCCGTGGGGGGGACCATGTTCATCGAGAGCGACTGGCCGCGCCTCCTGGAAGTCGGGGGATGAAGTGGATGAAGTGGCTGAAACGGCTTCGGCATGGCTGGGGCAGCTGACGCGTGAGCAGACGACGGCCGGGCATTGTAGTCGGTGGGGTTTGCCGGTCGACCGCCTTGCGCGGCGACAGGGGATTGAGTTGACGGACGAGGCGGCGGTGCGAATTCAGGATGGACTGCGGGTGTCGCCTGAGGCATGCAGTTGGAGCTGACTCTCTGCGGAGACGACGAGGCCGGTGGACCATAGGAACGAGACGGGGGAGGCGGGGGAGGCGGCGTTTGGCGAGCTGCGGCAGGATGGGGCACAGGGGCGAACCTGGACTCCATGTTTGCAGGGCGGCTCGCCTGGGTCGTGCTAAAGGATCTATAAGTGGGCGACATTTGGTCGTCCTCCTCCTCGTCCACCTCACGAGTAGGAGGGAGTGAGGAGACCCTGTTAAGCCTGTGCTCAAAGGAGTTGGATCGACGGTCAGAGTGGTGCGCATCGCCGTTGGGTGCATTCACCCCCCGGTGGATTTTGTCGCTGCTGGCTTCGAAATGGGCGAGCGGGCTCGACGTCCTAGGCAGATGGGGCAGCACAGCTTGCGAAGAAGTCGCCGGAGCGCCATGGTTGTGCGAGCTGCTGGGCCGTGGTCCCTGGGGAGCCGGTGAATATCGACTTGACGCGGCAGGCGGCGCTGACCCGTGACCAACCGGCTGCTGTGACGAAGCTGGCGAGTACCTCGACGTGGTGCCTGTTTGGGGTGGTGCAGAGGCGGCCGGGGGAGACATTGCGGCGTATGGGTTGACTCTCTCGGGTGTCACCAGGTCTCCAACCCCCGGTGGCGGTTGTGGAGCTCTGTTGGCGGGCGGAGACAGGGGACCTGCCGGGGGAGGAGCCGACTGCGAGTGATGCCCGGCCGGGGCGTATAGGCTTTGCTGCTGCGGTGTGCTCCCTTGCCCCGAGCGTGGCCTGGGCTTTGCCGTGATGGGTAAATCTTCAAAAAAGCCGCTCGGGTTCCGGGAAACAGAAGCAGGGGCTTTTTGGTTTGGGCTGGGTCCCTGGGATGGATGCGTAGGAGGTGGCAGCGAGCCAGGCGCCGGTGGATGGCCCGGTGCGAACATGCTCGTGCTCCTTGGAGGCGGTTGTTCGCGAGGAAGCTGTTGCAAGCTCGCTCGTTTGCGTGGCTTGAGCGTATTGCTCAACAGGTCTGTGGGCAAGTCGTACGGAGAGGAATAGCCGCCTTTTGACTTGTCCGCAAAGCTTGAAACCCTAGATTGCTGCGGACGCGTCTGAGCTGCGTGGCCTTGTAGCTGGCCCGAGTTCGAGGGCGCGAGGGGTGGTTGTTGGTGTGGATAGTTGGATAGAGGAGCGTTGGCCAAAGGGAAGTGCGGCACAGATGGCGGCGGCGGCGACGTGACGGCGGAAGGGATATACGGGCTCGATACAGAGTGTTGCCGACTATCAGAGACAGCGGGCGCCGACTGAGGCACGGAAACGGCCCCGTCATCGTCGTCTAGAAAACCGTCATCGTCCAGGAGACCTTCGTCGTCGCTTCCGAGAAAGGCAGCAGCGTCAATCGCTTTGTCGCCCGCGGCCGAATCGTCGGAGAGGAAGCCGTCTTCATCTCCAGCAAAGATGTCTTGCCATTTAGCTGTCACGTCCTCGGCGGCAGGTTGCTCTTTGTCGGGCTCGTCCCTCAGGTCAGACGAGCTCGGAATATCCCACGAGTCGGATTGATTCAAGCTTCCTGAAGCTTGCGTGGCTGCGTGCTCGCTCGCCGTCTCCCCGGGGGCGCTGTGATGCAACGCCGGTTCGGGGTTGAGGCCATCCATGGCCTGAGCGGTAGATTTGCGCTCAATGGGTAGTATACCAGGGCCCGCATCCCCTGCCTGCAAGTCTGGCTCTTTTGACTGGGCGAAGAAGTCGTCATCATTGCCGTCGTCGGCGAAGGAATCGGCAAAAGCACCCGCGTCCTTGTCTTTGGCTACACTAGCCGTAGCGTCAGAGAGCGACACCAAAGGAACGCCTTCCTCGTAACGGGCCTCAAAATCTTGTGCCTCAGATCCTTGCGTCTCGCCGCCTATCGCTTGTGATGCTCCTTGCGGCTCAAGCTCATCCTCGGACTGCGCAGGTGAAGCCTCGGGCGCCGCGTGAATGGTCCCAGTCAAATACTGTCGCTCGCCAAGTTCGGCCTCCCTTTCGGTCTCTTGCATGACGTACAGAGCTTGAGTTGGAGGAAGAGGCTGGTCACTGTGCTCCTGGTGACTTCCGAGCGTGGGGGGGACATCTGGGAACGAGTTTGATCTGTTGGGTTGGGCCGGAGGATCGGAGACGTCGGGATCTGATCGCGTCAAGTTCCACTCGGCGTCGTCGTCGTCAACGAAGCTGACCTCGTGCGATACCGTGCGAGCAAAAGACATGGAGCTAGAATGCTGCGCATGTGTTGGCTGTCGTCTGCCTTCCTTGGACACCATGGTCTGAAAAGACTGTTCGCTTGCCAGAGCGGGCAGCTCAGTCTCCTGCACGGCGGTGCCATTCTCGCGCGCAGTATCTTCTAGGTCTGGCAGAGGATCCTCATTTTTCGCTTCCTCCGGCTCGACGTCAGCCCGTTGGGTAGGCGCCTGGATCTCTTGCGGTGCGATGCTCGCGGGGGGATCTGGATCGTCCGAGACGAGCCAGGCATTCATGTCGTCGGCATCACCCTCTCCGGATAGCCAGGGATCGACCGAGGCCTGTGGTTTCTCATCGGCTTCGGCATGATCGGGCGACTCGATTTTCTCAGGCGCCGCTTGCTGGGCCGGCTCGGTTGGACTCTCCGGATTCGAGGGATCGGCTCCGGCGGCCGCCGGAGGAAGGGGATAAGAATCGGGCATCAGAGCTGGGTGCCATGACGCGCTGGGCGGCCCGTTGGCCATGGTTTAGAGGCAAGAAAACAGGCTCGATGATTAAGTGACGCCAGATAAGGTGCTCTGCCTTGGGGCTGAAATCAGTGACGTGCCCGGAGTTAAAGGAGCCAGCGCAGGATGGAAGAGGATGCGCGGCGCTGCCGAGTGAAACAACCTTAGTAAGGAAGCGGGTGGAATCGAAGACAGATCTTCAATCCGAGCTCCGTCCCGCCATTCCAGGACGGGGAAAGGGGGAGTATCGGAGAGGCTGGGAGGGGGTTTGGCAGCGCGCGTTGGATGATGATGGCGATAGATGCAAGCTGGCATCTACTGCGTGCAAGTACCTGCTTGACGTAGGGGATAAATCTCGGGCGGTAATGGCACTGTGGCTCTTGCTGGAGGAGCTGTCCGTCCTGCCGCAAGGAGCACCGTACAGTGGCCCTTACCTAAGTAAGGTACCGAGTACGGAAGTCTCTGTCAAAGTCAAAGTGCCCGCGACCTGCCACTCTGCAGCATCTATTTGGCCAGTTTAGCTTCCATCCTCACACGCCACCACCAATGAAGGGCTTCCAGATGTTCACATTCCGCCCTCCCTTGGTTGCGCATTTACATATACCACGGCAGCTCGTGCAATCAGAAATTAAACACTAACGAAACAGAGCTTCAACTCGCTCGACGTACAACTATAGTAGCCCGGTCTATACTTTCCCTCGAGTCAATAGCGCCCCCTTATATGTAGTTACCCCCCACCGCCTGGTCTCTGTAACGGCCTGTACCTGCAGAGGCGGCCAGGCGGAAAGCTGCCGTGCTAACGAACATTCAGCACTCCACTCTGGTGTCCCGTACCTTGCTGCGCATGGAACGTCAGGGAGCTTCAGGGAGGGCCGCCCCCTGGCGACTCTGGCCCATCAGCCCACTTCGTCGAGGTCGCAGTGGAACGTACTCATGCGAAACCGATGCTTTCAGTGGAAAAGACCACCTCTCCTGGGCGGCCAAAATCTTCCACCTACACACCACTCTCGCTTTCGTGTCTCCAGACGCCCGCCATCCGCAACGTCGGAGCATGCTGACCGCTGACGTCGATCCGCGCCGCCCGTGACCAGCCTTGCCCCTGCCTCACACAGCCAGGGTCCAGTCGTTTGCGCCTCGCAGCGCAGCATGGTCAGCCAGCACCACCGGCGCTCCCTCTCACTCCACCATACTCACGAGGCGCACGGCGGCCACTGATGCGGGATGCCTTCGACTCCTCCGTACCGACCGACCGAACCCCCCGATTCGCCTACCCTCGACTCCGACTCCGACCTCGACCTCGATCTCCAGGAGCTTGACCCTGTCCCGGCCGAGGCGCCTCCCGCCGGCTCGCGCCGCCCCCTGCCCGCCACCGAGCAAAGCACATCGAGAATCGCCTTGCGGAATCTGCGTATGGGAGGCTTGCGCCGGGCTCACAAGCGCGGGCGCGGGTACGGGGATCTCGGCGCCAATCCCGACGACTCTGACGATGGGTACAGGTTGCCGTGGTCCGACGGCAGCGGCAACGGCGACGACGATGCCCCCCTGCTGGGAGGAGAAGCAAGAACCCACGCCCGCCGCGAATCCCGCTCCAGCCTTCGCCTGCCCAGCTTCATGTCCCCAACGACGAACAAGACGGACGACTGCGACCCCTCGTCGTCGAGGCAGGTCGTCGTCGGGTCTGGCCAAGCCACCCGCTTCCCCACGAATATCGTCTCCAACGCAAAGTACACGGCACTAACCTTCTTGCCCATCACGCTGTACAACGAGTTCTCCTTCTTCTTCAACATGTACTTTCTTCTCGTCGCCTTGTCGCAGGCCATTCCCGCCCTGCGCATTGGCTATCTTTCGACATACGTTGCGCCTCTGGCCTTTGTTCTGCTCATCACCATGGGCAAGGAGGCTTATGATGACATCGATCGGCGGAGGAGAGACACCGAGGCCAACTCGGAGGTGTACAGCGTTCTTGGCTTTGGTGACCCCGAATCGCGCCCTGCCACTCTTCGAGCGCGCCGGCCGCTCAAGTCCGACTCGCTTAGACGTGGTTCTCGGAGATCAAGAGGTGGGAGACACGACCTCTCGGACATTCAAGAGGAAGAGGAACAGAGCGCCCTAGCCCAGCCGTCGTCCCATGTTCAGGAGCTCGGCCGCAAATCAAAAGACCTCAAAGTAGGCGACGTGCTCAAGCTGAGCAAGGGGCAGCGAGTCCCCGCAGACGTCATCATCCTGCAATGCTACACGACAGACGGTGCAGTTGTTTCCGCTGCCAAGGAACCCGCAGAAGAGGAGGTCCTGTTGGCTCTGGAAGAGACCGATCAGCTGCAAAAGGGCAAGCAGCCCGCGACCGAGACGCTCAATAACGGGACCGAGACCGGCGCGGGTGGGGAGACATTCATCAGGACGGACCAACTCGATGGCGAGACGGATTGGAAGCTACGACTGGCCTCTCCCCTGACGCAGAATCTGCCCCCCGAAGAGTTTGTGCGCCTACGTGTAACGGGCGGGAAGCCCGACAAGAAGGTGAACGAGTTTGTCGGGACAGTCGAGCTGCTTCCGACGCGACATGATGCTCTGAGCCATCAGCCTATGCTCCCACAAGACGACGAGAGCGCCAAATCCGCCGCCTTGTCCATTGACAACACGGCTTGGGCCAACACGGTGATTGCATCGCAGGGAACGACCTTGGCCGTCATCCTGTACACAGGCACGCAAACACGCTCTGCCCTGTCCACCTCGCCCTCGCGCTCCAAAACAGGCCTGCTGGAGTATGAGATCAACTCATTGACCAAGATTTTGTGCGCACTAACGCTGGCGCTCTCCATCGTTCTCGTCGCCCTCCAAGGCTTTGAGAAGACCGAGGGCAATGTGTGGTACATTAAAATCATGCGATTTCTGGTCCTCTTCTCGACCATAGTGCCCATCAGCCTGCGTGTTAACCTGGACATGGGCAAGAGCGCGTACTCGAGGTTTATCCAGCGCGATCCTGGCATCCCTGGCGCCGTTGTTCGAACCAGCACCATCCCGGAAGATCTCGGGCGCATCGAGTACCTGCTCAGCGACAAGACTGGAACCCTCACCCAAAACGACATGGAGATGAAGAAGATTCACGTGGGCACGGTATCGTACGCTAACGAAGCCATGGACGAAGTTGCCGCCTACGTCAAGCAAGGATTTCATATCCAGCCCACCACCGACCCGTCGTCTCGGACGATGCTCATCACGCCGTCTTCCACATACTCCAACGCCGTCAACGTCGGCGCAACTCGCACGAGGAGGGAGATTGGATCGCGAGTGCGTGATGTTGTTTTGGCCCTGGCGCTCTGCCACAACGTCACGCCGACAGTCGACACCGAGGATGGCCAGGAAGTGACCTCGTACCAAGCGTCGTCCCCCGATGAGATTGCCATAGTCAAATGGGCTGAGTCGGTGGGTCTGAGGCTCACGAGTCGCGATCGTAAGAGCATGACGCTCGAGTTCGCCGACAGCGGGCGACCGGTTGTCCGTGTCCGCATCCTCGAAGTGTTCCCGTTTACGTCAGACGGCAAGCGAATGGGCATCATCGTCTACTTTCAAGAAGATCTCAACGCACCATCAAGCGACCTGAGCAGTGGCGATATTTGGTTTTACCAGAAGGGCGCCGACACGGTAATGAGCTCAATCGTCGTTGCCAACGACTGGCTTGACGAGGAGACTGCCAACATGGCGCGAGAAGGGCTGCGGACGCTGGTCGTCGGCCGCAAGAAGCTGTCTGTGCAGCAGTACCAAGAGTTTTCGTCCAAGCACCAAGAGGCCTCCCTAGCCATTGTCGGGCGTGAAGCCGGGCTGCAGAGGGTCGTCTCGCACTATCTCGAGAGTGACCTGGAACTTCTCGGCGTGACGGGTGTGGAGGACAAGCTGCAAAAGGACGTCAAGCCGTCGCTGGAGCTGCTGCGCAACGCGGGCATCAAGATTTGGATGCTGACGGGCGACAAGGTTGAGACGGCGAGATGCGTCGCCGTCAGCTCCAAGCTCGTGGCCCGGGGACAATACATCTACACCGTTGCCAAGTTGACCAAGAAGGACTACGCGCGAGACCACCTCGACTTCCTCCGCAGCAAGACGGACGCCTGCCTCCTCATCGACGGCGAGAGCCTCGCCCTCTTCCTGACGCACTTTCGCCTCGAGTTCATATCCATCGCGGTGCTCCTGCCGACGGTGGTGGCGTGTCGATGCTCGCCGACGCAGAAGGCCGAGGTTGCCAAGCTCATCAAGGAATACACCAAGAAGCGCGTGTGCTGCATAGGCGACGGCGGAAACGACGTCTCCATGATTCAGGCTGCGGACGTGGGCGTTGGCATCGTGGGCAAGGAGGGGCGTCAGGCGAGCCTGGCAGCCGACTTTTCGATTGAGCATTTCTACCACCTGGTCAAGTTGCTCGTGTGGCACGGGCGCAATAGCTACAAAAGGAGCGCCAAGCTGGCGCAGTTTGTCATCCACCGCGGCCTCATCATTGCTGTGTGTCAGACCATGTACAGCATTGCGCTGAAGTTTGAACCCGAGGGGCTCTACAAGGCAAGTCGACGCTGCGTACTCGATGTGAGGAACTTACTGCTGACTTGAAGGGTTTCCGATCAACAGGACTGGCTGCTTGTTGGCTATGCGACCATTTACACAGCAGCCCCAGTCTTGTCCCTGGTCCTCGACAAGGACGTGGACGAGAACATGGCCAACCTCTATCCCGAGCTGTACAAGGAGCTTACGTCTGGGCGTTCCTTGTCTTACCGTACCTTCTTCGTCTGGGTGTTTGTGTCGATATATCAGGGCGGCATGATTCAGGGGCTGTCCCAGCTCCTCACCGAGGTGGACGGCCGCAGAATGGTGGCCGTTAGCTACACGGTGCTTGTGCTCAACGAACTCATCATGGTTGCCATTGAGATTACCACGTGGCACCCGGTCATGATTGTGAGCATTTTGAGCACCTTCGTTGTCTTTATCGGGTCGATGCCCTTCCTGGGGGGCTACTTTGACCTCGAGTTTATCATCACATGGTGAGTTTTTACCCCTCGGTGAAGCCTCCTCTTGATGAAACGAGGAGTCTTCAAGGATGATGGACCGTCTCTAACACCGTCTGCAGGGGCTTTCTCTGGCGGGTCATGGCCATTGGGGCTGTATCGCTCGTGCCTCCCTACGCCGGAAAGCTGATTCGCAGAGCCATCAAGCCGCCGTCGTACAGGAAGGTACAGGATAGATAGATAAAAGGGAGGCTTTAGAAGCAAGTATAGATGGCTCGGCGTTTTGGTTGGGAATTAGGTATTCGCAAGTACATTCTTGGGAGGCGGGGGCGCGTGTTGCTGTTTATATTTGTTCACTCGAGTTCTCACAAGGCTGGCTAGAGAGAACTTTGCTGTCAAGCGATTGCGAACGGTACCTATAAAACGACGGACTAGGCATTCGGGGTGAAGTGGGAAGCGTTTAACAAGGTACAGGATTCACAATGTGTGCCGTTGACTGCATGTGTCTCATTGCAGAACAGGTGAAGTTACTCGTGCATTGCCCGCATCTCCTCGGTGCTTCGAGGTCTTGCACTCGCATCTGTGAAAGAGCAGGCAGAGCCCAAGTCTCTCGCACCCCTTCCTGCCTGGCCTACCGGGCTCATTGCGTGTGAGCGTCTAGCACTCGCCCGCCTATCGGTTCGGGGATGCTTCCCCGGCCTGCAATCGGCACACGCCGTCGCTCGCCGGGGTTCGAGCGAGCACGACGCCATTGGAGCGAAGAACCTTGCCTTTGATGCTGGGGCCGATGACCCAATAGCAAGGCGGCCGGGGGGAGACCGGAACTGCGCCGCCAGGCTGTTTGAACGCCGGCTCGCTGCCGACCGCGACAAGCGACCGAGCACAAAAGTATTCGGATAGTGAGGTGATGGTGGCGATGTTGTTCGCCCCGTCCCAAATACTCTGCATCGGCTTCCCGCCTTGTCAGACGTGAATTATACAAGACTTTGCCGAGGCCTTGACCTGGTTTTCTCTCCCGCAACAAAGCGGGTTTCAGAGCTTGAGTACGAGCCACTCGTCGGCCAGGCGGGCGTGACGCCCCTGCAGCCGTCGAGCCACGCCGCCCACAGGCCCTTGGGTCAGGGTGCCGCGCAGCCAGGCCTTGGGGCCTGCGTAGTGCGAGACGAAGCCGTCCGGGCCCGAGACCATGAGCAGATTCTTGCCTCGCGCACGCGAGCTATCGGACGATGGACACCGGCAGGCCGCCTCGGAGGCGTCGAATTCAGAGGCGTCGATGTGTAGGCGCTGGTCGTGAGACGGGCATCCTCGACAGGGCGGCGTTGGCTGGGCGGGGGGTGGCGGGAGGAGTAGGGCTTTTTCGACGTCGGCTTCGCGGATAGTGGTGCCTTCTTGGTCGATGGCGACGCGGATGTCGAGACGGTCGCCGTACCTGGCCTTCATCCGCTTCAGGTGGCGTGCAATGGGGCTCGGATCTGCGAGATCGGCCTGTATCTGTGTCGGCGCCTTGGTCGACCACCAGGAAGACCATCGTGATGGAGCCGGCTTGTCGACCACCTGCACCTCGTCCCGCTTCCTGACAGCCCACAGGAGCGTCATGGTAGTCTCGTCACTCGCATCAAGCACCGCCCTGGCAACCTGCATAGCCGGCACCAGGCCCGTGCCCCCAGCAAGAAACACGACGCGGCCCCGCGAGCCCAACCTCTGCAAGACACCAAAGCCCGCGTGCGGGCCCCTCAGCCAGACCTCGTGCCCGACGCCAAGACGGCTCAGATAGCTTGACATTTCGCCGCCGCCCATGGCGCGGATGTAGAAGCGCAGACACGCTTGCGCCGCGTCCTCGTCGCCCTCGACCGGCGGCAGCGGGGTGTAGTGCCTCGCAATCTGCACCTCGGGCTGCTTGAACTCGACGGACCACAGCGCATGGCGCCAGAGGGAGGCGCTCCCCGGGCGCAGGTACGGTGGCGACGGGTCCGGCGTGCGTGGCGAGACGGTCAGGATGGCCGAGGTGGGGGAGATGGCTTCGCGGGCGGTGATGGTGTAGGGGACAAAGGTGTCGCGGTTGAGCGTCTTGCTCCTGGGCTCGGGGGTGAAGAGGTAGTAGTAGGCTGCGGTCCCGATGGCGAAGCTTGAAGCGAGGAGAGCTGGCCATGCCCTTGAATGCCTGCGTGAATTTGTTCGTCGCTGTGTTGAGAAGAGTCGGGGGAGTGAGGTCGAGGGCGGTGAATGGCTGTACGTAGCCGTCCATGAGCGAGGACTGGAGGTACGGAAGCTCCGCTGGCAGCATATCATGGCGTTTCGTAGATCAACAGCATAGATTCTTGGGGAGAAAGGGTTGATTAGCCCCGGCCGTGTCATTTGTGTGCTCAGGGGGCCATCCAGAATTCCAGATGCCCACCTCTTTCTCTCTCACTCTTGGTATGATTTGGTGGTGAGCAAGAACACGATGCGAGGAAGACAAACGATTCAAATCGACGAGAGACAATCGAAATGGTTGAAAAAAGTCCCCCATGCGACTTTGATACACGGAAACGACGAGGTCGCGAACCAAGGATAGTCGCCAAAGAATTGCATCAACGCGCGGTCACGTGCACGACACTCGGCCTGAGCAGCCCAGAGGACGGACGACATGCAATCGCAGTCATCCCAAGGTTCTCTCTCCAACACAGGTGAAAGTCATGCCATACATGTACATATGCATCAACGACTCTAGTACACACAATGACGATCTTCAGGTATATACACAGGCCAGAGAACGCGCCCATACTATGCGGATAGCCTCATATCCGCAGTATCCTCCTCTGCATATCGATGCCTCCCCGGAACAAGTCCGCCACGACCCTCCCCCCCAGAACCGTCTCTTGCACAAGCCCCTCGACGTGTCGCGGCTCGACCCGGCCGTACCAGATTCCGTGGCCCGCCAGCGGCTGCAGCTCGCCGTCGAGCCCCCTCAGTCCGGGCGGCAGGTAGATGATGACGTTGCCGGCGAACTTGTGTCCTCCGATGTGGCTGATGAGTCCAATCCTCGCCGTCGTCTTGGCCGTCGCCACCGTCGTTGCGCCGCCAGTGATCCATGAGGCGCTCTGCTGCTGCTCCTCTCCCAAGGCCACCTCGACCGGCCCCGTGCGCACGTCCACGCCCATCTTGGCAAGCTTATCACCAAATTCGGCCCTCAGCAGCGGCCCCATGATGCCGCACCGCGCATCCCGCCCGCCGTGCCCGCAGACGAGCACCAGCACGTCGCGCACGTCCTGTACGCCCGGCAGCAGGCCCTGGTACGCGTCCTTGCGCGTCAGCCGGTCGCGGTGGATGGGCGAGAGGCCGTCGTGCGCCGCGTGCAGCGTCGAGGGCAGCAGGAAGCCCTTGGCCAGCGCCTGCACGCTGTCAAAGGATACGCGGGGCAGAAAGGGCACGTATTTGAAGCTTGGGAAGAGGTATGCGGATGTGTTTTGCACGTCTGGCCGCGGCGGGACGGTGCTCGGTAGAGATGCGTTGAGGACGGAGACGTTGTGGAAGGGCTGCAAGCGAAATCAAGTCAGCTCCTCTTGTCCTCGTCTACCCGTTGATCAACGACCAGAGCGGCAGCTGCAGCAACTCACATCTCGGTAGACGCCTCCCCTGCCGAGCAGCTCCTTGAGATCCGCCGCCAAGTTATCCCCCCCGCTCTCGTCCTCAATCCTCGAGGCCCAGTCATCCCGGCCGGTGCAGACGAGCACCTGCTCCGCATACGCAGCCATGACGCCATCCAGCGGACTCGTCCGGTCAATCTCCAGCCCCTCGGGCATGGCCGGCATGTCGGCGCATGCGCACGTCGGTGACGGACACGTCTGCACCGTCGGTAGTCGCGCCGCGGGTGGCTTCGTCGAGGCGACGCCCCGGCGGGGTGTCAAGTCAAGGGCCGGGCGCCGCCGCCTCGTCAGCCGTGCCGTCGTCGTCGTCGCCGTCCGGCGCAGGGCGGCGGGCACGGAGAACATGCTGAGCACAGGTCAATGATGAGCGCACGTAGGACGGCCATGTTGTGAGCTTCATAGGCGTCAATCGATGTTAAATACCTGCGTGTGTAAACCGGCCGAGCAGTAAAACCATATGGCTCAACCCTTTCCCGTGTCAGCAGGCGGTCAGCCTCGGTCTCCGAGCTCTCTCCAACAGGCTGGAATTTGCCGGTGCCCCGGGGAGCCGGACCCGCAATCGCCGGCCCATCACCCTCCGATACGTCATCCGCTTCGAGTCTTGACCAAGTGGTAACCTGCACCATGGAAAACAGAAATTCCTTCTATTTCATTCCAACGTACTGCATCGATACCACGCTTATCAAACAGAGAATTACACATGTATTCATTCGCTAAAGAGGCATCGTGTCTACCCCCGTCTCCACCAGCAGAATGAAATAGGCCCCGAGCCACGATAGATCGCTGTATCTGCCAAGCCAAACGTCAACGTCAAGCAGTGCCAGGACTGCACTGCCAAGCCGGCGGTCCACGTCGTGGACAGAGCCGGGGTGCACACGACAGCCCTGCAGGTATTCCAATCAAACGGTCCCCGTAAGACATCTCATACAACCGCAATCAACTCCAATCGACGCAAATCCCCGGCGTCAATGCCTCCTCCTCATGGCAATCTCCTCTCGCAGTAGCCGGGGGGCTTGGCTCCCGCGTTGGCCCAGCTCATGATGGTGAGGCTTGTGGCGTACGCCATGGCGAAGAACCCGAAAATGCAGAGCGCGACGTCGGCAATCTTCCAGGCCCTGTTTCGCGCCACGGCCTTGTAGTGCAGCAGGGGCTGGGGACCGCGTTAGCATGGCCTGTGCGTGCCGCGAGGAAGGCGTTGGCGCCGCGAGACTTACCGGATAGATGTAGACCAGCGGGATGCACGCAAAGTTGCCAACCAGCGCGACAAACTTGTCGAGGTTGTCCGCACCGCCCCACGCAATGGCCGCGCAGAGCATCACCATAAAGAACCGAAAGACATTCTTCTGCCACTTGATGTAGGGGTTGTACTTGCCGCTTCGCGTGAAGAGCTCCGTCTCTGCGATTCGGACGGCTGGGAAGATTTGCAACGGCGTTGAGAGCAGGATGGCCACCGAGTAGAGAAGCTGCACGCCGTTGACCAGCTTGTCGTCTTGGGGCAGGTTCAGTAGGACGACCGTCTCTGTCTTGGATCCGTACGCGGCGTACGAGATGGCTCCCATGGTAATGAAGACGACGGTGATGATAATCATGACGAGGAACAGGACGCGCGGAAACTTTTGCGGGTGCTTCATCGATTCTTGGATCGGCAGGACGAGGCCGATGCCTTCAAACGTGAAGATTGCGGTGCCGATGAAGAGGGTCCAGTCCTTGGAGTTGAACATGATGATATCCGCAAGTCCGTTGGCATGGAGCGTCAGGACGTCGTAGTAGAAAAGATACGCCAGCCCAATCAAGATGAAGGCGTCTGCGATGAGCGCTGTGAAGCCGAGCTTGCCAATGTCTCGTAGCAGGGAAAAGGGCAGGAAGATGACCATTTGCATGAGAATCAACAGGGGGATGCTGATCGAAGACTTGCAGTCAGACACGGCGTGGATAAAGGCCTGCAGGTTCTGCGCGGTGAAGACGGTATAGGCGGCCGTGAAGCCGATTTGGCTGATGACAATGGAGCCAAGGATGAGAGTCCGCATCCACTTGCCGTAAAGGATGCCGCCCATGTCACCAAAGGAACCGTCCACCTTCATCCGGCTCGAGACCAGGAGCACAAAGCTGTAGTAGCTCAGGCCGGCAAGGCAGAGCAACACGACGTTACTGAGCAACATGCCGCCGCTGAGGTATGCGCGAGGCAAGAACAAGACGCCGGTGCCCACAAACGACTTGAGCAGCAGCAGGGCTGCGTTGAGTGGACTGTTTTTGCCGCTGCCCCCGCGAGGCTTGCGCTTGCGCATCCTTTTCGACGACGAAAGCAGCGCGCTGTCTTCCATGGCTTCCCTCTCGTCTTCGCTGCCCTCGCCGTGAGGGTAATTGCCCGACCAGAATTCCTCGTTGGGGCCAAGCGCCTCGTCGTCTTCCTCGAGCTCTTCGCCCGCAAAGTGGCCGTAAATGGTCAGAAACTCGAGGAAACTCGAGGTGAAGAGCCGGGGCTGTTCTCCTGGCGGGGATTCGGCGCCCGAGTCGATGGCTTCCGGGTTACGACCGGGACTCATGGCGCTTCGGCGAAGATGGTTTCTTCGGAAGCCTCCGGGCACCTTGATCGAGTTGATGTCGAAGACATCGGTCTCTGGCTCTGGCCGCGAGTGGTCGAAGCTCTTGCTGCGGTGAAGCTTGCCCTTGGCCTCGGCCTGCTCTGTCCATTTGTAGATGCCGCGAGTGATGTCTCCTCCCTGCAGCCGCAAGCTGGAGAACTCATCTTGGCGGAGGCCGGAGCTGGCGTCGGCTGGCTGCTTTCCTCGCGCGGTGCCTAAGGTCGACGATTCCTCAGAAGGCAAGTTTTCCGATTCGCCAGGCTGGACCAGGTGACGTTTGATTATCTCGGGGTCTTCGTACGGCCCGGCGGCGCTTGCCGGCCCAAAGCGAGACCTCGAGTCGAAGGAGCCGTAGTTTGTGGGCGTTTCAGCTCGGCCAGGTAGTGCAGGTGACTGTGGCCTCGGCGGAGGCGAGTTGACCCGCGCGGGGGGCGTTCCATAGCGAGGCGGCGACTGGCCCAGCGAATCTGACAGGGCTGCGGCGAGGGCGGACACGCCTGGGCCTTGGGCGAAGGAGCGGCTGCCGGCAAAGGAGGAGTCGTGTTCCGGCATGTTGACGCCCGGGGCCGGCGAGTCGCTTCGCGTGGGAGTATGTCCCGAGGGAATGGGCTCGGCGAGCCGAGCTGTCAACTCATCTCGCAGCAGCGACGACGAGAATGATCGTGGCTGCCCGGCGGCCGTCGACGCTGCGCCGGGCGCCGGGCTGAGCGTGTTCCTTGGCGACGACATTTTTCCTGCGTGATGGCGAGGTTGTGATGCCCTATTTCATATCGTCACGCAGCTTCTGTGTGGTGAATAAGAGCCTGCAGAGGCGTCAACTGTGACGGTCGTAAGGGGGTGCCGACGCAGCGAGGGCCCGAGTCGCAGCTCCGGGGAGGAGGTGAGTCGATAATGCGGTGATGGCGAGCGAGAAGAAGGTGACGATGGATCAGGGGCGCAAGAGGGTAATTGCCGAAGTGCAGGGTCAAATTGAGCCTTGGCCAGGCGTGGATGTCGGTGACGGCGTTGGAACGAAGGGGAGTTGAATCGAAAAGAAGGTGCTTTTGGGCGACCTAACATGCAAGATACGTCAGGTCCGGCGGGTACTGTGTACAGGCACTCCGAGGTACCGAGGCGGGCAATCCGGCAGGGCAGGTACCTGGCTAGGGGACGTGGCCGCTGTGCCCCGGTTCATGGCTGTCGGTTGGCTGCTGGCTGGTGGATGATAAGCCCCAGAAAGCCGCCAGTGGCTTCGCAGTGGGGTCTGGTGACTGTGCCACAGCAGGGGGGCTCCACTCTAAGCCGCCGCGGGAGCAAGTGGCATCAAATGTGTCGAGATAAGGCGCTCAGAACTCCATTGGAAAACGTGATGGAAGCTTTTGCGATGGACATCCCAAAGAGGAAGCTCGCTCTGCCTTGGTCATGAGCGAGGCTCGGCAGAACAGGCGTTTCAACGGACGTTGTGCAAAGTAGTAGATGCAGTGACGTTATTCAACGTTTACTTTGCAGGTCGGTACTGTATGTAGGTAGGTAGGTACCTAGGTACTTGGTGGCTTCAGCACATCCGGGCTTCTATGTACATCTACAGCGTGCTTGCGTACGACCCGACATGGCTCATGTACTTTCTATTTTGAAATTCCGTCTTGGTCCTTTTTGTGTGGTGTGTGCTGGGCGCGAGAAACATGCAAATGATGATGAGCCAGGGCCACCGACGGACGGAAAGGGCCGGGCCTTGGTATCTAGCCGTCGGTGCTTGCTGCTCACGGGAGCCATGGCCGTGACGATTCTAGCCGCCTAGTGTTGAATCAAATGTGCTTCTGCCGGCGTAGCGTCTCCAGGCCTGCAGCGGGATGGGCTCCGTCACGAGCAGAAGAAAGGGGCGGCAGCATGGAAGTTCTCCGCGGCTTTCAGCTCACGCGCCACCGACGCACATCAAAGTTCAAGATACCTGATAAAGGCCGCTGGCAACGGCGCCGTCGAGGCCGACAGACCGAAGTGGATATGCGAAGTAATTAGAGTGTAACGGCCATGCATTTGCCATCCAAGTCACCGTGGGTCGGGACGGAGGACGAGGCAGACAAAGAGGCTGGCGAGCCACAGGGCAAAAACTTGATTTGCCCGACTGGCGAGTCTTTGTCTGAGCCTCGAGATGAGTGCCACCCAGGAGACGGCCACGCGTTGGGTCGATTGGCAGCCACATCTCAAGCTATGCGGCCGATTATCTGCCCCGGGTCCGATTCCATGGGCATGATCCACCAACGCATGGCAGCACCTAGTCTTGCTAGTTGGGCTTCGCTCGGGGCAGAATGCTGAATTACTACTTTGTACCGCACGTATTCGACAAGTACTGTATAATAAATAAATTACTTGACACGCTCCGGCGTGACTGGCGCATGGTTCAGCTGACCCAGACGTCGCACGGCAGGGTTTCCACGCACAAGGGCGACCAAGATTGCGACTTTGAGATGCCCTGTCCAACCTGCTGCTCGACGACTCGCACGTGGGACAGCAAAGCACGACCCATTGCCCTTCCGGGCCTGATGCTTGAGGTTGGTCGCAGTGGGTGCATTGGCGGTTTTCCGGCACGTCACATCGTCTATGGAGAGATGTGCTCGTGCAAGGCGGCGAGCTCGAGATGGCGCTGCTGCGTCGGATTGCGGTCGCGGATACGTCGAGTAGATGGAGCCTTTTGGGCAACCTGCGCATTGTTGGTTAAGCGATAGCGCTGCAAGACGTGCGTCGGCTGGAACTCGCTGTGCCGGCGACGAGCAGAGCTGAACTCCGGCTGCACCTACGGCGGCCAATCGCCCGTCTGTCTCAGGGGGTTGTTGGTGCCCACCTTGTTCACGTGACTAACCCGTGACAAGTCGTGGACATCACTATGAGTGCATGCCCATGCCGACGGCGATGCTGCGGGTCTTGCGCTGTGTGTGAATGTCGGCAGGCAGGCAACCTGACCACTGTTTGAGCGCTGGCATCTGCTCTTGGAGTCGGAGAGTTGGTGGGAGGGAAAATGCGTATCCAAGGGGTACCTACCTACTTGTAGGCGGCGAGTCGTGTGCCCGAGGTACAGCCCGAGCATCCTCTCCCGGCTGCTCCTTCTCGTCCCGTCCTCACACCCGGTACATACTACAGTAGTACTGTAGTCTGTACCATCAGCTCCGCCATTCGGAAGCCATCCACGTCTACTCAACTTTTGCCCAACGACGCTCTCTTCCGTGCGACGCTCGATGCCTGCCCCGGCGTCCATCCTCGTGCGTCCACACAGACGCGGACACGATCGACGCTGTGCTGCGCTGCATATCAGGCAGCACTAGGCTCGCCCTCTGCCTACCTACCTGATACCTCCAAGCCTCCCCAATCGAGCCCAAGTGGAGGCAATCCTGCGTCCCGAGTTCGAGTGGCGTTTTGAATCATGCCTCCGCGCTCCCGCTTGCGATCCGGAGTCGGGCTTCTGCGGAGCCGCACCAACGTCCTTGAATCGTCCGTCAACGTTGTCCTCCCGCGCTTTGTTCCTGCCACCGCCTCGTCCCATGGCCGCCTCTCTCGCTCTCGGCCTCCGATTCTCGAGCCTCCAGCCGCCCTGGACACTTGACGGCTCGAGAAACTCGTTACATGGATGCCCCTCGGGAAGCATCACCGCTCACCATGACTTCGCCGGACGCCAAGAGCGGCCTTCCGGCCGGCTCCGAGCCACAAAGATTCGACAAGCTGGGCATGATGTCGGGGGTCTTTGTTCCCGTCTTCCTCAGTATCATGAGCATCCTCATGTTCCTGCGCTTCGGCCTTATTCTTGGCCAAGTCGGTGTGCTCGGCATCGTAGGTACGACAACTCCCCACTCCCGGGCCGGCCGCGGCTCACAGACGGCTAACTTGCCAGGCCTTCTCGTCGTCGCTTACGGCATCGATCTGCTGACGATTCTCTCCCTCTCGGCCATTGCCTCCAACGGTGAGGTCAAGGGCGGCGGCGCCTATTTTCTCATTTCGAGGTCTCTTGGGCCCGAGTTTGGTGGCTCCATCGGCATCCTCTTCTTCCTCGCCCAGGCTTTGAATATCGCCATGAATGTCATTGGCCTCATCGATTGCATTCGCCTCCATGTTGGGCCTGCGTTCCCTCAAGGTTACTGGGCCGGTTACGGCTTGCAGACGGCCGCCCTGGTCCTTTGCACCGGCCTTAATCTTCTCGGCTCCGCCACCTTCTCAAAAGCGTCCAGTGCGTTGCTTGCCATATTGACCCTCTCGCTTGTCAGCATCCCGCTTTCAGGCATGTTCAAGGAGCCATTTCACGACGACACTGCCGACGTCGAGTTTACCGGCTTTAGTTGGGATACCCTCGCTGCCAACGCCTTTCCCCGGGCCGGCAGCGACGAGTACCGGGGCCTGACGACGTTTCGTCAGCTCTTTGGAATCCTCTTCCCGTGAGAACATGACCTACAGGCCTCGAGCCGTTGCGAGCAATGCTAATGCTTCGTGCAGAGCCACCTCTGGCATCTTTGCCGGCGCTTCCATGTCGGGCAAGCTCAAGGACCCGAGCAAGGCCATTCCCATCGCGACTTTGTGGGCCATGCTGACGACGTTCCTCATTTACCTGCTCGTTGTTCTCTGCTTGGCGGCCAGTACCACTCACGAGTCATTGCTTGCCAACGCCAACGTCGTTCTCCTCACCAATCTGTCGGCGCCCATCATCCTGGCGGGCGAGTGTGCTGTAACCTTTGTTTCCGCCCTCATTTGCATGGTGGGTTCTGCGAGTCTGTTGCAGGCGCTGGGGAGAGACGGGCTTCTGCCTGGCCTGTCCGTATTTGGGATGGGCGCCAAGAAGAATGACGACCCCATTCTTGCCATCCTGATGACCCATGTCATAGCTCAGATTGCGTTGCTGGCCGACTTGAACCGCATCGCCACCCTGATTTCCATGGGCTACCAGGTAAACACCCAGTCTCCCGTCACGGAGCGCTTTTGACCTGTTTCAGATGACCTTTTTCGTCATGAACCTCGCCTGTTTCCTCCTCAAGATCGGGTCGGCGCCCAACTTCCGGCCGGGCTTCAAGTTTTTTAACTGGCAGACGGCCTTGATCGGCAGCCTATCGTCTGGTGCGGCCATGTTCTTCATCCACGAGACCTACGCCGCCATTGCTGTCTGCGTTCTCGTCTTCCTCTTCTTGTTAATTCACTATCTCTGCCCGCCGAAGCGGTGGGGTGACGTGTCGCAGAATCTCATCTACCACCAGGTCAGGAAATACCTGCTGCGCTTGAAGCCGGAGCACATCAAGTTTTGGAGGCCTCATATCATCCTTCTCATCAATGATCCGCGCCGGCAGACTCGGCTGGTACAGTTTTGCAACTCCATGAAAAAGGGGTCCCTGTACATTCTCGGACACGTCATCGTGACCGAGAACTTCGACAGCGGGGTCGACGAAGCCCGACTTCAGCAGCAGGCCTGGACGAATTACATATCCGAGACTTCCAGGATTAAGGCTTTCCTGCAACTTTCCATGTCCCCCTCGCTCGTCTGGGGCATTCGGAACCTCATCCTCTCCGCCGGCCTGGGTGGCATGCGGCCAAACATTGCCGTCTTGGGGTTCTACAACATGGATGACCTTCGCAAGTTCAAGCCGGGAATGCCGGTGCCTCAAGTGCCTTCGCCATCGGCTTCGAGGACAAGGCGGCCGGCACGAGCCGAGGAGAAGGCCCCCAGGCGGCGTCGCGTGGACACATCCGCCCGCCTGCTAGCAGGGGTCTTGCCGACGGACGTGATCCGGACCGAGGGCATGATGTCCCCGACAGATTACATGGTTGTGCTCGAAGACCTTGCGCTCAAGTACCGACTCAACGTCGCCGTGGCGCATGGGTTTGACTCGCTGGAAACACCACGGCGAGACGGCTCCAACGCCAAAAAGTACATCGACCTGTGGCCCATCCAGATGTCGGCGGAACTTGCTTCTCACGGCAAGAATGTTTTGACGACAAACTTTGATACGTGTAAGTGTGACCAAAGGATCCCACCGCTGTCAACGTCTGCTCTCATCTTCGCCTGCTAATGTACCGGTAACTTCATTAGATACTTTGATTCTCCAACTGGGGCACATACTGCGGAGTGTCCGAGACTGGAGGCGCGTTTACACGCTCCGCGTCATGGTTTTTGTGGAGTATGAAGGCGAGGTCGAGGAAGAGAGTGCGCGCGTGAAGGCGCTTCTGGAGAAGTTGCGGATTCAAGCCCAAGTTCTCGTGTTCTGGCTAGCAGCGGGTCACTTGAGCACCTACGAGCTCATCATCAATGGAAAAACCGACAACGCCGAGACCGAAATCATGGTCAGCGACGCGCTCAGGCACGAGGAATGGTGGGATGAACTGCAGGACTTTCGCGGCCAGTCTGACAATATGGGCTCGAGCCGGGAGACGCCGCAAATGGCGCACTGGATCGACCTGGCCGTCGGTCGGCCGGGCTACAATCCGCATCAGGAGAGCGGCTCCGACCGCCGACGCCAGAGCGTGACCGAAGTCACAGAAATGCCCAAGAGACCCGATATTGCCATGCTCGCGAAATGGGGCGTCAATGTGGGCATCCACACGCACCATCTTCCTGAAGATGTTCTGCACGAGCCAAGGCTGGACGACGCGCTGTGCACGATTACCGAGCACTCTGACTCAGATGGGGAATACGGCTTGGACCCGGAAGATCACGCCGCTCAAGCAGCGCCCGGATCTGATGACTGGGCGAAGCTGCCGCTGCTGACAAGGGGACGCCAGCCGGCGGCGGGAGGCTCCTCTGCCAGGGTTGGACGTGGGCGACAAACCAAGTCTCTCCCAATCGGCACCTCACAGCCTCCGACGTACGGATCCCTATCCACAGCTCAAACCTTGGCGGGGAAGCAAGATGGGATAGTCTCCCAACACATCCCAGAGCTGGTGGAGACGGGCGCGAGCCCGCCACTTCAAGCCGGGCAAGATGCTCAACAGGGGACTGAGCCGTTCCCTTCCCTACGGCCGCCCGCAATGCCGGAGCTTCTCCCTAATGCGCCGGGCCGGTCACGATCTGTGAGCCCAGCGAGGGTTCCCGGAAGTCGGCGAAATTCCAAAGATGAGCCTATGATGCCCATGCGGCCCAGCTTCTCTCGGCAGTCATCGGCCTCGCGGTTCTCCAGCCGACCGGTGCCAGAAACGAGAGTCATCGCGGAGGCAGAGGGGCCCAAGCTCAGCTTCGCACCGGCAACCGGAAGCCCTACATTGCCAAGGATCGAGCGGCCGTCCCATTCTAGGCAATCCTCTTGGAGCAAGCTTCCGAGCAAACCTGCACCGGAGACGCACGTCGAGGGCGGCGACGCGACGTTGGGAGCCGGGCAAGTCGCGGAACGAGTGCCTGCACCCAGCATGCACTCGCCTTGTCATTCCCGGCACCACTCGCGCCAGGACTCGCAGCATTCTGTCCTGGGGCAGGGGGACGTCAGCCTGAGCATGCCTGAACTGTTTGACTCGTACAGAAACGATGCAGCCGGCGGCGACGATTCAGGGGCCGGCTCGACGTACTCGACCCAGAGCGTCGCACTCTCGTTCAACGACTTGCCCAGCCGGGCGCAACACCTGATCCTCAACGAGCTAATGCGACAGCACTCCCAAGACACGGCGGTGCTCATGAGCACCCTGCCTATACCTTCTGAAGGGACTAGCCTTGACGAGACGGCCACGATCCGGTACCTGTCTGACGTCGAAATCCTGTACCACGAGCTACCGCCCACGATGATGGTTTTGAGTAATAACATGACGGTGACTGTAAGCTTGTGAGCAGGGTGCATACATCGGTGGACGGAGAAGGCGGCGATGTACGCGGTCGCGGGCCTTTGACGATTCGGCGGTCAGTTCTTCCCACGGTGCTCGTTTCGTGAACAGGACGGGCTCGAAGACGAGTGCGCCGCTGGTGGCGTCTCACGGAACCAAGGAATAGCGTTCTTTGCATTGGTCGTTTTTGTCGGGGCTCTTTGTTGACGCCTGGGCGGAGATCATAACCGGGAGACGGATTGAACAGCATCGACCAGCGGGCGCATATTGCAAGGGCTCTTTGTGCACTTGTCGCCTTTGCGAAGGAAGCGCTTTCCGCTGCAAATGGAAATTTTCAACTTGAAATGACAGAACAGCTATTGCACTTGGGGTGAATGCGATGCTCTTTGCCTCAGTCTGTCGCGCACGCTCTCTCTGTCTGCATCCGACATAAGAACGATGCAAGTCCGCTTCTCACCAGCCCGGCTCGACAAGTCGGCATCATCTCCGCCTCGAAGACAAGATCTATCGACACGCGGTCAAGCTGCGCATTTCCACGCCTTTAATACGAAACTTCGCTACCAAGTGCACTGGAGAATATCTACGTCGTGCTCACACAGCCAGCAAGGCCTACATTTGATTATATATTCCCACCCCTTTTCGTCACTCTGAAAATTTGTCCCAAGATGACGGTACAGCGACGGGGGATGGCGGCAGAGCCGCAGCCGCCACCGGGCGAGAGCGAACAGACGGGCATGTGCACACCCAGGCGGCCGGCGACTCGGCCGGCGCAACTGAGCCTCGATGCGCAGCTGTGCAATGTTTACCTCATGGCCGTGGTGCGGGACAAGAAGCGGTCGGACGGGGAGAAGCTGGCGCGGTTTCTATGGGGCGAGGATGCTGCGGACATCGTTGAGTCTGAGGCGCTGTTTGTTGACAATGGGGACGCGATCGCCTGCGCCTCGCTTGTGGCATCGCCCGTTAGGGTGCAAGAGCTGGACCCCGGCGGTGATGAGGCCGTTGAGGATGGAGATGACGTTGTCAGCACGTCGGTCTCGCAGGATGCGGCCAGCGGCTGGCATTGCGGAAGGACGAGGCGAGCGTCGTGCCCGGCCGGCCGTCCGTCCTTGCTGCAGTGGTCGAGAGTGATGGTTCCCGACGCGGTCGTTGGTTCGTCCCAGCCCTTTGGACGCGCGTCGGAGCCCAGGACGAGCCTTGGCCGGAGATGGGGAGCGATGTGGGTGAACGCCGGGTCAGGCCATGATCCCAGCCACGACGACTCCCATGTCCCGCAGCGGTCTGGGCCGATGCAACACGGGGGCAACAGCTGTTGCAGCCGCGGCTTCGTGGCTTCGTGGAGCAGCAGCATCGCCTCGCATCCCGGGTTCTCTCTCCCCCCTTCTCCCTCTCCTCTCGGGCCTCCTTCCGAAGCGGTTCCCTTCCAGGCCTCTCTCCAAGCAAGCCTCACCTCCACGCCCGACCACGCCCCAGCACATCCCGAACACAGTCCCGTCAAGCACAGCCGCCAAGAGGGAGTGGTGCCCCAGGTTCTCAGCCTTCACCAACTCCTCGGAGACGGAGGCGGCGAGCCCGACGAGGAGCCGTCGACGCCGGCACCGGCGCCGCCTACTCGCAGCTCGGTTCGTGAGTCTCCGCTGTCTGCGCCTCAGGCGCAGCCTCTCAGCCTGCGACAACTCCTCGGATACGGAGGTGGCGAGCCAGTCGAAGAGCCCCGGCGCCGTCCCACCAAGCAAAGCCGCCGCCAGGAGGTGGTGGCACCCAAACCCCTCAGCCTTCGCCAGCTCCTCGGATACGGAGGCGGCGAACCAGACGACGAGCCGCCGTCGCCGTCGCCGCTGTCCCCTGCTCGCAGCCCGATCCAGGAGTCTTTCGTCCCACGGCCTCTCTCGCAGACGGCGGGCCAGAGCCCCCTGGAGAGCCGGCTGTTGGAGGAGCTCCCCTTTTCCTCTACCGGCGAGCATGTGGCAATCAAGGCGCGGGCCATCTCGCTGCCGCCGCCGCCGGCCCCGGTGGCCGCCATGTGTGCCATGCGGGTCAAGCACGGGGCGACGGGCTGGTTTTGAGGGCCGGCTGGTGATGGGCTCGAAAGCCGCCTGTCTATATAGCCAGTATCTTATACCCCTATTATATCGATAATGCCTTAGATGCCGTCTATCCCCGTGACCCCGCTCATCATCCCATGCCCTCCCTAATGGCCAGTAAACTCCAGCCCGTGGCCCGCGTAGAAAAATACGCCAAGAACAACATCAACAGCACGTACTTTTCGCTTCACCTTCGTCATCGTCGCCGTCGTCTACGTCTATAGTACCCTCTTCACGTTTAGCTGCCCCATTCCTGCCCCCACAGCTTCGAGCTCTATCAACCCGCCAGCCTCTATCCTCTTTTTCCACTTGTTGGCTTCGCACCGGGCCAGGATCATGGTCATGCGCAGGGCGACGTCTTCGCTCGAGGCATGCTCCTGCTGCGCGACAGGGAGCGACGTGAAAGTCCAGCGGCCGAAGGCCCAGTTGAGGATGTAGCGGCGGCCGGCCTGGGGTGCGGGCTGGGGCCCGTCGGGGTCGGAGCTCTGGGGCGGGGTGGAGAGGGTCATGATGGCTTTTATGCGGTAGACCTCGTCCTTGGGCGCGGCTTTGAGGAGGGCGAGGAGCCTGTCTGCTGAGACGGCGACGTCGTTTGCGCCCTTGAGCTCAACGGAGAGAACCTCGACCTCTTGCTGGTGGGCGTGGTCGTGTGCCTGCTCGCCGTTGGCGACGTGGTCGTCGGTCAGGTCCTTGGCCAAGCCGCCGTCGACGCCGAAGACGAGGTCCATGGGGACCCAGCCGCGATTGCTCTTGACCTTTGCCACGTCGACGTCGAGATCGCCGACGCGGTCGAGGCACTCGTCGTAGCGATCTTCCCCGGCCAGCTCCCACTTGTTGAAGACGACGAGATCGGTGTACCTCGCCTGGATCTTGGCCGTGTAGCTCGTATCCTCGTAGCCCTGCCAATTCTCGACATCGACCACGCTGACGACGCCATCGAGGATGAAGCGTCCCGTCTCCCGCGCCAGACGATTAACCTCGAGGGCCAGCGTGGCCGGAAAGGCAGAGCCACTCGTCTCGACAACGATACGATCCGGCGCCACCGTCTCAGCCAGCTCGCGCAGCGCCGGGCCCAGCTGGCCGACGAGGTTGCAGCAGATGCATCCGTTGAGCAGCTCCTGGACGCCCGAGACGGCGGCGCTCTCGGCCAGCTGCGAGTCGACGGCCACGTCGCCAAACTCGTTCTTGAGCAGCGCGAGCTGGTAGGCCGGGTTCTTGGCGCGCAGCTGCGGCACCAGGTTGAGGATGAGCGTTGTCTTGCCGGAGCCGAGGAAGCCGGTGACGATGGTGATTGGTATCGGCGGCGGCGGCGGCGGCGGCGACGTCATGGCTTTTGATTGATGCCAGGGGGGTTTGGATGGGGATTCGGGGTTCGCAATTGCGGTGTTTGTTGTGAGAGAGGGCTGCGTTTTTTTTCTTTCCGCCCTTTTTTCAGCCTTGCCGCCTCGGCAGTCCAAGAAGGACGTGTCCCGTTTCGGGAATCTTCAGCTTCAAAACAGTCGTCGCATCTGCTTGTCCGTTATCTAATCGGGTTGTGCAAGCATGGAAACCATGAAAACCCCACCATCCATTCCGCCGTTTGACGTCATTTTCGCCGGCAGTGCAACATGCAGCGTCGCGCGGACTCTCCTTCCCACTTTCCTTGCCTCGTCCCCTGGCTTCTACCAACTTTGCTTTTCTGCTTAATCAATAATGGAACGGGAATCCAACACTTTTTCATTTGATTGAACCCTCTCCAATCCCTTCAGCGAGACTCAGCACGGGACAAGAAGCAGCAAGATGGACAAGACCAGCAAGGCCGACGAGGTTCGGCAGGAGGAGAGCTTCAAGGAGCAGCTGGACCGAATCGCCATGCAGAGCAAGCAAGACGGCCAAGAGCAGCAACCAAACACCCTCGTGGAAAAGAGTAAGCCAACTCGAATGCCTCTTGCTTATTCCCCCTGTCTCAAGACGCAAGACGCTGGCTAACACCCCGGTCACTGTCTGTCCTAGTCACCGAATACATTCCCGCAGCGTCCAAGATCCTCGGCGGCGCCAGCAAAGAGCAGCCGCAGCAGACGGCGCAGTCTGGGGTCCCCGGGCCCCCTCACAGACCGGACCACGACGACAAGATTGAGGAGTTTGTTCGAGACCAGCATCGCAGCGGCAGGGAGACGGGCGTCCCCATCGCGGGTGAGGACAACTGAGGGGCCTGTTTCTGTCTGTACTTTTAAATGCTTGCGGCAAGGGGTCGGGCGCATATACGACTAGTCGGAGTTGAGCAGGATGGTGTCTTTGCCTGGGTGCATAATTCAATTCCATGCTTCGTCTGTTCTCATGGCAGGGTCTGTGCTTGCCGGAGGACTCTAGATCTCCAGATCCACGCCGGGCTTGTTTGCCAGTCTAGAGCAACACATTGCTGACATGCAAAGAGCCCATAGCATATTACCCTTTTCGCATTCTTCGCATTGGCCCCCCGGTGCGTCGGCAGGATTTCAAAAGCCCTCTGAGCATCCACAGAAGACAAAGGCACCCTTCCTTGGCAAGCACCTTGTTCGGAGCTCGGCGTGGAAGCAGTGCAGCGACCAAAGTCCGCTTGCTCGTTGAATACCCAAGGCATTGATTGACGAGTGGTTGAAGCAGAGCAAACCTCTCCCTCCACTAAGTACCACATGCGATAAAGTATCATGGGCCCACGGGTCTTGATGGCCTCGAAGTCAGCGTGGCCATAGCCAGTCGGTCATGTAGCACAAGAGATCGAGCACGACAACAGGACGAATCCGTCGAGCACTCCTCGCACTCATCGGTGCGAGCGAGTCTTTGTTGACAGTATCGCCGTGTCAATAGTCTCATCACGACAATCACAACGCATGGGCATGTCCCCTCTTCTTGGCATCTCCCGCCTACCGAGCCGTTAACGAGTAACGATGTGGCGAAAAATTTCCTATATACAAGGGTGTTACTCTGCTGAGCGCTTCCTCCCGTGGGAGGAAAGGCAACGCGACACCGTGGGAGACTAGGTGAAGGTCGTGGCAGCCCAGTGGCTTTTTGATGAAGAAGAAAAAAGAGAAAGGAGGAAAAGATTTCAGCGGCCGGGTCTGTATAAATAGACGAGGGGCAGGGATCCACACCTTGCTTTGCCACGCTATCCCTCATTGGTTCGAGATTGCTGATTCAGCCACTTCGAGCGGCTCACCACTCCGGGCTGGGAGGAGGGAAGAGTAGGCGATGTATGTACATTGTACAGTACCTGCAGTGCATTTATTACACAAAACAGAGTCTAGAGTGTAATTATATATAACTTATAAGCCCGACGAATCCGAGCAACCTCCATCCCTAACTCGTATGCACCCACATCTTAGATACGAGTTTCAACGCCGTCAAAGGAAGCTTTCCATCACTCAAATAGTGGCCAAGTTGCCTGCCTGCCGACATCCCCCACCATCGAAGCGTCCGAATGGCCGAGGTGTTGGACTCCCGACAGTTCGCGAGGAACGAGGGGACATCAATGCTCAAGCCCGGAGGGCCCGCCGCCAGATGAGAGCCGGAGAAACGTGTCAGTCGGGAGATTTGGTGATGCTGGTGCAAGAGGGAAAGTCATCCAAGTTAGAAGTCCACTGGAGGGGACCATTTCGAATTTCCGTCAAGTGGAAAGGGCACCCATCAGCATTACTCTTCCCTGCGTGAGTAGCCTTCCGCCTCTGGATCTTTGGTTTAGATGGGTAGGTATCTTTCCTATGGCCTCGCAAGCCCCTTGCCCAGCAGCTCGTCGGCGACCTCGAGCACGAGTTTTTCGGCTGGAAAGACCCGTCGCTTCGCCGCCACCGTCCCCTGCGCATCCATGGCCCGCAGCAGGTCAGCCAGCTCGCCGCTTAGATCCGAGCCGTAGACCAAGTGACCCAGGGCCGATAGCATGCCCTGCAGCGCCTCTGCCGACTTGTCTTCCTGGCTGATGGCCTCGATCACAGACGCTGCCAGCTCCACCTGATCGCCTTCCGGCAGAGTGGCCTTGGGCTCTTGGCTCCTCGTGTGACGGTTGGCCAGCGCCAGGTTGAACAGGAGAGAGGATGCCGCCACTCTGACATTGTTGTGGCTGTCGTCGAGGAAGCTTGACGATATCAGCTGGGTGATGGGCGTCCGGAGGGCCTCGTTGCCAACTATCTCTTCTGGGAATAGGGGCGTAGAAAACAGGTTGCATCCCATTTGCAGCGTGACGAGCCGGAGGGCATACGGGCAGTCGTCTTGCTCGTTGACAAACTCGAGAATGCGGCGAACTGTCTCGTGCCCCTTTTCCTCGGCATAGAAGCCGCTGATGCGAGGGTCCACGAGCGCACACCTGAAGAGATCAACAACGGTGAAGAGCATGCCAGGCGCCACCTTGTCGACGGATTCGCGCATCAAGCGAGACAGCTGGCTCATGTCTGGGATGAGTGCATTCTGCGCCCCCGCGCTTCCTCTGGTCTCGATGAAGCGTATCAGACTCTGCACCTCGGGGTTTTTGGGCAATTCATCCCCCATCTTGGCCGTCAGCTTGGCCACGGGGGGCATTTTGGGGAACAGGACAGGTCGGGCGTCAGGATTGGAAAAGCTTGGTAAGCGCAGCTTCTCGTGCGGATGAGCCGGGTGCGCCATTTGCACGAGGAGCTGGACATTGCCCCTGAGGCCGGCTGGATCGGCCCCGGACCAACGGTTCTCCTGCTCCCCCTTGAGAAAGGTGACAAAAGTGGGCGTTGCACTGATAGAATAGGCTTGGGCGATGGGGGCGGCCTGGGGCAGAGCCACGTCGATCTTGATGAACGACGCCTGAGTGCCGAACTCGTCGGCCAGTTGGTCGTAGATGGGGTATAGAGCCTTGCACGGCGGACACGTGGCCGAGGTGAAGAAAATCACGGCGCAGGATCTTTTAGCTTCGTCCAGTAACCGGAACAGGTCCTCCTGTCTGGCCACAATCTGTACTTTGCGATTGTGTACCTGGCTTGGAGGGTTCGGAGCAGGTGGCCTTGCGCTCTGCTCGAGGCCGAGTATGGATCCGTTGGACCTGCCTGCATTGACGCCTTGCGAGAGCTGGGTAAACAGCGTCCTGCCCATGGGAGACTCCAAGACGGCCTGAGGCATGTTGGTGATGTAAGCGGGAATTCCTTTTCCTACGAGAAAGTTGGAAAAGGAGTCGGTAAAATTGTTGCAGTTGTGGCGGAAAAGATCGTAGGCCTGGGATGGCCATGTTAGCAATTTTGAGCGACGAGACGCGTAAACGACATGAAATACCTGCCTCGAGGGTGAATATGGGCCGTAGCGAGTCGAGAAACTCTTCAATGACAATTAAGGGCAGGTGCGTGGTCCCGAGATGCATCCTTTGCATGGGCTGGCCGAGGTGGGAGGAGCCCGGGGTGATGGCAATGATGCCGCCGTCGTAGACGTATTCGCGGCCGTTCAGCTCGACGGAGGTGTGGTAGACGGCATCGAGCTGGAACCCAACCAGGGGCATGGACATTTGGCGGGCGAGCCCACGGGAGAGGTCGTAGACGAGCAGATGGACGTCCATTGGCACGGAGGAGACGAAGGCGTCTTTTCTGCAGCTAACAAGGCGTACGAGAGAAGCATCCGTAGAAACGTCGCAAAGGGTGAAGGCGGTGGCCGAGAGCCCGGGGATGGTGGCGGCGAAGAAGAGGTTGTTGATGCTTGCAGACTATGTCAAGGCAGCAGACGGGCTACGTCAACGAAGCTTCTGGACTCCGGACTTTAGGGGCGTCCCCGGAGACTCGGACGCGGACCCCCCCTCGCCGGTCTTTGTTTCATTCTGGATTTTCCGTCCTTGCTCTGCCGCAGGGTGGGTCGGTGCGGAGGAATAGATCGAGGCCCGTGATTCGACGTCGGATTGCATCTCGTCCTTCTTCCTCTGCCTGCATTTCCTGGGGCGGCATGCGGAGATTAGAGGCCCCGGGACCCGGGCTGGTGGCCGGTAACTACCTACCTACCTTACTTGGCACCCTGCTTGGCACAGAGTACTTTAGAGAGTGCACAGCGTGTACCTACCTAGGCAGTCCCCAGCGCAAGGTACCTCCGAGATACCTCGGCCCCAGTTGCGGCCATGCCTATGCCTTGGGTAACGCGTCCCGCCAGACTCGCTCGCGTCTTGCTCCGGCAAGGTGGTCCGTGCAGGGGTCCGTGGGGGGGGGATTGCGGCGGATTCACCCCTGGGCTGGCGGAACTGGCATGGGGCTTATTGGCTGTGTCAGAGAAAATCTATGGTGTATTGATATGAGCTAGATTGAAGCAGAAGATAAACGGCCAGCAGAAGCATGGCGGGAGGCAGAACGACTGGAAGAACAACGGTCAGCCTGTATTGCTGCTAGTAAGACTCTAATTCTGGCCCCTTCGTGGTCTTTCTCTTTTGGTAACAAGATAATAATTAATACATCGTCTAATTCCGCCTCGGGAGCTGGAAGCCCTGTAAACGGGTCAATATAGCATGAGGTTTTCCTCCTTTTTATGGATACTCAGCATATCGCTTTCTTTTGGGGCACCTAAATGATATAGCAGCGGAACTCATGTTTATAAGGATGTATGCCAACATGAGACCTCGGCAAAGTTGTAGCCGGGCGAGACATGCCTCTGCCGGACGGGTAAATTAGGCATTTGGCTGCCAGTACGCCGGAGAAGCCATCAACGCATGCATCGACAAGCAATAAAATTGGTGCGATGGTTACTCCTACGCAGATGACAAAATGATCAAAACATGCAATCCTCCGGGCGTGATCGGCAAGTCATATGATAAGACGGCGGAGCTGCTCAACCATTTCAAGACGACCAGGGATTTGAGTGGCTACGATGAGCTCATGGCCGACGCCACGTCCCTGCCGTCGCTGACCACAGAGGCCGCTGTTGATGGCATGGACAAGATTGTCGAGAAGGCCAAGAAGAAATAAGACGAGGAAATAATCGACCTTTTCTTTTTTATACCCTCGTCCGAGAGGATTGTATCATCAGATATTATCCGCATTTTTCTCAAGGAGAATTATGTACACGCCATGCTTCCTGAGGCCAATGTTTGCACGAATCAACCGTCATTAAACCGGATTATCTGTAGTCGGGCCCATCCAAGCTGACGTCGTCGGCCTCGTAGCATCTGTCAATCCGTTGTCATACAATAGTGGAATAGCATCGGCTGCGTTGTCGTATACGCGTCCAACCTCTGGCGCCTAGCACACCTCTCTCTATGCCACTGAAAAAGTCCTGCCTGCAAATCGGCCGCTAATTATTCTGCTTGACCGACTTGGGGCGCCGACATGATATAGGGCAACGTGTAGCAAGAAAACAACATCTGTTACGAACTAATATGTAGGGATTACCTGTAGGCTTAACACCACACTGACGGAAGCAGCCAGCTCACCCGGCTCACCCGCAGTCGCGCGATTCGCCGGGGCGCTAGAGCCAATTGCGGTTGACAGGCAAGTCAGTTGCGGAGCTGTACTGTACAGATCTGGTACGCTAAGCAGCACATCACAAGTGCAATGCGCCAAGGTACCACAGCAGTACCCGCTCCAGCCCTGACGCGTAATTCGTCCGCCCCAGTACGTATCAAGTCATGCACGTCTCCTTTTTCCCGCCCTCACGCGGCCTTGTCCATCAAACACCTAATTAGTCCCTTGCCCTTTGGGCTCCTCGTCTCCACACGCTCCTCGTCCGCGTCGTCGTCGTCTGAATCGGTCCTCTCGTCCGCTTCCTCACGCTCGCTTCCCCCTCGCCATCTCCCATGCACGACGGCGTCGCTCCGTAAACCGCCCTCTTCCTCTCGCCGCCCCGTTCCCGAGCCGGCGACCTGATGCGAAGGACCTCGGTATCGCTGCCGACGAAACAGGTTGCGCGCGACCCCCACGAGAAACCAGATCGCTACCAGCCCGCCCGCCGAGGCCACGACTTCTTCTCCACCATGAAAGAGGCCTGGGTTCATCAGTCGCAGAGGACGCGATGGCTTAGAACCGCCGCCGTTGCCTTCACCGTCCTCCTTTTCTTTTGGTGGCTGTCGCCTCGCGGAGTCCAAGTCTACAATGGCGGTAAGCCACTGGCGCTCGCCCGTCCGCCCGTAGTCGCCCGCTGACCGACTGAGCAGTCTCCCGCGTCCAAGGCAACAAGGGACAGATGCCCTCGGACTCGACGTACGGAACCGACCGGTGCCAAAAGTCGTATTCCAAGGACAAGCCAATCGTCCAGTACGCCCTCATGGTCGACGCCGGAAGCACGGGTTCGCGAATCCACGTCTACAAGTTCAACAACTGCGGTCCCATTCCCGAGCTCGAAAAGGAAGAGTTCAAGATGACGGACAAGTCGGTCGGCGGCTTGAGCAAGTACAAGGACGACCCCGTCGCCGCCGCCAAGACGCTCGATCCCTTGCTGCAGCACGCCATGGAGCATGTGCCCGACAGCCTCAAACGCTGCACCCCTATTGCCGTCAAGGCCACCGCCGGCCTGCGCCTGGCCGGGCCCGAAAAGTCCCAGGCCATCCTCGACGAGGTCAGGCGCCATCTCGAGACCGACTACCCCTTTCCCGTCGTCTCGGCCGAACAAGAGGGCGTCGCCGTCATGGACGGCTCCCTCGAGGGCGTCTACGCCTGGGTCACGGCCAACTATCTCCTCGGCAAGATCGGCGGTCCCGACAAGGGCGAGACGGCCGCCGTCTTCGATCTCGGCGGTGGCTCCACCCAGATTGTCTTTGAGCCCACCTTCAAGGGAGCGTCGGGCGGAGGCATGCCCGAGAAGCTCGCTGAGGGCGACCACAAGTACTCGCTCGACTTTGGCGGCCAGAAATTCGACCTCTACCAGCACTCGCACCTCGGCTACGGCCTCATGTCCGCTCGCAAGGCTATCCACCAGATGCTCGTCTCCGACATTGCCGCCAAGGAGTCCGGAAAAGCCTGGATGGCCAAGCCTGTCGTGCACCCCTGCATCGCCCCCGGCATGTCCCAGGAGATCGAGGTTGAAATGGACGAGGACACCAAGCTCTTCAACTTCACCGGCCCTTCCCAGCCCGCTCCCGCTCAGTGTCGCCACCTGGCCGAGAAGATTTTGAAGAAGTCTGCCGACTGCAAGCTCGCCCCCTGCTCCTTCAACGGCGTCCACCAGCCCTCTCTGGGCAAGACCTTTGCCAAGGAGGACGTATACATTTTCTCCTACTTTTACGATCGTGTCAAGCCACTAGGCATGCCCGACTCTTTCACCGTTCGGGAGATGCACGATCTGACACAGACTGTTTGCATGGGCAAGAACGGATGGGACGTCTTCACCAGCATGCCCGAGGCCATGGAGGAGCTCGACGGCCGTCCCGAGTACTGCTTGGACCTGAACTTTATGATGGCCTTGCTCCACACGGGTTACGACATGCCCATTGACCGAGAGGTCAAGATTGCCAAGAAGATCAAGGGCAATGAGCTGGGGTGGTGTCTCGGTGCCAGGTCAGTCCTTGGTCCTCCCTCGTCGAGCCTGTCCTATTGCGTATATCCTCTGCTAACCCATCATCAGTTTGCCCCTGCTATCTCCCAGTTCCGGCTGGAAGTGCAAGGTTCAACAGGTCATTTAAATGGAGTTTTCCGTCGGGATTTCTCTCCAACAAGATAAATACACGGTCCTTTTTCCGATATCGGTCCCTGACGGGGGACCGCATGACGTTTACGGTTAATACGGGCACGTCAAGGTCAGCGCTGCCCTTGCTTTTTGGGCAAAATCGACTACAAAGGATCATGAGTCGCGACTGTGTCTGGCATGACTATTCACGGAGCATGACACCCGAACCTTTTTCGGAGATGTTGAACGGGATCGAAGCGGATGGACATTATTGTACGGTAGAGCAATACATACACCCTGGTGCACCTATAGCGGCGCCGTTACCATGTCCAGCACGTCTTGGATGACTTGGTCGGGGCCGACATTTTCCAGCATGGCCTCGACGGCTCCCAGCCGGCTACCCCATTGCATGCTGCGCTCGTTTTCAGGAGCGGTGATGCGGATGCGGTGCAGGTAGACTTTGCGCGCAGCCAGTCCGACAAGGGCAGGGGTCACGTAGTCGAGCTTGTGCATCGGAGCGAGACTTCGCATGAGCTTGTCGAAATGCTTGGTGGCTGCCGGCGTTACGCCTTGCGCGACGGCGCGGTGCATGCGCAGGAAGGAGATGATGTTCATTTGGTAGCGTATCACGTCGACGTCGACCTGGACCTGCTGGCTCAACTGCGCGAGCTGGCTTATGTCCTATGGCGGTCGCGTCAGCTGGGCCATAAGCGGTATGCAGCAGGTCCGGGCACGTACGGCCTCGGCGATGAAGGGGGCGGCAGAGGGGACGTGGCTATCGGCTAGGTTCTTGCTCCGGACGACACTGTCAGTCGAAGCAATCTCGGCAGCCTCCCCGTTGTCCATCATGTCTTCAAGATTGACGAAGCCATCGTCCGGATCGTGCCAGTGCGCAATGGAGAAGAAGTCGTTGAGGTGGGCCGTGACGTGTGCCTCGCCGGCGGCCTCGGCGCCGACGACGGGCACGAAGACGAACTGCTTGGGAGCAGCCTGGACCGAGGTGCGAGTGAAGATGCGGCGGGTACGGAGCAGCTCGAGGGCCTGGATCTGGACGGCGCGCGGGGCGCGGTCGAGGTTCTTGGCGAGGACGCAGTTTGCGATTTGGGCAGAGGGCGCGGTCGTCAGGGGCGAGGCAGAGCGCCAGGACCGAGGGCGCGGGCCGGAGACAAAGTATGATTCGGCGGCAAGGGGTTGGAAGGATGCGCTACCGGGGGGCCGATGGGGGTAAAGCAGGGCGGATGCGAATTGCTCGAGGGTGGTTTCGGGGGTGCAGTCTACGACGACGCACTTGAGGCCAAACGTCCTGCTGGCTACCTAGGCGGTGCAGAGTCAATACAGATGCCAACTGTCAGCAAGGAAGCGGGCCGGGTACCAGTCGCAGCTCCTGGACGAGGTGGTCGAGGGCGTCGGCGGGCGTGCTCAGCAGGCCGTGTTCCCTGCTGACGAGGCAGAGCAAGAGGGCGAGCTCCAGGTCCGTCAGGTCGTGGACCTTGGCGAGCAGGCGGTCGTCGGCCATGGCGAGGCACGGGTCATCCGGGTGACAGCATGGCAACGCCAGTCGCAGTCGAGAGGAACAGGCATTGAATCAGAAGTTGGATGTTTGGGGAAGACGGTCGGAATCCAAGCACGGTGGACATGCAAGGCGCGGTACTTGGAAAGCGCATGATTGCATGTGCCTTTTGGCTGCGGCAAGGCTGAACCCGGTACCTCGGGAGATGGCGCCTGCCGCGTACCAGTGCTGGAGTGGTGGACAAAGATGTGCATGACGGGCCCCACTGTCCTGGCTCATTGCAGCCAGCCAGGCACGACCGGAACGAGGCCACGGTCCTTGTCATGTATTGCTAGCGCCTCCATGCCTCGGTTTTGCTACTGTCGGGTACGGGGCGAGTACCTCGTCGGTCGTCCTGCGGCAGCTCGACGGCAGTTTATTAGCTGGGGGCAAAGCTGCTGACCTAACGACGACGTCGAGCCAGCGCCCATCACGGTCCACCATCACTCACCACCAACATCGTGCGACACTTGCGCCGCCACCGTTAAACGGATTCATCACGTCGAGTATTGCGGCCGCTGATACTGCATCCCTACACCCGCTGCCAACCCGCCTACTCGCCGACGGGAATCGCGGCGCTCGCCTCCTCCTTTTCCCACGGCATCCCATCGTACTCATCACGTCACTGCCGACGACAGCACAGCATGTCTTCGAGAAAGAAGGTTCTCCTCAAGGTACGCGCTGGCCGTCTGCAGACTCGAGTCGCCCCTTGGCCGGTGCTCTGGCGCTGACAGACGTGTGCAGGTCATCATCTTGGGGGACAGCGGCGTCGGCAAGACCAGCTTAATGAACCAATATGTACGGCCGTCCCGCTCGCTCCACACATCGCCTCAGCGTGCGTGCTAACGACCGTTTTCCCCTCAAGGTCAACAAGAAGTTTAGCGTGAGCTACAAGGCCACCATCGGCGCCGATTTCCTGACACGAGAGGTCCTGGTCGACGACAGACAAGTCACCATGCAGGTACGGCGAACGGCGGCAATACAACCCGCTTGGTGGAGCAACGGGCGGCGGTTCGAGATGCTGACGGGCCCCCCTCCTAGCTTTGGGATACCGCCGGGCAGGAGCGCTTCCAGTCTCTGGGCGTGGCCTTTTACCGCGGCGCCGACTGCTGCGTCCTGGTGTACGATGTCAACAATGCCAAGAGCTTCGAGGCCCTCGACAGCTGGAGGGACGAGTTCCTGATCCAGGCGTCGCCCCGTGATCCTCCCAACTTTCCATTCGTGAGGCTCTCGAGACTGCCCGTGCTCTCGCCCTCTGGGTCTGACAGGAGTCCAGGTTGTTCTCGGGAACAAGATTGATGTTGAGGAAAGCAAGCGAGTGGTACGTCGGGCCCACCTCCAAGATGGACGCTGGCGACGCAGCATCTGACAAGTTCCCCAGATCTCAAACAAGAGGGCTATGACCTTCTGTCAGTCCAAGGGAGATATTCCTTACTTTGAAACCAGTGCCAAGGAGGCCATCAACATCGATCAGGCATTCGAAGGTGCGTCTGAGGAGCACAGGTCCTGACGTCTCACCGTGCTAACATGACATCTTCAGTCATCGCACGAAATGCCCTTGCCCAAGAAGAGTCGGAAGAGTTCAGCGGCGAGTACGACGACCCCATCAATATCCACATCGACAACGACCGAGACGGGTGTGCCTGCTGAGGCGTGTTGCCGCTGTCATTGTCACGCCAGGCCGGGAGAGCTGGAGTCGGTCCGGGATGGTGTCTGTGCCCCTTGACTCTGTCATGCCTGTCGATGCATTGGTGTAGAATACTCGGGTGCGAGTTGTTGTCTCCTTCGTTTCTTGTCTCATTTTGGGTGTTTGCACTGGCAGTTTTGACTTGAGCCTGATTTACTTCTACGATTCCTTTTGGGCGGTTGACAGAGACAAGTGCACGAGTATAGCACGAGGTCATTCACCGGGAAGCATTACCGTTCATAGAGGGCATGCGTAAACGAGTTGTCTTTGAAGACTAGCCGTAATGATAATCTTTGATTGTCGGGTGATGCAGAGCTGTCGGATTGCCCATGGCTCAAGGATGTTGCCCACTTGCTGGCCTCGGTTCTCTTACTGCGAGTGGCGTACAACAGGGCTGTTTCCGGGCTAGAAAGAGTTTGTGTTGCTGGACCACTTGGGATTCTAGACTGGAGTGATTCCAAGAAGGAAACCAAGGTGAGGAGAGAAACACACACCAACCAGGAAGGAGATGGTACTCAGTAACTCATACCGAGTAGACGGCCTGCTCATTGATGTGGACAAGCGCCGACGTCCACTAAACAGGGATCGAAATCAGGGCGTGAGAGAACATACATCTACCTGTAGGCTTTGCCTCTTGGGATACGGACTATTCGAAAGCGTCCCTGGATCTACGAGTACCTAAACGACCCGGAACTTTCCTCATCACTTATTTCGTACGCAGGACACTTCTCGAATTCTTCGTAGTCAACTTTGCCGCGCAGGGTAGCTGCACAAGCCACAGCTGGTCGAGAGAGGCAGACACTTTGTAGCTTTGTTGCCGTATACGGTACGGCATCTCTGCGGGTTATCGCAGTGCCACCTTGGCCTGCCCATCCGATCCTTGGCTTTCTTATCCCAAGACGATTTGAGTCTATTGGCATAGGCTCCCTTGAAGTTTCTCTTCTCGCTTGAGCGTGCCTCTTTTCCGTGATACAAGCTGACCACAGTTGAGGTCCTTTCCCTACAGAACAGATTGAGGATAAGAGAAGGCTTATAATTCGCGCCAGTTATGCCCCTGATGGGTGTGCCCCCTCAGGCCCCCCTGTTCTGCCTGGTGTAGCGGCATTTTGCCAACTTGACAAGATCCTTGACCGGTCTTCGTTGTATCAACCACGCTTCGGCTTCTCCTACTTTGCCGCATGTAGACCTCCTCATCTGTCTTGGCGGCCATCTCTTAATTATCCCCGGAGCCGAATCGGCCTTATGCAAACTCACCGGCGGAGTAACAGTGCCTAGGTTTTTCAGACCCGTGTGCACTTGAATTATGCGCGAGCTTGGTGCCGTATATTTCGCCGCGCTATAGACGGGGTACAGGAAAGAACGGTGCCGATCTTGGCGGACCTTTCACGTTTACTGGTGATGTTGGCATGGCCTCCTCCGACTGAAACCGCTTGGTTCTTTTTCTTCACGGTGCGACTCTTGACGACCAACGAAATCCGTCTTATGCTGCCATGCCGGCAGGCTTCCACCCCGTACCGCGTCTGCTTTTGGTTCTGAGGTGCATCAACGATACTTCAGGGGTCCACTCCAAACTATATCAACCACTTGAGGCTATATCTGACAAACGCTAGCTCAGGCAATATACGTAGTACATATCAAAGAGAGTAATTTACCGGAGCGAAAAGCTCGCTCTTATGACTGCGGCTCGGCCAGACCCGTGTCCTGTTGTAAAAATGTGAACAGAGCCAGTTTCCTCCATCTGATGCTCGCCCAAAATTACAGTCTCTCAGCTTCTCAGTTGAATATTGGGCAGCCGGGACATGTTGGGCGCGCATATGGCCTTGCATGGTTTCCTTATATGTCGATTCCAGCCTGTCAGAGATGTTTGTTCCTTGCCGTTGGCGTCGGGCCAGCCTGTACCTGCTCGTAGCCAGTCTGATTCTCCTTGTCCCCCTCTACCTTGACGTCGAATTAGGCGATTATACACTCGATCATATCCGTCCTGCCTGGTTTTACGTCAACGGTCTTACACGATACAATTTCCAGCCAACACCCGACGAGCAGGCATGCCTCGATGGGACCGCAATCCGCATCAATGCACCGGGCATGCCGGCGACAATCCCAAACGTGGTCCATTTCGTCATAGGTCCAGATAAGCCGAATCCCGTTACCTTGATGCTTTGGCTGGCCATCCGCGCCGCAGCCATCAACCTCCCGGGATGCGAGATTCGCCTCCACTACGTCTACTTAAGCGAGGACGGGCCTTGGTGGAAGGACGTGCGACGCCTCGTCACGCTTACGCGTCATGGGCCAGAGTTTCTCGACGACTTCTCACATCTAACACCGCCGCCCTCGGAATGGAACCCAGCACACAAAGCCGATATCCTACGACTGCAGATTCTGCGAGCCCAGGGGGGTATCTATCTCGATACTGACGCCATCATCTTACGACCGCTTGACAAGTTACTAAGTGGACGCCGCGACGTGATACTGGGCCACGAGGGCGGCCATCGCAAGGGCATGACCAACGCCGTTATCCTAGCTAAGCCGGCTGCCGGTTTTGTTGAGCGTTGGTATCAGGCTTATAACGACTTCGACCCGAAGCGGTGGAACCAGCATTCTGTGATCCTGCCGGCGAAGCTCGCCGATGAGCACCCGGATGAAGTCTGCCAGCTACCGCCAGCCGCGTTCTTCTGGCCGCTTTGGCCGCAGCATCACGTTGACTGGATGCATGTGCCGCTGAGTCGGGATGAAAGCGCCGCCGTCGCTGCCGCCATGGAGCGCACCAACGGGTCGCTGTTCGGCGAGCAACTTGTCTACCATGCGTGGAACCACCCGGCGCAAAGATACGTCAGAGATTTGACGCCGGAGCGTATCAAGACGGAGGATACGAGATTCAACATGCTGGTACGACGGTATGTCGAGGCGCAGTTCTAGGGAACTGCGATGGCGTTGGGTTCATTTGGCGAGGTCACGAAGGGATTCTCAAGGGGTTGGTCGTGTCTCATCCAAAGAACAAGGATGGATCTACTTCTTTGTATCATAGAACGATATTCAGCATTGGGTTTGAATATATTGAATTGACAAAGCCGTACCTTTCGAGGGCTTCAGCGCTGATAAAAGAGGTCTTGAGTGGTCCATGAACTTGGATGCAGGGTAGACGAGTCTGCTTTGGGCTACTCAGGTTGGATAAGCTGCGCTTCGGTTAAAAACAAGGGAATGACAACGCCAAAGGAACTGCGTAAAGGGTCAATCAAAACCTCTGTGGGCATGTCTGGCGGCAGTCTGATGTGATGTTGTCAAAGAAGGAAGACAAAGTGACAAGAGCGGGAGATGGATCGCGCGGGGCTGACTAAGCGCTGGAGGTTCGGGAACGGGAGCCAAGAGGAGGCGAACCTCGGCTCCGCATCGACCGACCGCGGCCCGGAGCGGCATCATCAGAAACGTTTAGACTAGCCAGCGACCGTTTCCTCTTTTCACTTACATTCTTCGTCTGCGTCGCGTGTCGTCGTCCATATGAATTGACCCTTGGCCGTCCACTGTGAACCTACCACCACATCGACCTCCCGCTCTACATCGCCATGGCAGCCAGGATCCCAGCCATCGTAAGCCCCTTGTTCGCCGGATGTGGTTCCGAGTACGAGTGTGCTGATGCGCCCGACACAAACAGGTCGCGAATCGCGTCAGCGACGAGGCCAAAAGGATGATTGACGTGGTGGCCAAGTTTGTCGACGAGGACTGCGTCCCGTGAGCTCTCGATGGCTTCACATGCCCTCTCCAGCATGGCTGACAGCTCCACCAGCGCCGACGCCGTGCTCGAGGCCCAGATCGGCGAGGGCGACGCGCGGTGGGAGAGCCACCCGGCCATCATCGAGGAACTCAAGGCCAAGGCGCGCCGGCTCGGCCTCTGGAACATGTTCCTGCCCAAGGGCCATTACGCCGAGTCGCCCGGCTGGACCAACCTCGAGTACGGCATCATGGCCGAGTGGCTGGGCCGCTCGCGCTGCGCCTCCGAGGCCTGCAACTGCGCCGCCCCGGACACGGGCAACATGGAGGTGCTGGCCAAGTACGGCAACGCCGCGCAAAAGGACCAGTGGTTGCGGCCCCTCATGGACGGCCGCCTGCGCTCCGCCTTTCTCATGACGGAGCCGGGCGTCGCCTCGTCCGACGCCACCAACATCGAGCTCAGCATCCGCCGCGACGGCGGCCACTACGTGCTCAACGGCCAAAAGTGGTGGTCCAGCGGCGCCGGCGATCCGCGCTGCAAGCTCTACATTGTCATGGGCAAGACGGACCCGGCCAACAAGGACCCCTACCGCCAGCAGTCGGTCGTGCTCGTCCCCGCCGACACGCCCGGCATCAACATCAACAGGATGCTCAAGGTTTACGGCTACGACGACGCGCCGCACGGCCACGGCCACCTCACTTTTACCGACGTCAGGGTTCCCGTCGCCAACATGGTCCTGGGCGAAGGCCGGGGCTTTGAGATTATCCAGGGCCGCCTGGGTCCCGGCCGCATCCACCATGCCATGCGCAGCATCGGCGCGGTACGTTGCCCCCCCTGACTGTCCAGGTTCACGCCAAGTCGGTTGACTGACCCGCTCCCAAGGCCGAGTGTGCCCTGGACTGGATGCTGATGCGCGTCAACGACGAGCGCAAGAAGCCCTTTGGCAAGGTGCTGCGGGAACACGGCGTCATCCTCGAGTGGATCGCCAAGTCGCGCATCGAGATCGACGCAGCCCGGCTGGTGGTGCTCAACGCGGCCGTCAAGATGGACGAGCTGGGCCCCAAGAAGGCGCTGCGCGAGATTGCCGAGGCCAAGGTGCTGGTCCCGCAAACGGCGCTGACTGTCATCGACCGCGCCGTCCAGTCGTTTGGCGGCGCCGGCGTCTCTCAGGACACGCCACTGGCCAGCATGTGGGCGGGCATCCGGACCCTGCGCCTGGCCGACGGGCCCGACGAGGTGCACCTGCAGCAGCTGGGGCGTAACGAGAACCGCAGGGGCAAGGAGGCGGCGGACGGGATTCGGCGGCAGCAGGCCAAGACGGCGGAGCTGATGAAGCGGTTCGGCGTGCAGACGGCCGAGCCGGGGACCAGGATTCGTCATTCCAAGATGTGAGGATGGGAGTTGGACCGAGTTTTGCAGGCTACAGTGCAGAGTACTTTGTGTCTGCTATCGATAATGCGCAACTTATGCTATTATGCATGGTGCTCAAGTTATGAGTTATGCACACAAGGCCAAGGTCCGCTTCTGCCTGGTGCTTGGACCCGTTCGGTACATCTTACTGTGGGTCCCCCGGCGTGACTTGCTTAGGTAATGCCGGAGTAAGTGGCTTGGTCAGACGAGGGTGTCCAAGCACCAAGCAGTGGAAACTCGAGACTGGCGATGTTTACTGTCCCGTGAGAAAGTCTAGCAAAGAGTTCGACTGCTGCTCAACACAATACAAATTTCTAACCGGATGGTCATGCTCTCTCTGTTGGTTCTCCAAGTCTGGAAAGAGGGCGGTTGCAGGTACCAAGTACTTTTGCTCGGCATCGGAGTGACGTAAGCAGGGTTTGGAAAGAGCCACATTCCAGCTGAACCTCTGTTGCCCCACCGCCTGCAGCTCTGGCCGTTGCCCTGCCGACCAGCCTCGCCAATCGGCTCGTTTACTTTGCGGTCTTGGTCGGCAGCCCGCAGGGAGCTAGCTGGTAGGTGCCGACTGGACATACAAGTGACTCCAGGCCTCGCTGCTTTCTCTGTCCTCTCCTCTGCACGCAACAACCAGCCCCGAGTCCTTTCACCATCCACCAACACTGTTGTTGTCTTCATCTTGCTGTCTGCCCACGCGCATCTTGCCATTCTTCCTCCTCTCCAACTTGTTCGTGAAGCCGTGCGACTCCCGCTACCGACGAGAAGCCTCAAGCTAGCCGAGCCGAGACGCAAAATTCACAGGGGAACAGCAGCCTCTTCTTCTCGTCTCAACTCACCCGCCCTTCAATATGTCGAGCAACGTCCTCGGCGACAAGGACGTCAACGCCCCCGTTGCGGAGCAGCAGGCGTCTGCCAAGGATGTTAAGAGCATGGAGTATCACCGCCAGGTGTTCCAGTCCAAGATGGCCGAGGACAAGTACGTGCACAAGCCCACCATCACCAGATTCCTCCTCTCTCTTTCTTCTCCCGTGCAGAGGGAAGACGGAGAATGCGGCAGACGAACACGTGATGCTGACCAGCGGCTCCGCCCAACCAGGTCCGGCAAATACGTGTCGCCATCCGACAACATCATGAGCCCGTGCACGGCCAAGATCAACGCGCTGCGCAACAAGCACGCCGCCAAGTCAGTCTCCAATCTTTCTTGACGATCACAAGACGCTTTGTTGGGAAGCCCTCTCACTAACGCCAAGTCACTGCAGAGTCAAGCCCAAGTCACTCTTCGCCCAGGCCAGCGTTAAGAAGCTTAACGAAGAAAATGCCCTTGGGGCGCGGCCGGCCCAGCCCTGAACATCATGCGTCATCATCCACCCCCGGTATTTGCTTTTGGCGGCTGCGCTGTTTGATGGCTGTTTCGTGATCCGCTTTGCTTGCTGCTTTGACAGTCCAGAGGCGGGGAGAGACGACAAGATGTCCTCGTTCTGGATGTTCACGATTTTTGGGCAAGGGGACTCGGATACCGGCGTTTCGGGGTCATGATACAGAGATTAGTTCTGCCTCAAGCTCATTTCAAGGCTTGTAACGACATGGTACGACATATGTATGCTTTATCAGACCGATGGTGGGAGCACGATAAAGCTCCCACAGCACGGAGTTTGAGTGACAAGCCGCAATCTATTCTGTATCCGCCAGGCCTGCCTACACGTCTTGACTCATGCCCGCCATGCACTGACAATGTAGACGACGTCCTCGTCGGCGACGACATGGCTCAGTCCGACTCGCTGCGGTATGTGCCGCGCACTCGCTCCCCACACCAGCGCGTACTTAAATGTGTCCTTCATGCTGCGATGGATCCGGTCGCACACGTCCTCGACGGAGCTGTTGTTCCTCACAATCAAGGCCTCGCTGAAATTTGGGTCGATGCCCTTCCGCTTCGTGTAGAGGCGGATCAGATTCAGCTCCTTCCAGCACCTGTCGACAACGTCCTGGATGCCCAGGTCCAGCTCGCAGCTCATGACGACGGTTTGGGGCTCGCGGGCCAGGCTGTCGAGAAAGTCGAGCGACACGCTGTCAATCTTGTTGTACACGTACAGGCACTTGATGTATTTGCGGTGGTCCTTCATGATGACGTCGATGAAGTCGTCGACGGTCGCGAACTCGTCGCGCACCAGCACCTCGCAGTTGAGGATCTTGTAGTCGCGCAGGATGTTGTAGAGCATCTTCTCGTCCAGGTACTTTGGCGGGGTCTGAAAGGTGATTTTCATGCCGCCCGCCTTCTTGGCCTTGAGGTAGATGTTGCTGCCTCCGTCAGTGCTCATTGTCCAGGGCATGGTGCCACGTCGGGTGAGTCCTTACGGTGGCTCGCGGTTTAGCCGGATACCGACGGCTTCCAGCTCGGCCTCGAGCAGCGCCCTCTGCTCCGCCTTTTTCGTCGCATCAAGAATCATCAAGATCAGGTCACTCGTCTTGGCGGCCGAAATGACCTGGCGCCCTCGACCCTTGCCCTCGGCGGCACCCTCGATGATTCCGGGCAGATCGAGGAGCTGGATCTCGGCGCCGCCGTACTCGAGCACGCCGGGAATGGCCGTCAGGGTGGTGAAGGCGTAGGAAGCGACTTCGGACCGCGTTTTAGTGACCTTTGACAGGAACGTCGACTTTCCGACCGAGGGGAAGCCGACCAGCGAGATGCGCGCGTCGCCGCTCTTGCTGACGTCGAAGCCCGAGCCGCCGCCGCCGCCGGCTCCGGGACCGGGCTCCAACAGCTGGGCTCGAAGGCGAGCGAGCTTTCTGTTCCCGTTAGCATGCGGGTGCCGGTGAGATGGTCGTCTGTGGTAGGGAGGGGAAACTCGTCTTGGATCGTACGGGGTCTCACCCTTTTAAAAGTCCCAGGTGGTATTCTTGACTTGTAAGGTTAGTCTCTGTTTATCCGTCGGTCGCAGGAGCCTTGTGACTAACCTGTCGCTTTGTTTTCTGTGATGCTGTTAGTGCCGTGATTCGTCTAATAAGAGTGTATCCAATAGAGAGTGAAGTTGTCGAGTGAGTGCCAGGTTCCATGCCTCCCCTGGCCGTGGACTTATTCCAGATGGAGTCTCTCCCAGTTTCCACGAAGCCGACATGGAATCCTTCTCAAAATGAAAAAAAAAAGAGGCGAAACAAACCAGACAGGACTTACTTTGTGTCCTCTTCATCTCATCCTCAATCCTGGGGATTTATGTCAGTCATTCTGTGCACACGGCGTCGACATGGAGGGCACGCACTCCTTGATCTTCTCCGTAATGTTGACCATTTTGACTGAGTTTTATTTATAGACGGCGTACCGTCTCTCTCAAGCGTGACGAACCCAAGCAGCGCTGCTTTTGAAGAGTCGCGTCGGACACTGGGAGACTCGGTCCAGGTGGGGTTGGTGCTGGGCAGAATTGCGTGCCGTGGGGTCCTCGGCGTGGAGGAGGGAGGCTACACCGCCTGCCTTTTGTGTCCACCGTCTGGGTCGCTCTAATCGCTCCGCTGTACGGAGTACAAAGTACTTGGGACCCCGGAAAGGTTAGGTTGCCTGCCTCTCAACTCTTCATCACCGACGACAGTCAACGCCAACCCTATCGCCAGACCCGGCTGATGCATCATGGCCGACGTTGAAGCTCAAACAGCCACGGCGACGGCCGTCGACAAAAGCGGCGACGAAATTGCCCTCGTGGCCGCCAACACCGACGTCGCGGCGCCAGCAGAAAAGAAGATGGTCAAGAAGATGATCCGCAGGAAGAAGCGCCCGGCACGGGCGCAGATCGACGCCGACAGCATCACCTCGGAACCGCCTCCGCAGACAGGCACAATCTTCAACATCTGGTACAACAAGTGGTCGGGCGGCGACCGCGAATCCAGCCAGCAGTTGCATGCCAAGGGGCGCTGCAACATCGCCACCGATAGCGGCTACACCAGGGCGGATAAAGTCACGGGCAGCTACTTCTGTCTGCGTTTTGCGCGGGGGCTGTGCCCTCTGGGCCAGGACTGCGAATACCTGCATCGGCTTCCAGGCGTCTACGACCTCTTCAGCCCTAATGTCGACTGCTTCGGTCGCGAGAAGTTTGCCGACTACAGAGACGACATGGGCGGCGTCGGCAGCTTCATGAGGCAGAACAGAACAGTCTATGTCGGGCGCATACATGTGACGGACGACATTGAAGAGATTGTGGCGCGCCACTTTGCGGAATGGGGACAGATCGAACGCAGTAAGTGACGCCTGCGGAACCCCGGCGCGCCGGCTTTGGTACAAATGCTAACGACTTCAGTCCGCGTGCTGAACTCAAGAGGCGTCGGCTTCATCACCTACACCAACGAATCCAACGCCCAGTTTGCACGAGAGGCGATGATGCACCAGTCACTAGACCACGACGAGATCTTGAATGTCCGATGGGCGACGGCCGACCCCAACCCCATGGCGCAAAAGCGAGAGGCCAGGCGAGTCGAGGAACAGGCGGCTGAGGCTATTCGAAGGGCATTACCCGCAGACTTCGTGGCAGAGATTGAAGGCAAGGACCCCGAGGCCCGGAAGCGGAGAAGGCTGGAGAGCAATTACGGCCTCCAAGGCTACGAGGCGCCGGACGAGGTACACTTTGCTCGTGGCGCCAACGCCGTCAACCCCGTCGGACGCCAGGGATACGAGACGGAGCAGCAGCATTGGATGATTGAAGATGGGGGGCGATCAACAGAGGAACAAGCGACGGGAGGGCAAACCGAACACTCGTCGACGGCACAAGGGGGGGGCATATTCTCGAGCAGCACTCTTGCTGCCCTGCAGAGAGCCAAGGTCTCTGTGGCGTCAAGGCCAAAAGCAGCGGCGCATGCGGCAGCGGCTGGACCGCTGGTGGCTTACGGTAGCGACAGCGAAGACGACTAGATGTCGAGGGACAGGAGACATTTGAGGCGTGCCTGTGCAGTTAGGACAAAGATGATACCATACAGCTACCCTCGGCCATAGGCGGTGCTCCCCGCTCAGCTGTTGAAAATTCTCGAGTACAGAAGCTCATGACGCCCGACCCACAGGTCCATGACGGGGACACTTTGACCGGCCTCGTCGACGGGCGTGTCCCACTCCCTGCTGACGACGGCGTCAATCATGCGCTGGACCTGGTCGCCCGCCAAGACCTTTTGCGCCTGGAACGGGCCGAACATGCTGGCGCGCACGGCGGCGGAGATCAGGGCCTTGACATGGCTCAGCATAAAGACGTAGGCGGCCTGGCGCAAGCCGAGGCCGACAACGGCGCAGACGGCGCCGAAGAGCGGCGCCAGGTGCGCCGACACGAGGGGCGGCACGTCGTCGGCGGCGTCTCGGCTCTGGCGGCCCGAGCCCTCCCTGAGCAGGGCTGCGAAGCGGCGCAGGACGGGCGCATGGGCGGGGGCGGGAGCGAGGGCAGGGCCAAAGGACCTCTCCCATATGCTCAGCAGCGCGCGGCCCTGGGCGACGCTGGCGCGGCGGGCGACGGTGCAGACGACGGCGGCGTCGAGCTGGTCGTCGAGCGAGGCGAGGCAGGCCGGGTCGCGGTGGGCGGCGAGGACAAAGGGCAGCGTGGCGGCGGCGAGCGAGGACACGGACAGCGGTAGGAAGGAGGCGAAGCTGGTGGGCGAGGAGGCGCGCTGCTGCTGATGGTGTGCCAGGTAGGACTCCAAGCCGCTGCTGAAGGCAAAGGAGCCGATGGGCAGGGCCGAGTCTGCCAGCAAGAGGAGGAAGTGCGTGGTTGGCGGCGCGCAAGACGGCGCGGCTGCGTTTCCGGGAGTCAGTCGATTCATTCATTCATTCATTCACGCCCTCATCCGGATATCATTCAAGGGACGCGAGAGAGGGAGGCAACCGGCTCACGTGGCAGCGTCAGCGCCTGCTCTTGCCGGGCGGCGACGACGGGCGGCGACGACGACGACGCTTGCACGGCGCGGAGACGAGCCCTGGCGCTGGCGAGGCGGGCCTCAAGCTCGTCTACTTCGGTTTGGGCGGCGCGTTCCGATGTCGCCATTTCGTCTTGTTCCCCCGAGGCCATTTGGACGGCATTGAGGGGGTGAGTGACGGCGGCAGACTCGGTGCCAGTAGCGGCCGCGCAGCCACTCGTTTAACATACACACAACGTACATACACTCTGTATGCAGGCGGGCATACCGTATGGCCGGGGATGCCGTGCCGGGGCAAATGATGCACGTCAGGTATGCTTAAAACAAGTGCCAGCTAATAAACACCGAGACCCCAAACGGGACATGCAGTCTGGAAGCCGGTGTAACAACCCTCCTCTCTGCATCCCCGCCCCGCCACCAGACGAGGACAAGCAGGCAACACTCATCGACGAATCCCGATTATGCCATTCCAAACACCTTGCTTCCAAAGAAAAGGGAAATAATTCGTCAAGGGAAAAGGACCCGTGGCCAGAGTGCTATGCGCTTGTTCTCACGGCCGCTGGTTTTCCTTGTTGTATCCGCCGCTTCTCGGCGCTCGCTTCTTCTCCGCCATCCTCTTCTCGATCCGCGCCAGAGCCGCAGCACGGCGCTCGGGCGGGAGGACGCTGCTCTTGGACGAGTTGCCCAGAATCGAGCCGCCCGTCTTGTTGCTGTTCCTGCTGATGCTGCGGTTGGTGTCTGGTCCACCCACTCGTGCAAACCGACCGTGCAGGAGATCAACCTCGCCGTGGTCCTCTGCCTCGCCCATGCGAACCGCTGCCCCGCTCATGGTTGGCAGAGCGGGCGCGGCAATGCCCTTTGGCTGCGTGACTGCAGGGACGGCGCGAGGGCGTCTCGAAGCATCGTCACCGAGATATGCCCTATTTCTCGGCGACCTCGGAACAAAGGGTTGCCACCTAGGCTTCCCGAGGTTCGTTCGCTCCGTCAGCGCATTCGCCGCGCCCTTTGCTGCGTCGTTGGCATCATCTCGGGTTTGCTGTTGCACCTGCCCAGTCGGTGCGCTCGAGTCGCCGACGTGTCCACCCTCGCCTTTCAAAGCGCCCTCGGCCCCTTTCCTGCCGCTTCCCGATTCCTGGCCCGCGTCGGACTGGGGACGCCAGCTGCTCGGTCGAGACTGATCTGGGCCAGCCGACTTCAGCGTCTTCACCTCCCTCTTGAGATCCGAGATCTTGGTGTGAGCGCGTTCCAGCACAGCTTTGGTGTCTGCCTCGTGGGTCTCGCTCTCCTTTCGGAAAGCTTCGAAATCGCTCTTCAGCTGACGTATCTCCTCTGTCTTCCTCCTCGACTCTTCCCGTGACTGGTCCAGGTCAGCCTTCAAGGTCCGAACCCTGCCTTCTCCAGAGGAGCCCACGTCGGCCCTCTCGTGTTTGCTCGCCTGAGCCTCGGCGACCTTGACTTGGGCTCTCAGAGTCAAAACTTCCTCCCGAAGCGAATCCAGCTCCCTGAGCTGCGTTCGAGCTCGACGGAGTTCCCGTTGCGTCTCCACCAGCGTCTTCTGCGTCGTCGGCGACGCAGCTACGTGGCGCCGCCGCCGGCCCCTGCCTTCAGTGCTTCCATCTTTTTGGCGCACGAGTTGATCAAGCTCGTCTTCCAGCTCCTGGACTCGATGCCGATACTGCGCCGCGAGGGCAGTCTGCTTGGTGAGCTTGGAGAGCGACTCGGAGGGGTCAGCGTCGGAGGGGTGGCGATGCTTGGACACAATCTGCGATGCGTTCTCCGCTATCCTCTTCTCCATATCAATCACCTTTTGCTGCTCGTCTCGGAGGCGCTCAGCGAGTTGGATGGCTTCGGCATCCTTTTGCCGGGCGTAGGACTTTGCCAGTTGCTTATACTTGAGCAATTTCTCCATCTCGGCCTTGGCTTCTTCGTGATACTTTTCAAACTCCTCCTTCCAGTACCGGCCTGATTGGGAGTGAGGCTCGTTCAGGTCCACGGTGATGTCGTGTGTGCAATAGTCGTCGTCTTCCTCCTCCTCCCACTCGCCGTCGGAGTCGTTGGCGGGCGGGCCTGCGCCAGAGCTCTTGGAGGCTTTAGCGCTCTCCTTTTGGGGTTTTTTGGGCGACTCTGCTTGCCGCGTGTGGCCGCCATCACTCGCCATTGCCGTCGCTTTGCTCATGCCGGGCTTGGCTGTTTCTGCGACATGGTTGCCAAAGGAGACGCGCTTCCGCCGCGTGGTCCCAGTCCCCGGGGTGAGGAGGATACCGGGTGGTCGTGTAGGGGTTCCTGAGCCCCTTTCTGGCTTTGCGCTTGTCTTTCGGCCTGCCTTTTTGTCCTGTCGCTTGCTCCGAGACTCGTCGCCGGGTGGCGCTGGCGTTCCGAATAGCGCGCTCTTGAAAGCTCTCGCGGCAAACAGCGGCGCCGGCGTGTCTGGTTGATCGAGCTGGGCTGTGTCTGCATAGATGGTCAGACCTTGCTGTGTCAAAGGACCTGGTTGCGCACCTTCGGCATCCGCCTCCTGCGCATGCTCGCCACGCTTCAACATCCACCCGAGCATGCTGGAGGGACTCGATCGAAATAGCCCGAGGAGTCGAGGATTTGATGATTGTGGTTTATTTCATCGACAGGGCAGCCTCTACTGTGGGCGACTGCGCACAATGCAAGGGCGCACCTGGCGTTGTGCCGCGTAAATTGTGCGGGCGGTGGTGTTTTGTTTACTTTCGCGTCCCTGCTCGCAGCCTCGCACCAGCCAATGGGTGGCAGCGTGAAGTACCTCGAGGTACTTGCTGTCCTTGCTTCGCCCCGCCCGTGTGACGTCTATCGGCCGCAATCTCGACTTGGCCAAGACTTTCTGCTCTTCCCCTCCTTTTCGATCCATCTTTCGAGTCGTCCCTAACTTAGTCCAACGCAATGCCTCCAGTCACGGGCGTTATGCCCCGTGACCGATATGAAAAAGTCTGCGACGGTATCACAACGGAGCAAAAAATACTTTTGGGTTGGTGGTTTCGTATATTAAAGCGCAGCCTTCATCCTTCTGAATGGCAGTATAGCCCTTTCGGCGGCTCACTAATATGCATACCTCGCTTTTGGCAAAGAACGCCTCTTAAATGAGGCTGCTGCCTTGCGATTTATCCCCGATAAAACAGACATTCCTGTACCAAAATTATACGGATGCTTCGAGGATGCCGATGCTGTTCACCTGGTTATGGAGTATATTGATGGAGTGGAAGGTGGATAGTCTGGCTCGGGAGCAGCGTAAGATTGCTGAGGAAGAGTTGGAGGGTTATATAAGGACTGTGCGAAGCCTGAAGTCTGACATCTGGGGTGGTCCCTGTGGAAATGTGAGCTGTCTTTTCTACCTACCTGCGTTTCTCGGCCCTTTGACTATTCTGCATTGACATATATGGGTCATTCCAGCATATAGAGTTATGAAGCATCCTGTCCATGTACGCCGGGCAATGAAATCCAGGGAGGTCAAGGATCTGGTCTTCCGCCATAACGATCTATCTACTTCGACGGGGACGAGGGCACACACCCAAAGTACGCGCAGCACACGGCTAAGGGTAACCAGAATAGTTAACGTCTTCATAAACCTCTGGATTATCTGATTATTAATGGCTCAAGCGACTCCGTAAGTCTCTCGCTCGTAGATGCAAAACTCTGATATTTTTTACTTCATGATTCTTGACAAGCCGGGGCTCTGCACGATTGGCAACTCTCGCTAAAGGGGAAAATAATATTCGAATTGATGATGAAAGAATGAGATGCCCGTAGGTACAGCTGGAAGTGGCCCCAGACTGCCAAGTCTTGTCAGGTTGGTGTCCATACGGGGTATGACCCTGCCCGACAAACTGTGCATGACGTTATTGTTGAACCAGAAACACTGAATGTTGAGGCTATATCGAGGAGTTCGAAAGCATGATCTTCCGCCGCCCTGGCCCGTCCGTTGCGCTCGATGGGGAGGTCGACGATGAGGAACGATTGCTAAAGATTATGTACATGAATGAGCAGTAGAAGGCAGTGCAAAATGGAGAGTAGGCTGGTGTTGCTATTCTGACATCACAATTCATAGTAGCGGTGAAATTGTTCTGTTAAGTCCGTGCGAGTTGCAGCTCCATCATAAGAACATTATCAGACGAGTTCAATAACCCATATTCCTGACCAATGGCGTCAAATAGCAGCTTAAGGATATCCTCCGGGTGAGTTGCGAATGTTTCAGCTCCGTCTTCATGTGTCGTTGTTAGATCAGGTGGCTTATGTTACATGGCTACATATTAAGCATGCATGTCGTCCGACTTGATGAAAGGGCATTGGTCCATTGAAAGACACTGCAGGTAAAGAAATTTACATTGCGTTGTGCGTTGACGAAGCATATCTGCGAGTGTTTAATGTGGTGTACTATTACCTGGTGCCTTGGGCCCCTACTTTCCTGCTAAGACTGCTGTGTGCCTATTTAACAATCACGACGACGCCGCATGAGACGACGATGCCGCAAGAAACAGAGGCAAAGGCAGCGGCATCACCGTAGGCCGGAGATGGCCGAAGGCGGAAGCTCCCCGCAGCCGGGAAAGGGGAAAATAGAATTTTGTAGATGCTCTCCGTGACCTAACGAGTGCGTATAAGACGTGTGTGTGCGGGCGCTGTGTGCGTCCATGCATTGAAGAAGAATCCGGTCTCGGGGTTCTGACGGGAGTTTTTGGGTTCTCGGAGGTTTAACGGGAGTTTCTAGGTGAACTTGATCGAAGGGGTCCTTCGAGTTCCAGGAGGGATTAGCGTTGACCTCAATAACTGTCACGTCTGACAGATGGTGCTGCAGGTGGCTGTCATAATTGGCCGATCTTACGGACACACGTGTCTATGTGCCGGAACTCTAACTTATTCGAGGAACTCACGCGAAAACCAGTTGAAAACCCCACCACTGGAAACACCGCAAAATATGTCCGCAGCGGTGGAGAAACTGCCCCTGGACGAAACACCCTGGCCTAGGCCGAGCTTGGGGACAATGACGGTGGCGCATGAACTTCCCGCGTGTCTATGGGCTTACCCACGGACCCCAATGCGGGAGCTATGAGTGGTGCCCATACGCACCGAGCCCGGGGCTAAAGAGATGTGATATGCCGTAGCCCCATACCGGCACCTGGAGCCAAGAGGCCTGCTTGGGCAGCAACAGACTTGCGAGGGAGCCAACAAATCGTGCTACTGTCGTAGGCACCAAGACATTTCCTATGCAATGCATGATGCGATGACAAGATCACCGTCAAGGCTCTAAGAATTAGGGATTGCTTATAAAAAGGGGCTGTTGAGACAAAGAGGTCTGACAGGTTCCCACCTTATTAGTGTTTTACTACTGTATCCAACTGTGTGCAGGGACCGGGATTGCTCTTTGGACCGGGCCTGCTCTTTTTATGCCCGTGACCGTGGCTGGAGCTACGTCAGACTTGCTAAACCTACTCTGGAGACGTCCAAGAGTTGTCATAGGCCGGGGGGCAGTTTAGAGTCTCTTTTCCCGTGAGATCAGGGACGCGGATCGGTGACCTTTAAAGCCCCCTAGTATACCTTGTACGATAGGTATCGATGACTCGTACTGTAACGGGGAGCAACCTTGAACTGTTTCAGTTCGGGCTCTTGCCTACTAAAATCTCCTTTTTAAGAGACTCTCCCCTCATCCTTCTTCGCAACACAAGCCTCATTTAATGTCTCTTTGACAGAAAGGAGCAGTTTCAGTTAGAGCTCTCACCAACCACAATCTCCTTATTAGGGGACTCTCCCCTCATCCTTTCTTCGCAACACAAGCCTCATTTAATGTTCCTTTGACAAAACAAGCGCATTTAATAACCTTGCACTATCCCACAGCCTTCGTTCTAAGATTCAGAGCCAGCCTTCTTTCCACAACTGTCAATTAATTTTCTCTACCATGACGCAAACACTTATCATACAAGCAATCACTCTTGCTCTGCTTGCCTTCATAGCCCATCGACTTCTCTTCCAAAAGAGGAACATATTAGGCCCCCCCCCTGGCCCAACACCACTGCCTTTGGTCGGCAACATCCTGGACCTCCCCCCAAAAGGGATCCCGGAGTTTCGGCACTGGCTCAGGCATAAGGAATGTTACGGACCGATTAGTTCGGTTACTGTGATGGGCCACACGCTTGTTATTATCCACGATAGGGAAGCGGCACACCATCTCCTAGAAAAGAACACGATTAGAACCTCGGCACGCCCGGCGATTAGTTACGCGATTCAGTCGTGTGGCTTCAACAATCTCGTACCTCTCCTACAGAATGACGCTTATCATCGCAAGGCTCGCAAGGCCTTGCATCAACAGCTGGGCACAAAACCTGCGGTGGCCCGGTATTGTGGCATCCAGGACGTGGAAGCACGACGACTTCTTCTACGTGCGTTAAAGCAACCAAATGACCTGTTTAAGCATTTTAACATCCCTGATCTCGGCCTCGTCGGGGCCGTTGGTCGTGGACATCAAGAAATAGCAGGATTTTCAGGCGGGAAGGGAAAGAGCACTGGAGCAGAGGATAGATCTTTAAGATGGAAAAGGATAACTAGTTACTTGGCGATTCCTTCGGCTTATTCGTCTCGTCGAGAACCATCTTCATCGCCCTTTCTAAAAGCTTTCTACCCTTAACGCTGTCCATCTCGGCAACAGAACACGATTCTTGACCCTCCATAAAAACCGCGCTCGCACCGCAACTCCCTAATTTGACGATTCTTCTGGTCTCTTCCTGCCATGTTTCGCGCATGCTTGTTTCCATTTCGGCGGTGATGCTCTCAAAAACCGGGATGTTTACTCCCACACCCAACATGAAAGGCCCCCAAAAATTTCTATTCTCACTGAGCTTTCGACACTCCCAGTAAACGCGGCGAGTAGTAGTATTAACCGCTATAACTAGAGTTATACCTTAGATTAAGTTATAGGCTAATAATAGGTCTCTTAGAAAGAATACTAAGGTACGATCCCTTAGTATATCCTTAATCTACGCTAGTAAGCGTTTTATCTTATATACAGGGATATCGACGTCGGCTTAGTATATAACCTAATAATAGATCGCGTAGCCCTATTAAGTTAAGCGAGCTATAACTATTAGGTTACTATATAAGCTAATAAATATTATTCCCTTAGAATTTAAGATATCGACTTTATTTAGTACTAAGAAATCTTATCTAAGTAATAATCTTACCCTGACTTTCACGTTTCCTGGAATGAGAGGAAGGTAAAAATGTCTTCTTATAAGTCCGGGCGGGCCTCGATCACCGGTTTGGCAACTGGAAGGGTAGACCAGGTTCTAACTCTTGACTGTATAGCTTGGCTGGTGCCATCATCCTTAAAATAACGTATGGTTATTCCATCGAGCGCAAGGAAACCGACCCTTTGGTCGACCTGATCGAGAATATGGCGGAAAACTTTGCAGCTGCAGCTGTGCCTATGGCCTGGCTAGTCGACATTATCCCTGCCCTTAGGTATCTGCCTCGCGGCTTTCCCGGCACAGCATTCAAGGAGACGGTCAAGCAGTGGAGCAAGGTCAGCCAGGACGTGGCAGACGTCCCCTACCATTTCGTTCAACAGCAGATGGAGAAAGGAAGCCACAGACCGTCATTTGTTTCCAGGATGCTTGAACAAAACGGCGACAGCAGCAGCCATGACGAGGACTCCATCAAGTGGACGGCCGCGACTCAGTACGGTGCGGGTGCGGATACTACCGTCGCGAGCCTCAGTGGCTTTATCGTGGCCATGGTCATGTTTCCCGAGGTGCAGCGCAAAGCGCAAGAGGAGATTGACAGAGTTATCGGCACGGACCGACTTCCCCAGCTTCAAGACCGAGATAACCTACCATATATCGAATCTATGGTAAAGGAAGTCCATCGATGGTCAACTGTTGTGCCGATGGGTCTCGCGCACATGGCAAACGAAGATATTCCCTACAACGGCCATCTGATCCCAAAGGGTGCGTATCTACTTCCTGCCGTTTGGTGGTTTTGCCACGATCCCGAGGTCTATACAGATCCGGATTCATTTTGCCCGGACCGGTATCTGGAGCCACGCAATGAGCCCGATCCCAGGGCAACAACGTTTGGCTTTGGACGCAGAGTATGCGCCGGCCAGATGCTGGCCGAGTCTACATTATTTATTACCGTTGTACAGATGCTGGCCGCGTTTAGCATTCGGAAGGCGGTTGATAGGCGCGGCAGAGAGGTTGAGGTAAAGCTCGAGCCGACCGCCGGCGTGGTTAGCCATCCGGTGGCGGTTCCTTATAGTATGTTGCCCAGGAGCGCCAAGCATGTAAGCCTGATCGAAAGCGTCCAGGTCGAGCACCCTTTGGAGGAAGGCGATGCTTCTCTTCTTTAATTAGCCAATTGCTTGCCCGCTCGATGATCTAACAGCGAACCGTGGTCCCTTATTCTGCTATAAAACTTTCTGTACCTACAAAGACCCCTTTGATACCTATCCCACTAGATTGAGTGGAACACACATGAATAATATCCTGCGCCTTCCACTGTGCCTTCATCCCCCCTACCTGAGAGGCTGAGACTTAACAACCACACGGTTCCCGTGCCCGTCTTTCCGTGCCCGTCTTTCCGTGCCCGTCTTTCCGTGCCCGTCTCACCGAAACCATCCGGCTGTTCGTGCATCGCATCAGCCAGTGATGGACAAGAGCGAGCACTCAGTGATATCCAGGCGGTCTTCAATATGCTCGTCATTTTTCTGGACAAGTCCTGGGCAGACCGAACCGGGCTTGAGATTTGCCTATACGAAGTAGTTACAAAGTACTCACTCTTATGTGTATTTTACTGTACCTAATTAATTACCCCGCCACATGGCAACTCCACCCAGAAAAGAAGCGTCGCTCAAACCCTTGGCCTTGCATTGCTCCAACTCACTCCCTCACTCGATGCGATATCCTTCCCCCATGGCCTCTTCCGTGTAAAATGTCGCAGCCTCGGCTGGGACATTTGGCCTGCACTCGCGCGACATGGCGCGGCGAGCACCCGGGGCATGGAAGACGCCCCCTACCCCTGACCACAACCAAGATGAGACGAGCTTCCCCGGCCTCAAGCCCGCCCGCCCGGACGCCACCTCCAAGATCGAGTACGACGAGCTCCAGAGGAATGAAGTGCTGGCTCTCGAGGCCATCTATGGCGACGACTTCGTCAAGCATGTCGGGACGCCCGGTGCGTGGAAGGTAAACTCGTCATGCCCCCGTCCTGGTCGTGCACCACGTTGCTTACCTTGGCCCAGAAAGCCGAACCGTCTTTCGATATTCACGTCAGGGCCTCGGCCGACAGCGACTTTGCCGTGACGGTTGGCTTTGTCATGACTGCCACGTACCCCAAAACGCCGCCCTTGCTCAACGTCAAGGGCCTCGACAATCTCCGCGAGGCGACCCAGTTCAAGGTCCACAAGTTCATCGAGACGCAGCCAAAGATCTTTGCCAAGGACGAGCAAGAAATGATTGACAAAATCATCGAGGGCATCAGAGACATCCTTGAGGATGCAGCACAGGCAACGGCGACTGGGAAACAACTGCCCTCGCTCGAGGAGGAGCGCGAGCGTCACGAGGCCAGCCTCGCCAAGCTGGCCCAAGAGCAAAGGGACAAGGACGAGCGCAAGAAGTTGGAGGAGACAAAAGAGAAAGAGCGAGTCATGTCCGAGATGTTACAGCAGCAGCTCGATCGCCAAAGACAAAAGGCAAAGGAATCCAAGCTCAGTCGGCGCCCGAACGGCTTCTTCCCGGGCCAGTCAACTGATTCCGGCCCTGACGTTGATCAGATTGACTTTGACCAGTTTTGCGACACTACGGATAAAGCTGGCAACGTCATCACCTTTCGCTCAGTTGCCGGCAAATGCGACCCGCGCCAGGGCCAGGTTTCCGTTGTCTACACGGTGCGTCCGGTCATTGTCCAGGGCCTGAGCAATCACATGGTAGCCCTCAAGGAGGCCGTTCTGCGTTCATCTGAGAAAGATGCCAAAGAGGTCAAGGAGCAGCTGCAGTCGCTCGAGTCCCTGCTGCAAGATCTCAAGACTGTCAAGAGAGTGCTTCATCGCCAAATCGTGGAGATCATGGATTTCAAGGTCGAAAGCGGGCTTCCCGACGACCCAACGGCCTTGAACGCCTGGACCGTGAGGATTCTTACTCCGGTGGCTGACAAGGGGTCTCTTGAAGAGCTGTTGGAGCTTGCTGGCAACATCGAGATAGACAAGGTTCGGTCTTGGACAAGAGACTTGCTCGATGCGCTGAATTTCTTGCACAATAAGAACATTGCACATCAAGACATCCATCCCGGGAACGTCCTGCTGTTCCGTGAAATCACCGGCGAGATCGTCCCGAAGCTATCCGACGCCTGGTATCAGCGGGAGATACACAACGCCAGCACCCAGAAGCAGAGCCCTTCGCGCCTGGGCTCTGCCAAGTCGGCTTACTGGCTTCCGCCAGAAGTTGCCGGCGCGTCGAAGCCGCAGTACACCCACAAGACGGACATTTGGGACTTTGGCGTCGTCTTCGTGCAGATGATATTTGGCCTCAATGTCCTCCAAAAGTATTCGTCGCCGAGGAATCTCATGGAGGCAATCACCCTTTCTCAGCCCCTTCAAGAGCTGGTTAGCCGTTTCTTCAAAGACGACAAGCAGAAACGCCCGCGAGCCTTCGAACTGGGATCCAGCGAGTTCTTGGCCACTGATGCCCCGGTCTTCTTCGATGGCGCCTCGCCAACGCTCTCGACTCTACCATTGATGTCTTCACAGCAGACGGTGCCTGCCAGGCTGAGACGTGAATCCATGAACCGGAGCGCAGTCGTATCACGATACACGGAGGACTTTGTCGAGGAAGGCCGGCTGGGTAAGGGGGGTTTTGGCGAGGTCGTCAAGGCTCGCAAGAAGCTCGACGGCCAAGTCTATGCCATCAAGAAAGTCACCCAGCGGCCCCAAGCCAGCCTAACCGAGGTTCTCAAGGAGGTTCGCTTGCTTTCGCAGCTCATTCATCCGGCAATCGTGCGATACTATAATACTTGGGTCGAGGAAGTCCCGGATCTGACGGATACCGAGGGCGATACCTCTACCGATGGTTTTACAAACGAGACAACCGGCACGGGGTCCGCAGGCGTTGATATGCAGTTCGCCACAAGCACCGGCGGGCTAGACTTCATGTCGTCCAATGTCCCGGTCGAGTTTGGCTACGATGACGAGTCCGATGAAGGCGAAGACGAGGATGATTCTGAAGACGACGAAGAAAGCTCCATTGTCGAGGACGATGTCGGGCTCCGCCCCACGTCGTTGGAGAGGGCAAGGCGAGCTTCAACCCTGCGACGTTCCAGGCTCCAGAGACCGTATAGAACAATCCTGTACATCTCGATGGAGTACTGCGAAAAACGGGTAAGCTTCTGCGGCGCACCGTGCGCGTGGTCGGGGCGTCTATGCTGATTTCCACCAGACACTTCGCGATCTGATTTCACGTCATCTCTGCAAGAACGCAGCCGAGATCTGGCGCCTGTTTCGGCAGATCCTGGAAGGCTTGGCCCACATCCACGGACTGAGCATCGTCCACCGCGATTTGAAGCCAGAAAACATCTTCATCAGTAGCGGTGTTGACGGGGTAGACAACGTGAAGATAGGAGACTTTGGCCTGGCGACAAGTGGTCAGTTCTCGGTCGATAAGGTCGCCGCTGGTGCCCACGAGACAGATGACATGACCAGAAGCATCGGGACGGCGTACTACTCTGCGCCAGAAGTGAGGTCGACGGCAGACGGCATGTACAGCACAAAGGTCGATGTAAGGATCGAGCTCCCGCTGTTGACATGGCCAAGACACTGACTTTCTGGCAGATGTACTCTCTGGGAATCATCTTCTTCGAGATGTGCTACGAACCGATGCTGGGAATGCAAAAGGCAGACGTCATCGGCCAGCTCCGACGCCCGAGTCCGCTGCTCCCCGCCGACTTCAAGCCCGCCGAAAAGACACAGACCGAGATTGTCCTCGCTCTCATCCAACACAACCCAAGGGATCGACCATCGAGCGCGGATCTGTTGGAAAGCGGCAAGCTACCTGTCCAGATGGAAGGCGAAACCATCAGACGCATTCTTTCAGGGTTGTCGGACCCGAGCTCTCCCTATTACCTCAAGATGCTCAGTACGCTGTTTGCCCGGCCAATTGCGGCCACCAAGGACTACGCGTGGGACATGATTGCAGGCACGCCCAGCCCCGCCGAGCTGCTCAGCCAAGGAGCTGCCAAAAGCGCGCTCACGTCCATCTTTCGTCGACACGGTGCCTTGGAGGCTCGCCGCAGTTCCATCTACCCCAGGTCGCCCTATTATGGAGATAATGTCGTCCAGGTCCTGGACCCGAACGGTACGGTGCTTCAGCTGCCCTATGACCTGACTCTGGGCCACGCCCGTATGGTGGCAAAGCACCCCCCCGGCATACAAAGGACCTTTACTTTCGGAACTATTTTTCGAGACAGAAAGGACACGGGACAACCGCAGATGTTTGGAGAGGTCGACTTTGACATTGTCACCTGCGACACGCTGGACCTTGCTCTCAAAGAAGCGGAGGTGTTGAAGGTGCTGGACGAGATCATCTTTGCGTTCCCGTCTCTTTCGTCAGGCCAAATGTGCTTCCATGTTGGCCACTCGGATCTGCTGCAGCTCATCTTTGAGCACTGCAGGATCGAACCGGCCTGCCGAAGGGCGGCGGCGGATGTGTTGAGCAAGCTGAACATTCACAACCACACATGGCACAAGATCAGACTGGAGCTGCGGTCACCGGCCGTCGGCCTCTCCGCCACCAGCGTCGATGAGCTCCAGCGCTTCGACTTTCGAGGTAAGGAGAAGCAATCTGCCAAAACCTTGGGCGAAATGTGCCCATGCTAACAAACCCTCAGATACCCCCAACAAAGCCTTTTCGAAGCTTAAGATGCTCTTCGAGGGTGGCGACATTTATCAGCGAGCCTCATCCATCCTTGCACACCTCAAAGAGGTCGCTGAATACACAAAGCGCTTTGGCGTCAGCACAAAGGTCTACGTCAACCCGCTCAACAGTCTCAAGGAAAGCTTCTACGTCGGGGGCATCTTGTTTTCGTGCCTATACGACAAGAGAGTCAAGGACGTCTTTGCCGCCGGCGGTCGGTACGACCATTTGATCAAGGAGCAGCGACCCAGGATTGGCGGCCAAGTTGATGAGAGACATGCCGTCGGGTTCAGTCTGGCCTGGGAGCGGCTGGCTAGGATTCATAAACAAGGAGGCAAAGCTTTCCTCAAGAAGCCCGACGACGAGATGGACATGTCATTCTCCGGGAAAAGGGTAAGTCCAGAGTGATGCCCCTCCTGTCGACATCTCTAATGCGGCATTTGCAGTGCGACACCCTCGTGGCCAGCTTCGATGCGGCGGTCCTTCGATCTACTGGGATCGAAATCCTGCACAAGCTTTGGGCGCACGACATCAGCGCCGAGCTCGCCAAGGATGCGCGGTCTCCTGAAGATTTGCTGGTCAAGCACAGGGATGACAACTATTCGTGGATCATCATCATCAAACAAGATTCGATGCTGAAGATTAAAACCATGGGCAGAAACGATGTCGCAGACGTGGACATTCACATGACGAAGCTGGTTTCATGGATGCGAGTTCAGGTTCGCGAGCGAGACTCGCGATCGATGATGAAGCTGAGGGGCAACAGCCATCAGTCGGAGTCAGCCCCGTCGTCTGGTGAGAGGGATCACGACCAGGACGTCAAGGTGTTGATTGCACAAACGAGGAGCAAGAAGTTCAATCGACGCACAGTTGTGGAGCAGGCGCAGGCCAGCGCAGCGAGCTTGGTGCGATCTTTCTTGGACGGCCCGATCCTTGCGGTTGAGACGACGGATCAAGTCATGGATCTCATCCGGGACACGAGCATATCGGATCACGAGAGCTGGAGAAAGGTCGAGCACGCGGTGACGACTTCGGAGAAGAAGTACGTGAGAGAGCTGCATGATCAGCTCGACACGTGGCGGCAGGCGTACGATACGAAGGACGGTTCGAGGCATTCTTTCATATACAACTTCAGGACGGGCAACTGCTTGTACTACGACTTGGGCGACTGAGAAGAACCGGGACCATGGAGTGGAGGGGGAAGGATGGCCATGATGCAGCGATCTGTGACGTGGTTGGCACTGGATAAGTGCGTAGCGAGGATGCAGCTCTTCTAGCCCCGGACGTGGAACGTTATTGAGCTGCCTAGACATCATGAGTCAGCGCACAGGAATAAAGTATGAATGATCCAGTCGCCAAGTTTCTCGCTGACTCTCTTGACCCTTTGACTGGGGCCCTACATCGTTGTGGATAAGGGGTGAGGTGGTTCTCTCAAGGTACTCTAAGATGTGTAATTGTGTGTGTGTGTGTTCAAGCTGGGCAATGCCATCTCAAGAGCATGCATATCAGGTAGTCGCCGTATTCGGCCACCATCAGCGCTTCTGCTTTCGCATCTCCCGTTACTCCTTGGCCTCTGGTGTTGTTTTGCTGAGCCTCAAGTTTCGAATGAAAATACCGAGCAGAGCTCATGCTCCGAGAACTCGTGACAACAAGTTTTCAATATACATATACATATATATATATATATATATGAATGAGTGCTTCTATATAAGCCATAAACAAGTGAATAATAAAGCATGCTACAAGTCAAATGCATATGTGCTCTTTATAGCACCTTTGCGACCTATAAGTATCATGAGCAGCAATGTCGACTCCAGAAGGCGGAGACACTGTGTTTCCCCACGGTGTTTCTTACAATAATAGTTCCCCGTAGTTGTATCTGACTAAAGCAGTTCGCGCTAGGGCAAACAAGGAAAAGATGCCGTATTTGCGTAGTCCACGGGGGAGCCAGTCGCCAGTTTGATGTTCGTCGGTATTACTTACTCTGCTTCGTCTGGCTCCATTTGGCTCCATTTCGAAACCGATACTGCGGGATGAGCAGCCTCGAGACGTTGGCGCCGCGTATGCAATTCAGGGCGCAAGGCGTATATGGAGCTGAAGGCGATATTTGTCCTGTTTTAGCAGCAGCGACTAAACACCGGCCCTCGTTCGAAATAGAATATCTATCTTCTACTCTCATGATTCAATCACGTCGAAAGTTCCGCCATGCGTGGTTCGGTTTGTTTTGTCGCGATTTTGTCGCACCTTTCTATCCCCCCTGGAGTCTTTAGTCTCCATCTCAGACAGCATAACGAAATGCCACTCCCGGCGGCAGATCGCGTCGTTTCGGACTTGTTTACGGGGTTAGTAGTCGAGGTTTGGGGTGGCAAAGACGGCGGATATGCATTGCGATCTCCTGGCCAGGACATGGATCCGTGTCGTCTGATGTGATTCTATATAAACCCCGTGTGCTGCTGGCCGTCAATGTCCAAACCAACTCTGCCCTTCCCACACCGACGCAATGGCACCACCATGGCTGTTCGTCTTGCTATCCGCCGCTCTATGCGTGCATTCGCGCCCTCAAGATCCCAATGCCCCTGCAGAAGCTGCAGCCGGGTCAGACGCCCTGGCTCCGATAATGAACCTGAAGTCTTCGGAACCGTCCCAAGCCCCCCCCGGTAAGGCCTGGGGCATGGGGAGCTTGACAGTCCCGATGGCTGTCAGGAGATCGTGGATTGGGTCCCGTCTCTTTCCCGATAAACGACAGGCCGGCAATGCGGGCGCCGATCCGAACAACACAGACAACGCGGCCGGTGCCCTCGTTCTGGTCATAGAGCGCCGCGAAACGCCGAAACTGGTGAAGCGGACCGGGGGCGCTGAAGCCTTGGACGAGAGACTGCAACCTCGCTCCGACATTGCATACTACACCACCCGTATGTCTCGTCCTCCGTCTTCCGGCGAGCAAGAGATACTGACGAGCCCCTCAGTCAAGTTTGGCAACCCTCCCCAAGCCATCCGCGTCTTGGTAGATACCGGGTCGTCGGAGCTTTGGATCAACGCAGACTGCTCGACCTCGGGCTCTTCCGCCGAGCAGGCATTTTGCACCAGCAAGGTCGGCAGGTACAACTCGAACAGCTCGAATACAGCTTCATCCTCGGGGGAAAAGAGCGGCATCAGGTACGGAAGCGGCTCCGTCAACTTTACCTACTTCATCGACGATGTGGCGCTCGCCAACTTGCCCAACTCGCCCGCCATGAAAGGCGTCAAGTTTGGAGTGGCCACGTCGTCGCGCATGATGTCGTCGGGCATCCTGGGCATCGCGGCCGGAAAGGGCGTCTCAACCAAGTACAAGAACTTCATCGACCAGCTTGCCGATCAGGGCTTGACGAGAAGCAAGTCGTACAGCATCGGGCTCGGGCTCAAGGGCGAGAAGCAGGGATCAATCATCTTCGGGGGCATCGACTCGTCCAAGTTTGTCGGCAAGCTCAAGCCGCAGCCCATTATTCCACCCGCCAAGTCCCCCGATAAAGTGCCGCGCTTCTGGGTGCGTCTTGACTCCATCTCGCACACGGCTCCCGGCCGGGCGAGCGGCAGCAGGCTGGGCAACTCGACCATGCCCGTCATCCTCGACACGGGCTCGACCCTGGCGCTTCTCCCGACGAGCTTGGTCGAAGAGATGGCGTCTGCCCTGTCGGCTGGCCCAGCGGACCAGACTGGCCTGCGCCAGGTCCCGTGCCAGATGGCCGAGCGAGCCGGGTCGTTTGACTTTGCCTTCGACGGCGTCACCATCAGAGTGCCATATAAAGAGGTCATCAGGCAGCAACAGGTGCAGTCCAACGCAGGCATTGCCAGCCAGTGCTACTTGGGCGTCATGGAGAGCGACAGCCTGGCGCTGCTCGGCGACACGTTTCTGAGGTCTGCCTACGGTGAGTGCCCAGCAGGCAATATCTCAACTACATTCCGACATGCTAACGGATGGAAATCAAGCCGTCTTTGACATTGATGGAAACAACGTCCTTCTGGCCCAGTACGCCAATTGCGGCGATACTCCCAGGACGGCCCAGTCGTCGGAGTTTGCGAACATGTCGGGACAATGCGGGCAACGAGACTTGGCGCCCAACACCCGCCTGGCCGAGAGCGGAGAGAACGCACAGACAGAGACAAAGGCAGAGGGCGGCAGTAATGGGCAAAGCGCAGCCGCTGGCAGGCTGGCGGCCAACACAAAGGGGCTCGCAGCGGCCGTCGGCGCGGCCTTGGTCCTCACCTTGGGGCTATAAAAGCATGAAGCCGGGAGCGACATTGACTGTCGGGGCAACGTATCATTCTTCCATAGTATTTTGCTTGTCTAAATGAAACCACGTAATGTATTGAAGAGGCATTTATTAGTGTAGATTGCGCCCCGGTCAGGGATGGTAGTGAAGCGGCCTGGTGTGGATTCAGGGGTGGCTTTGGACGCATCCGGCCACGTCGGTGAAAGCAGGATCCATCCGGCCTGTGGGTAAAGCGGCGTGTGTAATCCTTTGATGACGTTTCCGGTATCATCGGCGGCTTTGAAACAAGCGGCGCCGCCACTGTCGGATGTACGAAGTAGAACCGCGTCTTGCGACGAGGGGCTCAGCCAGGGCGACTGGAATAAGCGGCCTGCTCTCCTGTGTTTGACCCATCGGCCTTGTCGGGGCTGACGCCGTGTGACTCACCTGGCCAAGATATAACTTGGCCAATTGGCCATGGGGTTGCGGCTGCAGCTGGTGCATATTGGTAGAGAATTTAGTTAGTAGACGGTAACTTAGATCAAGTCGGACTGAAGCTTCGAGGCCGCGGGGTATATAAACCCGGACAAGATGGCAGGTTTGGCATCCGGGCTCACTTATGTCAAGTAGAGTATAATAAGACTCAACTCACAAGACCGACATGAATCCAGCCAACACCAAGCCCTACCATCTTCCGGATGGCGCCATCTGGCTGAGTATGGTGCTTCTAGCGTAAGAGTAAACACAACGACATGCTGACCCTGCCGTCGTACAGTCACCGGGTGCTCGAAGGGCATCGGCCGTGAGATTGCCAAGTTCATCGCGGCAAAGCCCACGCAGCGACTCATTGCAACTGCGCGGGATCCCTCTACCCTTTCCTACCTTGCCGACAACGACCCCGACATCCTCAAGCTTGCCCTAGACGTCACCTCACCCGTCTCCGTCAACAATGCCTTCAAGGCGGCCGCAGCTCACTTTGGGGAGACCCATTACATCGACGTGGTGGTCAACAACGCCGGATACTCCCTTTCAGGCGATACCGAGGCCGCAACAGACGAGGAAACTCATCACGAGATGGAAACTCTGTTTTTCGGCACCGCCCGTGTGACTATGCGCGCCGTCGAGGCCATGCGCCAGGACAAGCAGCGCCGCGGTGGCTTGGTTTTCAACATATCCTCCTTGGCCGGGGTATGTGCCTTTCCCGGCCACGCGTACTATCACGCGGGCAAGTTCGCCGTCGAAGGCTGGACCGAGTCTGTCGCTCGGGAAATGCATCCCGATTGGAACAGTAAGCCAATACATGGTTTGCGTGGTAGACGCCGTCGCTGACCAGCACCTGCACAGTCAACTTCTGCATCGTTGAACCAAGCGGTGTCAAGACGGACTTTGAAAGCGGCGGCAAGAAATACATGCAACCCCATGCAGCCTATGCGGCCGACGACATGCCCTCTCGAAAGTTGGAGGCCTTTGTTCGACAGAGTATCAAGTCTGGTGCTGGCATGCTTGAGCCCGCCGCCCTCGCCAGAGTTCTGTTTGAGGTGGCCAGTCGAGGCCAGGAAGTTCCACTTCATCTGCCTTTTGGCGCTCCTGCATTGATGCTGATCAAATCCAAGTTGGAGGGACGCCTGCAGGACCTGGAGTCGATCAAGGGCCTGAGTGCCATTGATCAATAAGCTTGAAGTGACAGATTTATGTTGCGATGGCCTCATGACCATAGTAAATGACATGACAGAGACTACCAAATAGGTGCAATATGACGTTGCGTCGTGCAGCCGATAGTCCCTCCGCTGCCGAGTGATTCAGTTCCGAGTCACCTCAACGATAATGGTGCAGAGACAACACGAATTCGTAGGTGCTGAAGTGATGTTTCCATGTGAAGTGGTACAGGGCCGAACAAAGGGATGGATTCCCGTGCTTAATTCTTACTGCGAGATATTCATTCCCCATGGCCAACCACTCGTAATTCTATTTCACCACCTCCTCTCCTTGCTTGGCCCACCGCCTTATACTGCCTCCTCTCAGCGAGCGGATGTGGGTCAATTCGGAACACCTAAGAAACCAAGGAGCATGGGCTATCAGGCTCTGCAGCGTTGAATCCTGAGAAGGAGAAACTTCCAGCATGTTACTGCAATAGCGCCCATGCAACTCGAGAGTTTCGTTCTTGGAATCATGATTCATAGCTGTCACGCAGTCAGACGTCCTCGAAGCCCTCGCATTGAACATGTAGTGATTTGAAGCTCTCGCCGGTTGGTGAAAGACTGAACTTGATATCTATGACACAATATTAGAAACTGATGAATGTAGCTTGTGAAACGTGCAAACTACGCTTACCTGTGCCAGTATGCATCGGCCGTTGGTCTCCAACTATACACATGCCAATCAAGAGCCGCGTGATCCCAGCGTTGGTCAAAACTCGCTCTTCCTCGCTGCCATTAACCCAGTATCGACGAGCTTGACGTCGCCTAGGATTTCGTAAACGGCCATATCCGCCCGCATCGTCTTGGTCAGTCAATTTCGCACCTTTAGAGAAACGAGTGTCAATTCCAAGTGAGTTCCCATCGCTGATTGTCCTATAGTCGGCTTCCAGGCCCAGAATCTTGCAGAGCTTCAACTCTAAAGCCTCGGCAACACTGCCCCTGCTACAGCAGGTGAAGCTGCTTCTCGGAACATGGCAGCAAAGTCTTGGGCATTGGCCTTTACCCTCGTATAAACTGAACCGCGTGATCTGCGGGAAGAGGATCATAGGCTGCCTTGTGCTCGACCCATTGGATAGTATCGAGTAGTCTTTCGAGAAGCCCGGGAACGTGCTTGTTCAGCGTGACGCGGGGTGCTGAATCAAGGCTTCGGACCTGTACATGGTTCTCGGTTCGAGTGAAAATATACTGATCCAGGTGTTTTCTCTGACGCAGGCGACTGACGAAAAGACAGCCTGAATCCGCCATGTGTTGGTCGTCGGCCTCCACTTGATGGCCGCTGGTCGCTTTCCAGATTTAACGATTTGGTTTGTCGCTACTTCAGCGGAGCGGCCGATGACGCATTCCAACGTCAAGTTCACGATTATGTCCAGGGGATTTTCATTGCCGCTCACTCGGCAAAGTCCGTCGACCACAGCGTTTCATGGCGCATAGTTAGACCACTCGCTATACGTTTGTATCTAGAGGACAGGCTCTAACGTTATAAGAATCTTCTAGTATAACCTAAAAGTTCTTAGCTAGTTATCTTTTTATATTTAATAGAGCTAGTAATATCTAAGGCTATATATAATTATAAATAGCTAGTTATAATATAAGCTATTTAAAATTAGATATTATTTAAGCTATATATACTATAAGATATATAAAAACTAATAACCTAGGCACTTATAATTCTTATAAAGAGAGATATAAAAAGTATATATAAAATATATAAAGGGAAATTAAGAGTAAGGGGTTAAATAAGTAGGGCAAAGTTATTTAAATCTTTAAAAGGTAATAATTATAGTAAGGGGGTAATTATTATATTACCTTACTTATCCTTCTCTCCTTTATTTTATACCCCTCTTTATATCTTATTAGTATCTTAATTAGTAAAGAGAATCTTATTTAAAGAAGCTCTTAATATCTTTTTAACTAATAAGCTTTTTACTAGGTTTTCCTTTATTTCTAGCTATTTTTAATTTATCTATCTTATCCCTTATTACCTTTATAAGAAGCTATTACTGCCCTTAGAAAAAAGTATTTATATGTCTTTTTAGCTAACTTTTCGAAACTAAGCCTAAAATATAAAAAAAGTATACGCCTAGAACCGCCGCGAATAGCGTATTACGCCCCCCTAAGTATAGCCTCGTATAGCTACTAGCCCGGATATAACTTAGGACCCCGGCCTAGACTAAGGAGGGCCCCTTTAACTTTAACCCCCCCCCCCTTAACCTAAGGGTCGAAATAAGTACCTTAGAGGCTAGGGCCTACTTAGAAGAAGCTCTAAAAGGCTAACGCCTTTTAAGGACCCTAGAAGAAAGGCCTAGGACCTAAGACTAGGACTTAAAGGATTATTAAGATAGAAGATAATACTTAGCCTATACTAAAGACTAGCCTCTTTAGGCCTAGCCTAGCCCTGCCTTATACTAGCTACTTTTAGCTTAACTAGCCTTTAAAGTAAGTAAAGGGGTAAAAGAGAGCTGCCCTTAGTAGCCTTATTAGCTTTATACCTATCCGACCTATATTTTAATACTTATAATAGACCTAGCCCCGGCCCTAGCACCCCTTCCCTAAGGACTAGGCCTAGGGCTTCTTTTAGTAAGCCCTTTAAGCCCTTAATAAAGCCTAAAAAATCGAACCCTTCTATAAGACCCTTATAAAAGGGCTCGAGAAGGTAGCTATAAGGACCCTAGACTGCTAACAGCCCCTATAATAGCCCTTATACTAGCCTAAGGCCGCCTAGTAGCTTAAGGCTACCTAAGGAAACCTTAAAGCAAGCTCGTAGGCTAAGGTTACTATAAAGAAGGCGCCTAAGGCCCTAGCTAAGGCCCCGGCTAAGGCTCCGGTAAAAGCCCTAATAAAAGCCCTAACTAAGGCCCTAGCTAAGAGGAACGTAAAAAAGGACTTTTAACTTATCTTAAAGCTAAAAAAGGAATCGCTAACGCTAAATATTAACCTTATTACTCTTCGCAACGAGCTTAATAAGGCTATAAGGGAACTAGCTATATTAGCTCTATCGACTTTAAATAAAGGTAATATAGTTATAACGATAAAGGCCCTATATATAGCAATAAAGCTTCTAAAGTAGTAGGAGAAGTAGTCCCTATACCTTAAGGAGCTACCTATTAAGTCGGCCGACCTTCTTACTAGCTAAACTAAGCTAGTAGCCCGGAGCGTCCCTAACCTCTTAGAGACCCTTATCCTCGATATCTTCGCCGTAGAAGCTAGAACCTTTAGCGGGATCGATATCCTAGGGTAGCCTAGGTAGCTAGGTACCCTAGGCCTAACGTAAAAGGTAGGATCTATTATCTTTATAGTCCCTTTAAAGGCTATAAGGGCCGAATACCGGAAAAAAAGCCTCTATATAGTAGGTCTATAGATTTAAGTTAAGGCTTATAAGGAATATACTATATATACGTAGTACTATAGGTGCCTTTCCTTTATCTATAACCCTTAGACCTACTAGTAGCTTATTAGGTATACCTTTTACCTAGAAAAGTACCTAACTAAGGACTATAACTACCTTAGCTATAAGGCTAGCTAAGGCTACTCTTACTTTAAGGTCTAATACTATAACTATAAGGGAGAGCACCTTATAACTAATAAGGTATAATATAGAGTCTATAAGGGAATAACTAATACTTAATAGCCTTAGCCCCCTTATACTTATAAGGCCCCTAAAGCCCCTTAGGCCCCCTAGGCCTAACTATAACCCTATTAGTATTATATAGTATAATACTAATAAGTAAGAAATAGCTAACCTATTAATCCTAAAGTAGGCCTTAAAAATAAAAGTAGACCTTATCTTATTATAAGAGCCCTACCTTTATAAGATTAATAATAGCTATATTCTTATATAGTATCTAGCCTATAACGTTATAACCCTTATCCCTTTTACTAACTTTCCTAAGCCTATTAAGAGGCCTAGGGTTATTATAAGAATATACCCTTATATTCCTATTTTACTATTATAAAGAAATAGTAGGCATAGGGAGGCCTTATAGAATAAGCTAGTAAAAAGAGGCTCTATAATATAGTCTAAGGGAATAACCCTTAAAGACAAAGACCTCTACTAGACATCTATACCTTCCTCTAGGAAAAGCGGGTTAGGATAAGCCTATCCTTATAAACAAAAATTTGCATAAAATGCATAAGTTAATTACGAGTAGAACGGATACCCTATTACCTATTTTGGCCTAGTAGTTCCGAAGATATCCGCGATACGAGAATAGGTAGGGCATAGAATATTCTAGTTAAATCCACTACTTATACCAGAACCCATAGTCTTACGTTAACCATCACGCTATAATCAGACCACCTACTAAGTTATAAAGACATGCTATAGATAGAGCTTTTTAAGCACTATAGAATATGCTAGAAAGCTAACTAATTAGTCTACTAGTAGGCGAGCAATAGTCTATAAAAGACGAAGGATTTCCCTAGGAGTAGTAGATAGAATAAGTAAGTTTATAAGCATCCTTTGCAACGCTATTCTTTTAATATATTATTTAGCCCCTTATATACTCGTTATAAACTCCGGACGAAATCCTACCCTATACTCCTTCGACCGATCTTTCTGCTTACGTTATCGATTACCCGATTCTACGCTTATTACTTATACCTTCTTATAGTTATAGCTTATAAGAGGAAGGAAGCTTAGATAGAAGCTAGCCCTAGCTTTAACCTCTTTTATAATCCCGATATATAGGCTATAAGGGTAAAAGGCATCGAACTATTTACCCTTATTAACCTATATAATAAAAAAGAGGTTAAAGGAGCCTTAGCTAGCTAAGGCTAGTAAGGGCCCCTTATAATAGAAAGGCTACTACTAATAGCCTAGCTCCTATAGTAGCCCTTTTTATTAGTAAGGGACTTTAACTTATACTACCTTTAATAGAACCTATTTATAGAACCTTTTAAGGCCTATAAAGTAGAAGCCCTTATTAGCTAGCTTAACTACTATAAGGCTTCCTTACTAACGGACCTTAAGGTAGCTA